GATATAACACTGCAATGTCCAACTGCATCATCCACTTTTGGAAAGCAGATTAGGAATCAAAAGCTGTGAAACAGGTTTTATCACATTTGCAGAAGAATTGCATTCATTCATTCCTCTACTTCATATTGCAGGAAGGAACCAAACGCACTTTTGATTCAAAATCTGCATTGTTATTATTTTTCTTGCTATTGCATTAGAAACAATCCGGTCGCTGAATTGCGTCTCTCTCTCATCCGATCAGACTGTTGAATAACCTTTTCTGCGAATTGAGACGATTCTCTTGAAATTGTAATCCAACAGTTCCGCTCATTACTCGAAGATTATGAGATGATGCTTATGCATTCTATGAGGTATTTTTAGTTGAATACTTCCATCAAAAGCGTCATCCCATGCAGATACTTGAGATCACAGCTTTCTAATTCCGACGGTTCTAAAAGAAGAGGGATTTGCCATTACGATTATGTTATTTGGTCTGACTGAACAAGACAAAGTGTTAATGGGCAAAAGTAAAAGTGACACGACGCATAAGAATTGCACTGAAATTGCAGAAGACGAGCAGGCAATAAGATGATGAGCGTGAAGGAGCAGGAGCAATTCTACTGCTGCGTATGAGCTAACCAAAGAGGAGCAAAGTATGGCAAATCTGCGACCACGTAATAGCAGCTCAACAACGTAAGAGTAGTATCTACTCTGTTATTGGGAATGAACAGTGCGGAGCCTAACCTAACCTAACGGTTGGTTGGGACTCGAATTGCATGTTGTTGGTGGTGCTGTGTGCTGCTGCCTATTCGCTCCTCTGACTTGGTCGGCAGTGGCATTACCTTTCTGACATTCGAAGAGCGCGGATGTGTCAGTGTTGCGTCGTCGTCATCGTTGCCAAGTCAAGGCGAATTACACGATTTCAAATAGCAAGTTTAAAGCTGAAGAGCTCTTCCTCAATTAATTACAAGGGACGACTCACTTCCGGGAACTTTCTCCCAAGTCCATACCAAAATAAGACTGGAACACTTTGAGACAATCCGTGATATTCTAGTATTTTTTTCATTCTTCGGAAATTGGACTTTTTTTATAGAAAAAAAAGAGTATTATTAGTAAACCATTGTGTTGAAGGAGTATGGTTCCTTCCGGGTTGTGACACTTTCATCCATCGCTGAGTAGTATATACTCGTGAGCGTGGTGGCCAAGTGAGATATTGCCTTGCCATTCGCAAATAAGTTGAGACACGGATAAAATATCCTCTCCTCCTACGACTCATCATCATCTCTCTTGTTCAAATTGTGTGTCATTTCGTTTTCACTGGGAATATTATTCGTTGGAAGGCGTGAGTGTGTGACTTGCAAATAAAAGTGATAAAGTTCTTAGAGTTGGAATAATCAGAGGAAGTAAATATTTTGCTAAATATTGAAGAACCGAGTTTCATCAAAATTTGTGGCATATAATCACACGGAAGCGAAACTATTGGCACATGGATAATAAACTCGGTCTCATCAATCTTCAATACAAATAGTTGATATTTGTGATACTCGTAGCGACTCCCACACCCTCATTGCTTTCCTTGTTGTCGCTAATGTTGACACTTTTCGAGTGTTATTGTTCCGTAACCCAGAATCAGTTTGAGGTGTGTAGATTTTTTTTGGTGGATTAGCAAAGAGGAGAAGAATTATTGACCAACGCTCTCTCGGATTCAGTTGTGTGTCGAAAAGTGAGTTGAGCTGTCCATTCCATCCATTCAGTGCCTTCGCCTGTCTCACTTTCCCTCCTGAAATCGGATTTTGTTTTACACAAGATGCGAACCCTTTGTCGTTTCGGATTTTTGCTCATCACTAAACGTTAGTTTGTGACTTGACGGAGGGATCAAACAAGTCGCAGTTTATTGAGAGTGGATCCTATTCCAGGATTCCTCAATTGACGAGAGAGCATGGAGAAAGGGGCCACGCTGACCCTCACACTTCCATGCAACACGAATAAAAAATTACCAATGTTGCTCGAAAGGAATGAAAACGGAGGTGAGTTCAATTTAATTTGTCAGAGAGAACAAAGACACAAAATAGCAATAGGTTGCTTAAGAAGTGCTTTTTATGTACCTTTTTATGTAAATTTTATGGAATGCAGGAACTCTGTAATTATGTATGTACGAGTGTAACAGCGACTGCAAATTATATATGCACATGTCCATACTTTTGATTTTATGCGCAAAATGCAATCGAGTGATTGACTCGGTTACCAAAATTGCCTCGTCTTAAGGTTATTGATGACATTACAATTTGCAAGTTCTTCCATAAAAGTGACATTGAAATTGATAACATTCCAAACACTTAAGAGTGTTTTCAATGTTAATCTTGGTCTTATTAGTTTGTCATTGATTAGGGTCATTGCTTGAAATGATTAAGGGACTGACCTTAGAATTGACTCGATGGATGAAATTGATTGATCAACTTATTGATTTGATGACAATTTTTTCCAAACTCCTCTAAAAACATGTACAATCTGTTGAATGAATGTCAATTTACGAGGTGGTCGTAGTAGCAGCAGAAGCAAAAGTATTGCTGAAATTGTAAACACTACGAACGAACGAACGAACCCAGTTTAAGAGTCTTGCCTAAACTTTTATGGTCTCTCAAAATTTCTTGTATTGAAATGAAATTACGTTTCAACATTGAATTTGTCAAGAGTGCATTTGGTTGTGAGGATGGCGAGTCTTTACCCGTGCAGGAGCCAGTGACATTTAAAACAAGGTTTTATTTTTGTATAGTGACAGATCGGCGTAAAATTGGCAGACCAGAGAGGTCAAAGAATCTCTTAAGTAAGAGTCAGAAAAGAAGAAGAATCTCATCAAGTACATAGTTTCTTTGCTCGCTCAGCATTTGAAACACTGTTCTCATCCAACTTTATTACTTTCTCGACTCTGTTGTTTTCATTACTTTCGTATAATTCGCAGGGTTAAAAACCCAGCCCCTGACTCATAGGATGCGATTCTATGTATGTATAATAATATTATTCGGTCTTAATCGATCGAAATGCGTCGCACTTTTGCATGGAAAAAGAATGGAAGTGAGACCGAAATGCAGTCCAAGTCGGGGGCTGACCGGCGCTGCTGCTCGTATTGAGTACAAGTTCTAAGAATTATTATTTTCATACATGTCATTAGCTGCAATGAGCTGAATGTCAGCACTCCGAGCACGACGACTCGCATTTAATTTGCGACATATAAACAAAATAAAGTGTTGATTAAACTTGAGAGTCAATCAATGGCATACGGAGTTTCGCATTCATCGCTTGTTTATGTGATGCACAGCATATATCACAATATCATATACATACGTTACAATATGCACATGAAAAGACGAGGCTGGACCGAATGAAGTAGGAAGTGAATTATTTCGAGTGCAAAAAAGTCCTGGTTTAAGGTTCTTGACATTAGATGCGAGCAGAGAGAGCAATCCTACTACGCGAGCAGTACTCGAGTTGCGTGAGTGTTTACTTCCTCGATTCGATCGTATAAAAAATTATGTAGGTTAATCCGAGCCCAAGTCTGGCTGGACTGAGGAAAGTATACAGCTTGGTGGCAATGCATAATGGAACCACCACTTTTATTACACAAACATTGAACTACGGTTACCCCGTTCGTCTCTCCTGCATATTTATCTCTCTCTCCACGACCACTTTGTTTCCTTGCATGGAGGAACTGGTATACTCGCCCAGTCAGTAAAAACGCTCTTCATAATGATCATCAAAAAAGGAGCACAAGTCTGCACAACAGGGTCCATGCACTCTTTTACACTATGCATCAAACTCGAGCCAAACAGCACCTGTCTCTGTTTCTCGTTTTTTTATACCACTTTTGTCATCATCCCGTTATATCTACGTTTCTCTATTTCTGTTCTTCTAATCACACTCGATCGCGTCAACATGTTACATGGCTCATGTTTTAATAGAATAAGATGCATTTCGTGTTAAATATACCGTGTACGGTTTGATCCCAAATAGTTGGAAATCACTCAACTTGAGTAACTCATGAGTAACCAGTGAATGCATTTTTAAGCATCTTTTCTTAATTGTCTCGATTTAATGTGTGTCAATTTTTAAAATGGCTCATCGTCCTACTAAATGTCATGATCATCATTCTTCTGTTAAGCACTGTGCATGGCTGGAGTATCGCTTGATCGGGAACATGTTGCCATAATAAATAGATCTACCGTTATGGTTGGACTACTTGATGATGAGACTGGAACTAACTGGACTCTGATTTATATTGCGGCACCCACTTCCACATTTCCATTGTGAGATGGATCGTGAACAAAACGGTGACTGTTATTATGCGAGGCATTGATTGGGCAGTCGTGGTAGAGGCAAATATTATTAGTGGTGGTCAGTATTAGTTCCCATGGTCCGTTGAGTAGCTCCCCGTTGAGTGATGTCTCTATTATTAAGCATCATGCTTTTACAATATTTTACAACTATTCCATCAAGCGATCTAATCGCTCTAAAGGTTATGTTCCATGAGCAGCCTCGAAGGCAGAGCGAGAGAGATAGACAACTTGACTCGTCGTCAGTCTGTTATTTACGGAATGGTGTTGTTAACGGGTTCTTATATTCCATCCAATGAGAGAACTTTAAGTAGGTCACCAGAGAATCCAGACCGTTCTTGGATTTCCGCTTCATATATCCTTTCAGTTTCAAACCTCTTTATGGATGCAAATGTGAAACAAATACTGATGGCTTCGTAATGAAGTGAGCTTATTTGAATTTATAATTACCGTTTCCTCACCACCAAATCATTTCGAGTTGTGTGGATCAGCAATGACTTTTAATCACAACGCAGATAATGAAAACATAGACAACTCTTAAGACGGGTAGGAATTAATTATATCGGGATTACGATGCAAGAATTTATATCCAGTTGATCCGGAAACTCTTTCAAATAAAAATGCAAATACTATTTTTTATCGTCTCACAGTTTTATGCTAAACTAACGTGTTCCCATTTTTTGTGGTTTGCAGGAGTGCTTCACAATGGAATGAGCCTGTTCCAGGACCTCAAGTTGAAGAGGCGGAAGGTGGTGTCACGTTGTTCCTCGGACGGCGAGTCCATCGGAACTTCAGAGTCCACGTCCAGCCTGTCCCCTGACCAGCCTCAGACCGGAGACACCTCTCCCAAGGGGGACAAAGAACGGTAAGCAGCTCACCCCACAATATGCTTCCATTTGCAGCCACGATTGTCGCATGTGTATGTACGCCAAGGGGCATCCCGATTATTGCTTCCTCGGTTTATCCGCCATTTGTGTGTGTGCATCTTTGTTTAATTTATTTATGTGTATTCGTCTAACAAATAATTGGCAGTGTAGTCAAAATATTTATGTGTGTACGTATTTATGAATAACCGTTTGACCTGGCACAAAATATCTGTAATGACAACCTCATCCTGTCAATCTCGTGCACATTCATGTTCTCGTGCGACGAATTTTTTTCTGCCTTAACAAACCCAGGATTTGACTCGCTTTGTCCCACTTCTCGTTGATTTTGTGTTTTCGATAGAATTTTGACTTTGCATTATAACCTGTAGAACGGATGTAAGCTTACTGGATGGGTTACTACTGCTGCTGCGTTGTGCTCAAAATACATAAAATATTTTCTATACGATAATAGGACTGTTATAATTGTCACTTGTTACGTGGGTGCATAGGCTTCGGGGATGCATGATTGCTGTACAATTATAAAAACTTGAGCTGACTCATGTCACACTTGGTTGACTCACTTTATAAACAGCGAATTGAATCAAAATGAATTTGCATTAATTAAACTTGGTGTACATCTAAATCATGTTGGTCATTGTGTTTCAACTTGTACTCAAAATATCGGAAAATGCGTACGGTAATTCTAAAATGTCATCTCTCAGCCACCAAACACAACCATGAACAAATTAAAGTCTCAACATTGAGTCTCAACTTGTGCAGATATCATGCATTCATGTGCCGGAATAGAAATTTGATTGGAAAAGTCAATGAGCAGAAGCAATACTCATAAAAAGTGATTGAACGTTCTAATTTCGAAATTGGTTTGTACATTCACTTTCGACGAAATAAGCCTTGGGATAAAACGGTAGAGTCAACTGGTAGATTATGTGGTTAATTTACATACAAATCGCTACTGATTCAAGCAAGATCTCGTATCTGGAAGACATAATAGACGTGTGTGGAACGCATTATTTTTCAAATTTAGGAACTCAGTGAGAGATTCAAAGATTAAATGACTCAATTATAAAGAGCGATGGAACACGACTTTGAGCCGTTATAAATGGTGCAGTTTTAAATTACGGGTTGAGATTGATAGTTTTCGTTCCAGTTTTCAGAAAACGTGCTGTAGGCAAATATAAATAAAATGAAAAGTGAAGACTTGAGATAAATTTAGCGTCAAATTGGACATAAAGCTTGACCACTGCACTGCCTTGGGACAGTACAAAATATTTAGTTCACTCTGTAATAATTATGTGCATCGTACATAATGTGGTGCATAATATTACTAATAATAATAGTGGTATCACTTTTTCTTAAAAAATCGTGAAAACAGAAGCAGTGAGATGATTTCACTCAACTGTGTTTTTCATGCTGATAAAATCAAGCGAGTATTGAAACCCAAAAGTTTAACGAACCACGGACGAACTGACCGGACTTGGAAAATGCTAATTGTTAGAGAGAGAGAGAAGTCCACAAAACTTGGTAAAAATAGATAGTTGATGTCCCCTGCAGGGCGAGTGGAAATTTGAGACTCGATAAAAGCTCTGTCTAATAAAATTTTTAATTGGTGCGTGTTTTTCATCTCTTCTCGTCTCACAGTTGGAAAGTCCAACACATAATTCCGGGCAACCTATTCCACATTCTTGTAGCCAAGAGTAGTCGTTGAAAAAGTGACTGAAAAAGATACTTCTTTGATCTATTTAGAGCAGTTGGTGGCTGCATGGCTTTTTATAAATTCGGGGCCGTCGGTTGGACGACGGTGACGTTGCGCTCGCTGACCAGCAGCAACAGGCAGGGTCAACTTTTTTATAGAATTTTTTGTCCTGCCTAATCCACAATTTTATTTGAGAAGACTAGCACCATGTTGATATAGACCGACCCTCATATAAAAGTGCACAGCGATCCTTCTGATTGTATTGTCTCGTGCTAAAAGCCTGTGTGAAGATTATGCCTTCTGAATGCGTAATGGGGGAAAGTAAAAAAAAACTATCAGAGTTGAGACAACTGCAAGAAGTGCTGGTCAAGAGCATGGTTTTGTATGATCAAGGTTCCTACCAAGAAGAGGACGATGAGTGTGTGCCGGATATACGTACAAATGTATCTGCGTATAAATATATTTTGTATGAATATGATACGAGGAAGCAGTTGGTCGTCGGTTATCCAGCTGGATTATGTATTAATTTGATTGACTGACTGACTGACCACTTTTTATTCTTTGCATTAATGAACCAGTTTTGGTGGAGAAGGAAGAACTGGGTCTAAAAATAGGAGGAAGAATATGTAACCAATTAAGAGATTTTTAAATTGTTCAAAATATTCCGTTGCGTGCACCCTCATTGCGTTTGAAAGTAAATTACATTCAAATTACAAATCCAAATTGAGGCATTAACAGTTTTCGTCCATGCTCCCACATTTTCCAGGTCCTCTAAAATTACTTAAAGTTATAAAACTAAATATGTGCGACCCGCACGATGCATGGTGCCGGTCGTGCTGAGAGGGTCGAGTGATTGTTTAATTAGGAATGCAATAGTAATGCTGGAGATTAAGAAGCAGGTGCACTTAGTCATCCTCCTCGTTGCAATGATGGATTTGCATTTATTTACTATCAAGTGTAACACTACGTTTCATAACAGTTTTGTTGTTTATTGGGCAGCTTAATTAAAAAACAACTACCACTTCCTTCCGCTCTTCTCACGAGAAATTGGCAGTCTTATCAAAATCGGAAGTACTTATGGTCTGAGCAGTTACCCAATTATTCATGACATAGCAGTACTAGCAATTTACTATGTTTATGAAGTAGACATTTTTCACTTGTTAAGGTGACGTACAATCCATTGGTATCGGTGCTTGAATCATTTTGTTTTGCCAATTATTATTTGTTAAGCACCAAAACAAAGCTATAAATGACGGATGAGAACCATGGCTCGGCTCAGACAGACTGAATTCCGTGAAATTGAAGGGTTCCTTCTTTGCAATGAAAAAGCCATAAAATGATGGACGCCGGCTCCTTGAGCTTTGTTTGCCTGGTTCTTCTTATTGCTTAAAGGGCTCATCTTCTCTTTGTTTGTGTGTGTGCAGAAATGGTGGAAGGAATGAAAATTCAGATGGAAAGTTGGTCATAAAGTTTTTTTGTACAATCAGAGACAGCTAGTCTGTCCCTTGAGGGCTAGGTTTTGGCGATGGGAGAGTGTGTGACCCAGCCTGGAGTTTGCATTCAAATTCAATGTCAGGCTTATGATTAGGTGAAGAGTTCTCTTGGAGAGACGTTAATTTTGCAATGTGGTTCTTATTTTGCCATATTTTTTTACCTAGTGTATACAAAATCACAAACTAGAAATTGTGGGTTCGATCCACATAACGCATAATAATAAATGTGTACGAACTCAGAGGCTAATTTCGCACTGTGGTTGAGGATGAGGTAGTCTAGTCGTAGAATAAAATCTTCGGTTCCTAATAACTAGTAAGTATGTATATGAGCAGTATTACACATTTACATATGCACAATTAATTAATTTACATATCATTTTAAATTCTAAAAATACGCAAATGAAATGGAAATTATCAAAATAAACTATAATGAATCACTCATTGTGAATGCATAAGTATTTAATAAATTGACCTAGTTTTCAATCTCCTGATAATTGATTATTAATTGTGTTTTGATGAAGTGACAAGCAATACTACAAGTTTCACTGCCATTGTCCGTCATAATTTTAAATTATGTTTCATAACATTCCCCATTATGATTATTACTTTATTCAATTCAACATCAGAAGCCACATCCTTCCGTAACTTCAAACTTCTTCTTTACTGTATTCCTTGTCCTTTTCTACGTTTTAAAATACATACAAATTCGTGTAGGTTCGGCTGTCTTCTAAGCCTACGCGCACTTGTATTTATAACAAATATTTCAATGTACTAATTGATAATGGGTTGGAAATCATGAAACCTTCAAATGCCAAATTCAAATGTGTGTAATAGTAAACATGAATGCATGCATGCACCGTGTGGCCGTTGTTTCTGTGTCATCCCACATTAGCCGTGTGTTGCCTTTTTGTTTTATAAGAGCTACCTCGATTGTTTCTCTTCTCTGTGCTTTGTTTATTATTAATACTAATTTATTTACAAAAATGCTTGTATACGTGTCTTGGGCTTTCTCTGTGGCTTGTAATCGAGATCCTTCCACGCATTTGTCTTGAGTGGAAGCGAATTGTGAAATTGCGAGGACCTGACCTTCATCTTTCTATATCATCCTCTTTGTAGTTGTCTCACTCCGGAAGAGCTGGTAGCCCCCGGTTCAGTCTCCAAGTCCAATGGTTTCCCCTCCCAGTTCTACTTCATGATGAAGAATGAAAACTCTACCAACAACAATAACTACGACACGATAAAGGTAACGAATGGACACAAGTCCACCGTGACGACGACGGCCAACGTCGTCGTGGTCAAGTCGGAACCAGGAGACGATTCTTCCCCATCTTCATCCCCCGGACTGGAGGAACAAGCTCGCAAGAGTCCCATCAAAATTAGGGACACAACGAGTCCCTTCCACGGTGCCAATAAGTCTCCTCCCCCGAATCACAACGGTCACACGAACGGGAACCTGAGCAATGGCAGAATAATGAGCAATGGCTCCTCAAACAAGCACAACAATAAAAACGGTCACGGAAGTGACTCTGACTCCGTGGCGAGCGTCAAGTCAGAAAGGAGTGTTGGGGGTGAGGAGGAAGAGGAGGGAGAAAAGGGTGACACGAGAAGGGACGAAAAGATGGAGACAGACTTTGAGATCCGGAGCACAGGGCCACATTCGATGTCCTCATCTCCAAGATCTCTCCTCTCATCGGCGTCCTCTACGGGATCTCGTGGATCTCCGCCATCAAGACCCCACAACGGCTTGAGCTCCTCTTCCCCACGAAGGAGTCCCCCGCATCAGAATGGGCTAAGGGACACCAACCCTTCCCTCATCATCACAAAATCCAACAAGAGCGACAGCTACAGTCAAAGGTCGTCTCCCATGAGCCACCACAGTGGAAGTAGTCGAGGTGGGTCTCCACCCAACATTCTTAACTTGAATTCCCACCACCTGCACCACCTACCTCCACATTTGGCCATGGCTATGAACGGCCACGGCCCACCTCCTCCTGGTCTGTTCCATGCCACCCAACTGCATGCTCGACTGACTGAGAACCGAAGAGATAGGGACGGGAGCAGTCCGTCTTCCTCCATCTCGAATAACAATGCTAATATTAGTAGTAATAATGGCTCTCCTCACAATACCAATATGACTCACCACTTATCACATGATAAGGGAGGTTCGGGAGGAGATCCTCCACTGTCCGTGGTCACTTCAACTAGTCTGTCATTCCATCAGGGTTCTCTGTACCGCATTAATGGTGTCCGACCGGAAGTAATTTCTGGTGGAGCGGTCACACCCGTGTCTGGATCACCACGACCTACGAGTAACGGGAGTGGGTCGCCTCCATCCGGAACAACACCAAATCCATCACACCAACAACACCACCACCAAAACCACCCCCACCATCAATCCCATCCTAATAACCACCATCAGTTGTTACCCAACGGTACTTCTGCTCAACACCTTCATCCTCACAGTAATGGTATTGCTTTGAATGGTCTCAATCATCACCTACCATTTCCAATCCAAGGAAACCGGAAGTCTCCTAATTCTCACATGTCTCGCTCTCCAAATTCCTCTCCAAGCAACTCCAGCTCGTCAGGGTCAATCCAGCATTCTCCGGGCAGCACAGGCTCCGGCGGAGGAACCATCATTGCCGGAGGTAACATTGGCATGGTCAACTCTTCCACACCTCAAGCCAATGGCACACACCATGTCAACCTGAGTCGGACGCCGACAGTTATCATGGGCAAGTCATAATTTCTCTTTAATAATAAAATTAACTACTTTAGAGCGATTTTAAGGTATCGCCCTGAACAGTTGATAAGACCAAGAAGTCATCAATAATGAAAATAATGCTTGTTATCGTCAACAGGAGAGGCAGGTGGCGTGCGAACCATGCTTTGGTCTCAACCCGGCCAACCGATCCCAAATCCATCTCTAGAAATTGGGATTGGAGGATCCAGTCCCCCCGGAAGTGGGAGTTCTTCCCTCTCTTCGGGTGCGAGCAGCAACGGTTCCACGTACAACGGGCATGGCGGCGAATCTTCTTCTGGAAGCCACCCCGCAATTCAGAAGGGGGTTTTGAGCATGGAGCGTTTGTGGGCGTCGGAGGCTCTGAACTTGTCGACGGGTGCGAGTAACACCACAAATGGACACGGGCCCAGTATTACTAGTTTGACAAATGGTCACTCGAACAATGATGACGACGAGTATGAGCAGCCCATGATTTGCATGATTTGCGAAGATAGAGCGACAGGCCTACATTACGGAATAATCACGTGTGAAGGGTAATTTGAACACTTGTCTTCCTCTTAATCTGTCCACCTTTCACTTTCCATTTAGACTTTAATACATACTTCTTCCTCTTTATCTTTACCAATCTTGTGTCCCACAACATTGTTGCACATTTCTACAACAATATCATCCCAAAAGTACCCGATAAATTTACACCTGCATGAAAGTCCAGACGTTATTGTTTGTGGCATAGTTTTGGAATTGTATGATTTACGCTTTTGTTTTGTTCCTTGAATAACAGATGCAAAGGCTTCTTCAAACGGACTGTACAAAATCGAAGGGTATTATTTTTTTGTATAATTATATTTATCATTACATAATTAATAAATATAATTAATGTGTTGTGTATGTATGTATCAGGTATATACGTGCGTGGCAGATGGTACCTGTGAAATTACCAAGGCTCAGCGAAACCGGTGTCAGTACTGCCGATTCAAAAAATGCATAGGTGAGATGAAATTGCATTTATTTAATCGGACCAAAAGTGGTTTGGAAGGGATTCTCCCTTTGTCCATCACACGTCTTTCGTGTAGAACCAAGATTCCTAGACTTTTTAGTTTGTTTCCGTGGAGTGAATGTATCAGAATTATGTAATGAATTATCATTAGTCTAGGAATCTTGGTGTAGAACCATTCGAAAAACCTCCAAACCATATTATTCTATTTTTATACATCCGCCAACAAGAAGATGTATACTAACTAAGTTTTATTTTATTTTACCTACAGAGCAGGGAATGGTCCTTCAAGGTAACTATTTTTTTGCACAATAAATTCCCTTAATTTTCGCAACAACAGCATATGCATGTATGCTTGTGTTTTCCTTCACCTCACATAAAAAGCAAGTCGGTCAGTCGACCTCTTGAATGCCAACTGCTGTTCCAGTTATTTTAGTTTTTTTGCATTATATGCTGTGCACTTGACTCGTGCTCAAAATCCATCCTAAATATCCCGATAATGACTGATGATGATGATGCCGAGCAAGAGCAGCCCTATTTATTATCCTTTATTTTGTATTTTCGGCTCAATGCTGAAAAATTGAACGTTGAATGTCTGGGCCATTTCCTTGACCCAGTTCATATTTTACATACTCCGGGTGTATAATTACTCTTAAACAGCAACATACATAATATGTAATTTGAGCAGTGCAGTTTTCTCAGTTCTGCTTTTTATGGCTACGTGTTGGAAAAGGAAGGTGCAAAAAAGAGCTGCTTGCTAATATTTGTGTATTTTGTCTCTCTCCGAATAGCTGTTCGAGAAGACAGGATGCCCGGTGGCAGAAACTCTGGGGCCGTCTACAATCTTTATAAAGTCCCCGTAAGCAGAATTCATTTGAGCATTTTCTTTTCTATTACTTCTTTGTACGAATCGTCACTTGATTATTTTGCAGGTCAAGTACCGCAAGCACAAGAAGGGGGCTCGAGCGGGTGGTGCAGCGAACGGGAAGGGGGACAAGATTATGAACAACAATAACAATAGTAACACAAGCAGCAGCAATCCCAGCCCAAACCCCACCCACAACAACAACTCGAACAATTCGTGCAATGGGTTGACCAACGGTGGTGGTGGAGGGTCCAACAACAGTCCCAATAATAATGGTCTCACCTCCATGCTCCCACCCCACCCAGGAAATATTCTGATGGCAGCTTTGACGAGTCCCAATGAAAGCATCCCTCGGCGACAAAACATGCCTTTCGACCAGGCGGCTAACATGATCAATGCTCTGACAATGTGTGACAACTTTCATGACATTGCAGCACTTCACGTAAGCATATATTCACTTTTACTCTTCTTTTGCTCACAAAAAAAACCGAACGTCTTCGTCGTAAAATTATTACTTGTATTATACTCATAGCATATGTACATAGCTTTCATCGAAACGTCCTTGTAGAAATTTCAAGGTTTCTTACTTACTTTTACAAAATACAGTGGCTTTCAATTTTTAGTGTCAATTCATTCCCTGCGTCAGCTTGTGAATGAGAAACGAAATGAGAGAAAGAGGGGAAGAGGAAGCCACAGCCGGTCCCATGAGAGCTTATCCAAACTTACATTTTTTGCCAATCTATTTTTGCGCTATTAGATAAACGGTTGGGTTGATATATCTCTGTTGTAGGCCAAAGGTGTTAATGACTCGGTTGACCCAAATCTTTCACTCTAATGAATGGGCATAAACTGCCAAAAAAGTGTGGTGATCTAATTGTGGTTATCATTTGTTTCACCTGCAGAATTGGGAAGAGTTGCTTGAAGCTCGTGGTGACCTGTCCGATAAATTGTGTGAAATGGGGGACTCCATCGTTTACCGACTGGTCCAATGGACGAAACGACTTCCGTTCTATGCCGAACTCCCCGTGGAGGTGCACACTCGAGTGCTAACCCACAAGTGGCATGAACTCTTGGTACTGACCACATCGGCATGGCATGCCATGCACAGCCCCGCACCCCCTCCCGGCGTTAGCGCCGAGGAAGAGACGCTGGACAATCTGCAAGGTGAGCTTACATTCATTTTGTCTCATTCTGCTGACACTTTTATGCATTTTAATACGCCTAAGGTTTCCTACTCGACTTTCTTAGCATATCAGTCCACTAATTTATTTGTGCTTTGCTTTGCAGTTCTCCAACGATGTCTCCAGGCCATGATGGGCCGCTCTCTGGTAGGTCAAATAATTATACGATGAGTCAATTTTCGAATAAGGGCCTGTGTACTTACCCGATCCATTTTATATATAGACTCTCGAGCAGCTGAAGCAGGACGTGGGGCTCATGGTGGAAAGGTAATAACACTGATAATTTACGACGACTGTGTATGAACAAGCGCATTTTATATTAAGACTAATTTCATATATGAATCTACGTTTTTCAGACTTACGCATCTCACTCGTACCTTCCGTAGACTGGGCATCCGACTTGAAGAATATGTCAGGTATTATTTGATGATTGTATATTCATTTTTAGTGTCATCGAAGGTTACACGTGTTTACAATGCTTTTCTTGTCATGTTCCAGTCTCAAAGTTATTGCCATGCTGCAAAATACAGGTATGGGTTTCTAACATTTCTAATTTTCAAAAACCATCTTATCGTCAAACCATTTGGTAATAACGACAATGTTTTATTTTAGGCACAAAGGCCAATGAGGTATCCCAAATTCAAGAACGTTATATTAAAGTCCTGAGGACGTTCCTTGAAGGTGAGACTCAACAATTTGTGTATTCTCAATTTTAAAGAACGACAGGTATGCCGATGCAGTAATTGAACATTTCAATAATTGATCCATGTTATAAAATTTCAGTGACTGTACCTTCTCAGCCGAATCGGTTGACTGAACTGTTGCGTTGTCTGCCAGAGGTAAATTTAAAACTAATTAGTTCCTCATAAAAATATCATTACAGGAGCAAATTGTTTGAACTATTTTTAACTCTGGGATTAATCTTGCTTTCAGGTGCAATCTGCAGCATCGCTTCTCCTCGAGAGCAAAATGTTTTATGTTCCTTTCTTACTCAACTCAAGTCTACTCAACTCCACACTTCTTCAGAGATAAATCCGGATTTTTCACGATTTTCAAATTAACCTACCACCACAACATTATTCAACAAAACTAGCTGTTAAGTAGTACAATTAAGAATAGTTTGTTTTCGTTAGTCTCCATTTTGTAGTAAAAAGCAAGGACACTGCCTCTATGTCTGTGTTCGAAGTATCAGTACTTTCTCCAGAAATACTGTACTTTCTCCAACATAGCGTGTCGTTACGTCGTACCTTCCATTAGTTACACACATGTTAAACATTTAGTTGGCATACATTGTACTACAGAAATAAATACATAGCTGAGTGTGAGGCCATGAGATTTGAAATTTCAGTGGAGAAAAAGGCAATGTGTTTGACACCTGCTATCAATCAACCGATATAGTGCTAGAAAAATTGATCCTCATAAACCAAAACTCAAGTTTTAATTTTACACATCCTGCTCTAATTTACTTGAAAAATCTTGGTATACTTTCCCCTTTATCTCCATATAATCTCCAAAAAAACACTTTACATAGCGTAGCAGACGGCGATGACGACATGCATAAAAAATGTTATTAAAAGTACAAGCAATCATCGTCTTGATGATCATTAAAAATATATTCTATGACCGTAGATGAATCAATTTCGTGTAATGTTACATCTTGAATATATTATATATTTCTCATTGCCAGATTTCATTTTTTGTAGTACACACCCCACACTTCTCAATCACCTAATCTTTATTTTGTTTTATTTTGTGTATCCAAATCCAAATAATAGTTTAATTATTATTACTATATAGTAACAGTTACTGCATCTTCCTATTAGTCAGTAGTAATAATAACTATGTATGTAACTACTACAAAGTCATATTATTGTGTATCCAACACCCAACTTGGCATGTACATTTGTAATAATATTACATCTTTATGGTTTTATCGTACGTATAGAATTTTCCACGCATTTCATGAGAAATATAATAGAATAGATAATATGAAACAAAAAAGTGTAGCCTGGTTTATGGTATTTGATATAAATGGCGTCTGGAATATCTATATATAAAATATTGGGTTATTATTGTTGGTTCTTGAAGGAAGGGTCCTATTTATACTGACGTGCTTTAAACTCTAGTTAAATTAATAAGGGGTTAGGTAATTAGAGTTAGATGGGGACGATGTACAGTAAGTTTGGGGTGGGTGAGTGGGCGGTTAGCTAAATTAGTCGGTCGAAAATGGGGGACAAGTCCGATGCAAGGTTATTATTCACGCTGAGGATGAGCATAGTTTGCTGGATGATGAGGTAGATGAGGTGCAACTGACGAGAATAATTAACTCTGGATGTCTTTATAATAATACCAAAACCACCTACATACACACTTCTAAAGTATCTTTAAGTTAAGTACGTACTGCTGTTGAACTGTTACAATTGCTATGTATATAAAATTAGGCAGATAACTAAGATTGCTTTACCGCATATGCATTATTACATATTCTGCTGGAAAAGGGTGTAGGAAAATTACTTAAGACTTATTACGTTATTACTACTACTGTCTATTACTGAATATTATTGATACGTTGTGTAGTCATCAGATTTTATAGAAATAGAGGTACATACATATATTAAACATTTATAATTATGCAAGAGAGAAATACGTATTGCAAAGTGATTTCTCGGAGGAAAAGCAGTCTGTGAATGAATCTATGTAAAAAATTGTAAATGTACAAGAGATGATACACATTATTATATAAAATTATAAACAAAAGTTTTTAACTGAACACACCTCATCTCTCTCTCAGCCTCATTTTATTCGTCTCTCCATTTATTTACACACGTCTCACAACAACTAAATTTACATAAATAATACGTATGACACTGCACCACTCTTGGTCACATAATTGTTATCCTGAAAAAAACGTGACCTTGAACTATTTTATGATTTTGGAGGCAGCAATTATGCTTGCTCCAATTAAAGAATTCAAAGATACTAAAAAGTTTGCAAATGAAATTCGAAGTTTTTGTATACGTACACGCATGCAGTTTTTTTGTATCAAATAACAATTATGATAGTTGATTTCACAATCAAAACTGATCTCTTGAAAAATTTCATAAAAATTAACTTTTTACATATATGAGAGCCATACTATAAAAATGAAACTTTGAAACCTGATTGATGTTTGTAATAACTAATAGGCTAGGCTAGTTTATATGTAAGTTTTTGATTGAGTGAGAGTAATAGTGTATTAGATGCAGTGTGAAGATGAAATAAAAATAATTTCTCCAACTAATCAGAAATGTGCGTAATAATTTGATCATTCCAGGATTCCATATTTTACATGAACTTGGCTAACATTCATAATGCGTTCTGATGAAAATGTATTTCTTTACTACATACTCGTTGAGCGATTTTAATAATTTTGACGGACATTGAGTGGATTATACATAAATGCCAGTAAATATGCATATTTGCATATATGTCTCATTACGTCTCAAATCTTCTCAAACTTTCTTTGTCTCAAAATAAAGTATGTTGGTTGGAATATACATATCTTAATATATACATATATCTTATCTTATGTATAACTATATCATATATAAAATAATATATATATATATATCTTACAACTGAAAATATCATATCTTATCATAGTTATCATACTTATAGGAACATCGCCACATGCCACCGAGGTACTCGTTGACCAAATTGCCCTCCTAAAACCCAATTACATCAAGTCGAGTCCTCGATAGTATAGTGGTAAGTATCCCCGCCTGTCACGCGGGAGACCGGGGTTCGATTCCCCGTCGGGGAGACGCTCAAATTTTTTGATAAATTTAAATTTTTATTTCTTAAAATAATTAAAATTGGCTGTGATGCAAATGCATTTGCAAATGGCTCGGGTTTATTAAGGGGTGAAAGCCCTTTATAAGATCGTTATGTCCGTCTGTCTGTCCGTCCGTCCGTCCGTCCGTCTGTCTGTCCGTAGCTCCGATAACTTTTGAACGAAAAGACATAGACACTTGAAATTTTGAACGTAAACTCCTAACGTCAATGGACAGGACGAGTTCGAAGATGGACACTGTGACATCGTCACCTGTGACGATGACGTCGTCACAGTGACGAAAAGTGACGAAAAAGTGTCACGTGTCAGTTTTGACATGTGACACATCATTTTGAACTATTTTTCAATGAGGAATTCGAAAATTCATGTGATTTTGTGTTTGGACGTCACCTGTGACGATGACATCGTCACGGTGACGAAAAGTGACGAAAAAGTGTCACGTGTCAGTTTTGGCATGTGACACATCATTTTTAACTATTTTTCAATGTCAAATTCAATGGTGACCTCCATTTTGACCTCAGAGGTCATGTAAAGGTCATAGGACATATCTATTTCAATTTCAACTGAAATTTAACCCCGAATTCAATGGTGACCTCCATTTTGACCTCAGAGGTCATATAAAGGTCACATAAGGGTTATCAACTGTTAAATTTGACACAAATAAGACACAAAAGTCGAAAACACGTCAGAAGTGTCAATCTTAACAAATTTTCGAACAATTTGATATTCACATTGACGTATGACACTCCTTTCACCCCTTGGTTACATGCGTTGTAACGGTTTATTTTACGTGCAAAGGCCACTCAATTCTTATTAATCATTGATAAATCTGAAAGACGTTGAGAATCATAGGATAAGACGAGGCATATTGAGACTTTGCATTTTCTCAGTTTCTCCATTCACTCTTCTTGCAATTCTTGTGAACCTTTCGCCGGCAGCCTCCACCTGCTCCAATTTTTCCACTTTTCCATTCGCGAAGCAGAGGTTGACGGAAGAACAGGAATAAAGGCTAATTACACAACACGAGTACGAAAGTACAAGACAAGGTAGAGAATAGATACTAAAGTCTAATAAGATTGCATATTGATAATCCTGGACCAGAGTTGAAATTGTATTGTTTTGATAGATGGGCAAGCATTTCGGAGAACTAGCCAAGGTGCGTGGTCTCATCACCTACAAACTCTCTCCATTCGAGCAAAAGGCCTTTGCTGGGGTCATGAAGAGCGGCATCCCGAACACTGTTCGACGATGTGCGGAAAACTTTTGGCGTGTGGTCCCACCCTTCGTCGCCTCATACCTCGTTTACACAGAGACTGAGAAACGCCACGACAAACTGATGCGCAAAAATCCGGACGACTTCCTTTGCGACGTGTAAATATACGACACGGTCACCAGTTTTCTTCTCCCATTTCAAATCAACTCACACACCAAGCTATGTAGTACGTCCATTTTAACCTAATTTGAATGTGTTTCATATTTTTCATTATTTTCAAAATCTTTCAACCATGAGTGTGTCATCGACTTGTTATTGAACCTCTAATAAATAAAAATGTACTGACAGAAGAGACTATTTAAGTAAGTTAGTTTCAAGTTTATTATTTCAAAATTATTCTTAATGTGAAAAACATCAACCGAGATTAATATTAGAGAGTGAAGGTGTCTACTTTTTCTTACAAAACCGGTATACGAGTATGACAACAAAGTGTGAAATATGTATGGGGATTAATACTTAGCTAAATTGCATGGCCTTATATTATTAATATGGTCGTGTGACAATTTTGATGTAACAATTGATGCATTGGAATAAAATTAGAAATTAGAATTAATCAAGTGGGTGGTTTTTTTCTGTTTCTCATTAGTAGAATTAACGCACTGTATTCACAACGTCATCAATCTTCAAAATTGAGGCTACAAACTCGGTGGCCAAATTGATGGCTGAAATAGTGACCAGACTGGGCTGGATAACATTTTCCTCCATAATGTTGGCAATCGCACCTTTCTTCACGTTTAAACCAGCAGCTTTGTGGCCTAAAAATAAATAAACAGTCGCGACAGGTACATAACTTATTAGCAAACTTCTCTTATAAACACTTAAGGGCCTGGGGGAAGTTGCTTAGAAATCACGTCAACTTTGACGATAAAATTCAGCAATGCACAAGAGGGCAGATTTTTTAAATTATGTTTAATGCGTTAATCATATCTTTAGATTTTACTTGAGTTTTTTTTGACGATCTGCCCTCTTGTGCAGTGGAGATATTTGGTCGTAAAGTGAGGACAAATTGGCTTAGAATTGCCAAATTAATGGCAGGAATTGCATTTTGAGTATCCATGGAACAAAAGAAACAACTTTTTTCAAAAACTTGAGGGACTTGAGGGAAACTTTTTCAAAAGCAGTGACAAAACCAAAGCTTTTGAACGTGAGTGTCCCATAGAAACGGTGTCAATTAATAGTGGTCGTAACCTAACAGAGCGATAATAATCTTGGGACCCTGGCAATTATTGTTGCTAACATAAAATCAAGTAAATCTTCCCCCGGGCCCTTAAATCTATGTATTATGCCAATTAATGCTTCTGCCCATCTAAAAATAAGACAATTACCTTCAGCATGCAACTTCCTGAGTTCAGTAACCGTGTTAATTGCGGGCATTCCTGCATTTTCTGCCAAAGTAAGTGGAATTACCTCCAGTGATTCAGCAAAAGCCCTGCAAAATTACAATGTGAAATTAGTCGTAAGGTTATATAAATAATGACATGAATTCGTCTACCAACAGTATCAAATAAACCTAGAAAATAAATAAACATGTTATACCTAAAGCAATAGGCTTCGGGACCAGTCAAACTCATGGCAAATTGAGCTAACCGAACAGATAATTCGGTTTCTGGAGCTCCGCCTCCGGCAACAATTCCCCTGTGAAATAAAACAATTTCAATAAATACAAATAACTAACTGCCTAATAAATAAAATTAGTATATCTTTACTCAAAATACATTTATTTGCACTTTCTTTACCTTTCTTTTACCAAGCACCGAACAACGCAAAGGGCATCGTGAAGGGACCGCTCAGCCTCTTGAAGGACGAGTTTATTACTTCCTCGAACCATAATTGAAACTGTCTTTCCAGGTGTGGCAATTCCGGAGATTTTCACAAGTTTACTTCCGCTAGCGCTGATTTCCTCAACAGTCTCGGCCGACGCCATATTTTCAGGTGTAAAATGGTCCAATGAAGCAATTGGCCGGCATCCAATAGATTTGCATATAAATTCAATTTCTTCACGTTCAATGTTGTTAATTGTCATAATTTTAACTTTGTCCAGAAAGTGCTGGGCCAGATCAGACAAAGAATCCCTAAAACAAGACGAAGATGTAGAATATCAGTGTTAGTCAGTAATTTGTGCATAATAAATCTAAATTTCTATAATAAATAATTCTATAGATAGAATTATGCAACAAAGCCTGCCATGTACCTGAGAATAGATTTTTGAATTAACAGAACAGTGCACCCAGTGCTCTTAATCTTCTTGACGATGTTCAAAATGTAATTCCGCTCCTCTCTTAATACACGATCCATTTGGGCGTAGTCCGATACAATGACATTCATGTCCATATCCGTCTTGGGAGGTGACACGCAAAATTGAATCAGAGCAATCTTTGCCTTTTCAATTCGCTTGGGACCAACGCTAACTTTTTGTCGCATAAGAAGGCCATCAATCAGTTCTGTGTCCTCCACTGTGCCTCCAAGAACAGTCGTAACGCGAATATCCTTCAAGTCGATATTTTCAGCATTTGTATCCGTGGCTCGAAAAACAGCTTCCACTGCAATAGGAGCCAGTAGACTTGATTGCTGAGATACAACTTTGGAATTCAGACTGGTAGAGGCACATTTTTGCAGTGTTTGGGTGTCAGTCAAGTCCACCGGGATTGATAAATCTTTCCGAATAATTTCTACCGCTTTCTGTCCCGCTGCTCGAAATCCTTCGGCAATGGCAGTGGGATGGAGACCCTTCATCAAAAGTTTCTCAGCCGCTTCGAGCAATGATCCTGCCAGGACAACTACAGACGTAGTTCCGTCTCCAGCCTCAGTATCTTGCGCTTTCGACAACTCAACCAACTGAATAAATCATTCGGTAATTTTTCAAATACATCCTTATCCTTTTTATTTCGTAATAATCTTATAAAATAATAAAACCAACCATCTTAGCCGCCGGATGCATCACATTCATCTGCTTCAAAATGGTAGCCCCATCATTAGTAATTGTGACGTCGCCCTTCCCATCCTGAATCATTTTGTCCATACCTCGTGGACCAAGACTTGTCCGGATGGCATCCGCCACAGCTAAAATTCAATAAGAAATATATTCCGTCAAAATAATGCACATGATATTCAAAGTTAACGTAATTAACCTTTTGCTGCTTGGATATTTGACCCACGAATTTCGGAAGGTTTAGACTTGTCTTTAAAGACATTGTTGTTCCCACTCTTGACCCCACCCGCAGCCGCTGGTTTTGCTTGTTGAACCATTTTATCCGGCGTTAAGTTGAAATAACTTACTTAATTATTCAATCAATTTAAATTTTAAATGAGGAAATATTTAGAAAGGAAGGCCGGCAAATGATTCACACACGCAAAAACAAGGTAAAAGAACTGGAAGGTTCTCTCTCGTGCTCAATTTTAAGGTTGGAGGTGGGCGAGCTCAGCTCTTAGCCTCTCGTTAATTCCACTTCCTTTGTCCAGCACGATAATTTTTACAAGTCTGAGATGGAAATTGGTCTCGATATTTGGCGTGTCCGACGGGAATACTAAAAGACCGTGCATACTAATTGGATGAACCTTAAGGAAAATCTGCCTACAAACAAATAGTTTAATAGCAGGACAATATATATCAAATAACAAATATATAGGAATAGGATAGGATATACTCAATTTCTCACTAATTCTCACACACTAAACTACAAACAACATAATGGCGTGAATGTAATTTACAACCATTAGCGGAAATAATGATAACAAGGAAACTCAGGTTTGCATGATGATTTTTAATCTATGAGGCATGGAAAAAGTCCAGGTTTTGTGACTTTACATGTACAAATAAATAAATAATGCCATGAAATTATGAAAATCAGTATAGCTCACCTTCAGTAGTAATATATTCTTGGGAGTGGCTGGTCACTGGAACTTTTTGGTTAATTGAACTGAAAATTTGATTGAAAATCGAAAATCTATCAATATGCTTAAAATATCCTATTTTTGGGCTGTGTTTCTAACTCTGGCACTTAAAACTACGCTTACACAGGTTTCAGGAGAAGCTAGTACCGAGAAAGAAATCAACTTTGAAGATATTAGTTTGACATCCCCTCAAAGAATTTATTTCAATAAAGTGAGACATTTTATAATATAATACGACGTAGACGCAATCAAAAAAGAAATTCTTTGCAGATTGATATTTATTAAATACTGATTCGTATTTCGTTTGCGTAGTTCAAAGCTCAAGTTATAAACGACTTTCCAGAAGCATATATGCGCAAGGATATGTATCTTATCAAATGGCTACAGGGTAAAATTATTAAAGTTTTTCACGAATACATATATATGTAAATGTACAATATAATTATTAAATTTTAAAAAATTGTTTGCAACAAAGCGACCGACTATAAAGTAGACAATGCCGTTGAAAAAATTCGAAAGGTGAGACGACAAATTCATGCAGTATAATTAGTTCATTTGACGTATAACAATTTCGAATTAATGGCAGATGATATCGTGGAGGGCTGAGTATAAAATGGATCAAATAATGAAAGAGGATTTTAGCGACTTGTGAGTAAATTATTCAACCTTGTTTATAAAAGTAGATATATTTAAAAAAAATCATAACTAACTTATTGTTCTGAAAATTCAAATTAAAAATATCGCAACCTAATTGTGTCATTATGTGCCAAACTATGTGTATTATTGTGGTGCCCCCACATCTGCAATCAGTGATGAGTTCCATGTGGCGTTATCCATGTTTTTTTGTCTATTTGTATCTTCTAAATATTCAATAAGAAATTTTAATATTGCTTGGATTTTTGCATTTCACATTATTTGTCGCATCCAACAACTAAAGTTTTCAATTTATAATTTTTAGGGAGCGTCAATTTCCAATTCGAATGGACGCTGTAGACTACGTTGGCAGACCTGGTATACTAATCAGCATTAAAATCTACCACCGTGGTACAATTGGTGACTGAGTGTTTTCTGAATTGTACAGTTGGGACTGCGGACATTGCGGAGTGGGATGTGCGAAAAGTTGTCTTGATGGGAAACAAGGACAAGGGGATACGGTTTGTTTTTCGCATGGCGGAAGTCGGAGTCCTTCGGGTGATGGAGCAGCATGAACAACATCCGAACGTGTCGTCAGGAATTATTATCATGAATTTGGACGGATTTAACAGTAAACAGCACGGATGCCCTGAGTGTACTTCATATACCAACTTTATGCTTAGCACATGTCATAATTTCGACAGCCAAGTGCATAATATATCTGTAGTTGAATAACAGACGCACTGGTTTATCCACAGGTATTCCCATTTGTCGGAACCTGATTGTAGCGCTGGAAAGCTATTTCCCGTTCATGATTCACAGATTTATTGGAATTAACAGTAACGACGATTCAAATCTCAAATAAGTATACTCAATTCGACTTGTTCTAATCTACGTGATTTTTTTGTAACTTTTTAGCCCCCATGAGCTTTTACTCAGTTTTTAGCTTGTTTGCCCCCTTGATGAAGAAACATGTTCGAAATGTCATCAAAATTTATGGACCAGACAAGCGACAATGGAAACCAGCAATTCTGAGTCTTATTTCTCCTGACCAGATTGAACAACAATTCGGAGGCACACGCATTTATAATTGACATTTTGTCATTACATGGTTTTGTGTATACCTACCAACAAATAAATTGATATAATTATTCAATAAACTCACTTCTACGTATATGCAAATTTTTGAAACAACCACCTATGCGCTGCGTATGTCATTCAGCATTTTCACCCGTACGCCAAAATTAGTATGTCTGTCATTTTGACCTTGATAGCGGGTAATTTAATAAGAATGAAACTGCGTAAAAGTTATTCATATAACTTTAATTTGAATTTCTGAACCTTTTGTGTTCGTGAGAGCGTAATTGCCTATACGAAATAACTTCTCGCAGACTCAAAGTTCCATGAAATTTCCAAAGTCAAAACATTTAAAAGGAAATCGTAGAAAAAGATGTTGCAAACAAAATATAAATAGCTTTCTCATCAATATGATTCAGTTATAAAGAACTCGAGTAACCATCAAATCTGGAAACTTTGAACCCTACGTAGTTGAATTAGTTGCAATAGGACATAATATTGTTAGCATTTCGGTACAGCTCTGTGGTGCTATATCAAGTGTTTAGAATGCGATTTTGGATATTCTGTCGAATAAATAGCAAGTTGGCATCTGAAAGAGTGTTTAACATCGGGTAATTCATCATCCTAAATGCCTCATACCTATATTTACACTACGTACATGATTATACAACGCACAATTCCAATGAGCAGGTGTTGCTTGGCATGAACCGTAATTAAATAGATGCCTTTAAAGTGACACGACGCCGGTCTTGACTTTTCAAGCAGTCATTCATTGCAGTCAGCATCATCACAACTCAACAAATTAGATAAAGGTATTGTATTTGTTCGCCAGGTTTTGTGTAAATATTTTGCCGTCAACCAGCACGAGCTTACCATCAACCTATGAGTTTATGGTGGGAGGGAAGCCTTACATTGTCGTGATGCATACGAGGCGTTAGTTGATAGGTGGGTGGATTTGGCGTGGGTAGACTGGATGCGACAGGGACGGTTTTGGTTGCTTTCGAAAGTCAGGAGAAAGTCAGGAGAAATCTGCCCAGTGATTGATCTAGGAGTTGACAGTCATCACCGAGAACTTGGTCAGCTTGTTGTACTCAATATTTTACAGACAAAAGTTTTCAAAATGATTGCAATAGAGCTTGTGAGGGCCATATTTTTCGGCGTCGTGCTCAGCGCGACAATCGGCAACAGTGAAGCAATGACGGTGGAAGGGGTCCGAAATTTTGAAAAGGAAATGGAAAAACTCTCCTTACGCCGACAAAAAAGACATCCTGAACACCTGGCTGCGGATTATCCAACTTGGGTGCGGGTTGGGGGTAAGCGAGTCATAATTGTTTCATTAGTTATTGCTACTTCATTGATAATGCATTTTTACGATTGACTTTCACAACTTTTATTAAGCAATTATAAGTTACACGTAAACGCTAGGGAGAAAAGAGGGAAATTTGAGACAAAATTTGTCCTTTCACTCTCTCCTGCATAGGCAGTTCTTATTTCCAGATAGTCTGGAAATCCAGTAGCTTGACGCAACTTAGCAAGAAAAAGTAACTTTTTTGATTCGCCGTTGAGTAAAAACACAAGATTCCAATAAGCATGTTGTAATTTGATTCCAATGAAAAGTTATCTTGTTTCACTTTGTTTTTGTCACACGATTGCATTATTTGATTTCTTGGTATGTTCATTTCGTGTCGGAATTTGCTTCAGATCAAGTGGATGAACACAGATTTTTTTACCTTCTTCGATGAGATTTGATACAATTGCGTCTTTTATTACTAGCATTCCTTTAATAAGTGACCTTTCTACATATATACGACCTGATCTGGATCACTGTTTCTCTGCGTGCACACTCCACATTCTACTTCAAACAGTGGAGGCGTAGATAATTGACGGATCAAAAGAATCTAGTCAAGTGCCCACTTTCACTTAGTTGGCCAGGCTTATTGCATATTAAGGAACTAAAAATACACAGAAAACAAAGCACTTGTGAGTACAATTTCAACAATGCTGTGATATTAACAATTTATAACATTCCTTGTACCAGAATGCCCCATAACCTTGGACGGTCATCACCAATACTACTGCCCAACACCATCACCCGATGGACGATGGGTGTGCTTGGATGGTAAATATTTACATAACTAAATAAGCATTAACTGTAAACGAATGAATTTAATGTATGCAATAATTTTAACAAACCGTATCTTTCAAATTGTAAATCCGTGTGGGTCAAGCACTACATATTTTGTATTTTAAGTGTGGCATATGCATTTTCCCATATATTGCAAAATTGTAACCTTCTTGACTGACTTACATGCTGTACATTATTGGGTTCCACTGACAAAAAAATCTAGAGATTACGGCATAAATATTCTTTCCTTAAATCTTTCCTTAAGCCCAACTTATCCTCAAGTTAACCACTTACCGATCATGGTTACCTTCGAATTCATTCAAGGTCTTGGTCTTGATCATTTTAAGACAAACTTGGTCAAAATTGGTTCATTTCAAAAGATCATATACATTTTCGACTTGAATTCTTCCAACAGACTATCAATTGTGTGACGGGATCAGAAATTGCCCGAATGCTGAGGATGAATGCCTGCACTGGTGTCTGTTCTACAAGTCCGTATGTGCAAAAAATAAGTAATATGTGAGTTGAGATCATAAAGTCATTCTTGTATAAAATGTGTCGCAGTTGAAGTCGGAGGTCAGCCTGCTGTCCCGATCCATGGCTGCCCTGTTCAAGAGGGAACAATTGATGGAGGAAGATGTCGTAGTCCTCCACGCCAAAGTCGATCAAGTGCGCCAGGAAGACGAATCTGCAAGCCGACATCATCGCCAGAATGGACGATTCGTTCCCGTCGAGTAATCAGCCATCCATATTCTGGTTCTCTCTCCAGATTTTCATGGATGCACATACATACGTATTCTGTTGAATTCTTTGTAAATTTAAATGAAACATTCACATAAACTTTATGAATCGGACAATTCACATCACAAAATTTATCCTCAAACTAAAGCACAACTAGCGATAAGTTTCAAGAGCAAAGATGAACCTACACATACTTGCATTCCCAAATTGAGAATCTCATTTCTGTTATTGCTGTTGGGATTGCGACACAAATTCTCATTCAAGTTCTTGTGGATTCATTCAATTGCAATTATTTTAAGCCTCTCCATGTTTCTTTAGTGTAATGTCTTGTGCAGTAGTATATATGTAATGTTGGTATTATTTATGGAAGTAAATACTAGTTATCTAGTCATACCTTACTACACTTACAATGGAGGTCTCCCAACGTATGCTCACAGATTTGGACCAAATTAGCGTCAATCGATTACAAATATAATTAGTATGAAATTTGCAAATGGAACTATCTGCCAATGCTCAAGTTTAGCCGAGATATTTGCATCCAAAGCGAGAAAAATGGGCAGCAAATTTTGAAAATGACAAATTTGCCAGCCTTGGGGGTGCGTTTTCTCCTCTTTTTATGCAAATATCTCCGCTAAACTTGAGCATTGGCAGATAGTGTCGTTTGAAAATTTCATACTAATTAAGTATGTCACTGCTTGACACTAGTTTGGTCAAAATCTGTGAGCATACGTTGGGAGACCTCCATTGTTAGTTATCTAGTCTTCTTAGATTTATCCTAAATCACTTATGCATGTACAAATCTTACTGCATAGAATTAATGACATCTGATGTGTGTAGTGTATTACTTATAGTACAAAAAAAGTTATTTCTCTCGATCGATAAGATATGTATGTACATTCACTAGGATTAGCTCGTTAAATTGTGTTTATCTGTACTGGGTGTGTTTATGCGACGGTCAGCAGATTGAGTTTGAGCCATAGATTGAGTTTGAGCCCGTTTGAGCCATACAAATATACTTTATTATTGACATTATTGGAAAATCAGTCAATCAAAGGTCAAGTTGAATGGGTGGATGGGATTGTTGCTTGTATATTAATCAATCAGCTTTATCGACGTTTGATAACATCAGACATCGTAGTATCATCATGACAGTCCTGTCAAAATAGTTCTGCAACTACATTTTATTATCAGTGTTATAATAAATATTGGTAGCTAGAGGTCAAATAAATGTTAGTTTAATTGTTAATGATGAGTGTTTCAAATTATTTCCAATTAGTTCGAGTCATATAGTCATGAGTAAAATCGTATGGTTATTGTTGACTTGTGAAATCATGGCACTCATCGTCAGTTTATTTATAGCATATGTATCATGAAAAATAAAACAAAATTATTTAGTAAAGTAATTAATTGGCAACAAACTATACTGGTAACTTGTACAACAGATGTTTTGTTTACATTAAAATAAATTTACGTCAGGGGACAACCTTTAGGAAGGTATATCCAGTAAGATAATTGAAGAAGCAAAAGTGATAGCAGATTCACAAAAACTCTAATGATTATGTTGTTACGAACACCTGCCATGGTGCCCTTTATCATGTAGTAGCAAATTTTATCCTTGGCGTTCATCAATTTCCAAACTTCTGTACCCTCAAAGTCGTCACCTTGGTCCTTGAGCCCATAGTAAACCCAGCCTTTCATGGTTAATAAGGGCAGTCGCTTGCCTAAACCTTCCATCAATGCGTATTGGAGACTGATTACTCGTTTATCCGTTGATTTCAAACTTGCCATCCCAATGTTTTCATACAGCTTTTTGAATAATTTTGGATCTGCATGAAGTGCCAAGTTAAAACGATCTTCCAGACCCAGCAACCGCCCAATCACAGCCCAAAAGTGGAAAAATCCATCCATTAATTCCATATTTGTAACACCCAAGGACTTCGGGTAGAGATACACAAGCCCAATGAAGCCAAACTGCAATTTTAAACATCAATATTAAGACATTCGAAAAACATTGATGGCACTATAAATAAGCTTGCCTGCGTCATCGCGACATCAAATTGGCTGAACTGAAGTGGTGGATTCCACGTGAGCAGATGCTCGGGGGCGTCAGGGAATTTAAGATGGGCTAAATCTTTTCTAATCGCATTTACTAGCTTCTTCATATCTGGAGTATATCCCATCTCGGCTAAAGATGGAAAGGGTTTGGAACTCTTGGCGTAATAAGTATGGAGCTTCCGAACAGCCTTGATTTCTGGAAATATGAACGTATTGATTAGCTTCAGATGAGTTTGCTTCAAAACCTGTGCATGCACGGGTACTTTAATTGTAAACTATAAAAAATGATTCAAGATGAAAATAATTTTCTTTGTTACGGAATGCCTAGTCTTTTCTGTTATTTATAGTATATATAGATATTATTTATGAGCTTCTCTTTTATACAATAAATAGTCCACTAACTAGCATTATTCTTAGTTCAATAAAACAATAAACTTACGTTTGAAACCTTCAGAGTTGACATCGCAAATATTACAACGGTACCAAGTTGAGATGCGTTTACCAGTAGACATGTACCGAAGGAATGCATTCTCAGGTTGATGAAACTTGCCACTTTTGAGAAGGACGACGGATTCGGGCTTAACTGAGAAGCCGAACATGAGTGCCGCTATACAAGGATTATGGAACAGGGGAAATTACCTTACAACGTTTAAAGACGTGTATGTACATGTGTTTACTCAACCTGTGTTGGCCATGACCAGGGCGAACAAGTTACATATTCCAAACTTGACCCCGTCCTTCATCAAGGAGGGATTAGCCCAAGGTATTTCCGACACTGGAACGAGGTCCATCTTATCACCGGGGATGTAGGGAGCCTCATTTATGAGCCGGTCGTAAAAACCTTCAATATCGGGGACGAATGGGGGATCAGTTTCCTTTTCAGTGGAAGAAATTCTTATGACTTCAGTTGTTCCGTTAATCTGATTATTGTTCCTTTTAGTCAAGGTCATGTTGTGATCAATGTTTTTCTCCGAGTGGAATAATAATTCCGAGTTGAGAACACTCGAAAGTTGGGATTTGGCAATGTCGTTGTCAGGCTTCATTATATGAAGAACTCTGAACGAGCACGATATAGATATTTATAGTAAACCGGCAATTGTGATAGGTTTGGGAATAACTAAAAGTTCTTCGTGCCAAAAAAAATATTTCTGGTTATGCCGAATAACTATCTTCCTATTTAAACGTAATAAGTCATTGGATGATGGTCAGGAAACAGTTGAGCAAGGATCAATTAATTTATCCAGTGAAATAAAAAAAAACTGCGTTTTTCTCTCAACCCCAGTAGAAAGAATGAAGCAAATGACATCTTGTGAAGCCACTTTTGTCAACCTTATTCCACGTATATTTGATAATTTCGTTTCCATTAAGCGATACTGATAACCAGTGTAAATGTTTAGCCCAAGTATTCAGTGCATACTTGTTGACATGCTCACACGTACACACTAATGCATAAACATATTGCAAAATTTAACGAAAAATTTGATAGGTCGTTGTATGGAAAAGAACATTCGATCGGAGTTATTGGCTTAAATAGCTTCATCAGTTTCAAATACCCAAGCTAAATATGTACGTGTAATCTAGTGTTACTTGTGTTACTTATACTGGAGTTTGTTCAGGCTTGCACTTCAACCAAGAATCACGAGGAATGCTTTGATACAATATGAACACCAAAAAGTCGTACAACTTGATGTTCAGTAAAAGAACATCTTCTACTGCATTGTGGGAAATCCATTGAAATGAAAATAACAATGATCAACAAATATGATGCATGGGTGGTACAATTTATGAGACTCGTACATAGCATGAGCTTTGAATGAAATCATTCAAATACTGCTTTAATTGCACGATTGACAAGTGCATGCAATGTTTAATACATGTTGTAAAAGTAGTAGCATAATTAACCATATCCTACGTTTGGTAAATCAATAAAAATTATCGATATCTTCCACGTCCATCTTTGTTCCACCAAACTGAGGTCGAATCTGGTCTGGCTCAATCACTTCCCTTATGGCTTCCGTCCAATGCCGTTTGTTTGTTCCATGAATTGACCAGGTATCAGTCGTCGACTTGGTGAGAACAGGTCGAGCAATCCTTAATAGGGTTTCAAATGCAGGGCTGGCTGTCGGGAGAATGACAAAAGTAAACGACATATGAAAGTACGTGTATACAAAAATGCACAAAGGTTGCAAGCTTACTGTTGACCATGAAAAACTTGTGCAGCATTCCTGGAAAGTGATTCTCGTACACTATCAGAAATTGGACATAGAAAGGAAGGCCTGTAATATGGAAAGGTGGTTAAACTTGGCTTTTGCTGGTAATTAATCAAGGCCAATAGCGCATGGCGTGCTTACATTGAACACAGGCATGCTGAATTAAATTAAATCCGTCCAAATTGGCAATCAGGGTGAACTGCGTAACATTTCGGCCAGCAGCCTGATCAGCTCTCACCAGTTTGGATGCGAATTCTAATACGCTAATAGCGTAACGGTAAAGTTCGAGTGCTCGGCCAGCAATCACTATGCGTCGAGGATCCCAAATAGCAATATCTGCAGATCCAACTAGATCGTATTATTTAATACAAATTGTTAATCAATTGATTTCAACTTTCTCTTGTCAATACAAAGCTGTTAAAATATATGTTAAATGATTTTACTTGGACGGTCATCTTTGTCTCGTCCATCCAACCAGAAAGGAAACCGTTTGACGAAATAACTGAAATCCTCTTCTAATATCGTGTCCACCTTATACTCTTCCCTCCATTTCAGGTTCTGCAATTAAAATAATCCTTATATTAGGCCTAAAAAAACCTCATAGAATATGTGAAAAATGCTGTCTTCATGTTTGTAATGCATATGCATTTTTGTGTTTGCACACAATAAAATATTTAATGTTACTGTGCGTACATTTGTTAACATTGTTTTTGCTGCCTCGATGTCCAGGTTCTTTGCTATAAATAAGAATATACATAACAAATTGAATCATGTATAAAACAAAATGCACATGCATTTTTTATGCACATTTTTCGTACCTCTGAGCCATCTTATCAAATAAATATCTTCCTGCATGTAATCGTGAGGAAGCAAGTGGCCGACTTCTTTTCTAAACTGCAATATTTTGCGACAATTATTCCAAGTCGGCAGTATTACTATATAACTTCCAAAGATATATCAACTCACGCTGTCCAACGCCACACGCTCCTTGAGGGTGAGTGTCAAGTCTTCTTCGACAGGAATTGCGTCACAAAACTGGAGTAATATCAAAGCCAAGGTTATGGTGAAATAATACTGTTTGATAAATGTTAATTGCATTATAGTCTGCAGTGGAAGGTAATAAACTATCAATAATGGTACGTTAATTTTTAGTCTTGTATGAAATTTTGAAATGAATGTGGTGAGAATGCCTTGGTATCAAAACCAGAATTTTCAATCAAGCTTAAAAAGAAATAACTCCTGAATTTGTAATACTTTATTTGCCACTAGCATATCACTACCACACGTCGATATTATGTCTAATAGATAGTGCATGATTTAAACAAACGTGTCTCGTTACATTTTAGGAAGAGCTATGTAAAATGGAAAGGTACAAAGTTGTCTCAATTTTTTACGTATCTAGAAGCTCCAGCTAGAATCCAGGAGCTAATACAATTTCTTGGTAGCTTTGCATATTGCATGCACACATTTAGTATCCGAGTTACATATGCAGAAAACAGGTTCTAACAATAAAAAAGTACAAAGCCATCGTCATGTCATGTAAGTTAGTCTCAAATGTTACGTATCTCACGAAATACTGATAAAAACGTTGTCGGGCGTCTTGTTATTGCAAAGACCTGCTCGTCAATATTGAGAAGAAAACTCCCACTAGACAAGGAAAACTGTTCACAAATATTCGCAAAATTGGATATTTTCATCACGGAATATTTGGCACCATTTCATATGAAATATATGTATTATCCAGCGTATAAAAACTGCTGAAATCATATATACGTACACATGTACGCCGATTTGCAATTTTTCTGTATGACTCAAGTCCGACGACATTGATTAATACAACATAAGTAATGAGTGACGCATATAATACATAAACATTTTACAAGTAAATATTTCTCTGTATTTTTATCCACAACATTTTAACAAACAACAACAAATGGAGCGAGAAGGACGTAGTAACAAGTATGCATAAAAAATTGTCAAAATTCTGTTGATCACTTTAGAGAAATATTTAATATGGAGACATCATCATACGGCTTGTCAGTTTTAGGGTTCGTCTTAACTAAAGATATATTTTGAACGGTTTCCATTCCTCGCACTACTCTTCCAAATACGGTATGTTTCCCATCCAGCCAAGGCTATTGACAATGATTAATTATTAGAACATTTGAATAAATGATCTAAACTACTATAAAATCATAAAAGCGCATCATACCGTGGGTATTACAGTTATAAAGAACTGACTCCCATTCGTGTTTGGGCCAGCATTGGCCATGCTAAAGAAAACAATAAAGTAGGATAAACAATGCAATTAGATTAAATCGATAAAAATAAAACCCAACCTAAGAGTGTACGGTCGATCATGCTTCAACGAAGAATGGAATTCGTCCTCGAATTCACCACCCCAAATGGATTCTCCACCAGTTCCGACTCCTATAGCATGCATAAGTGAGGGAATCAGATAAATTTGTCCGTACGGTCAAGGAAACTGTACATTTCATTAATCAGAATCGATCAGAAACAATGTTTACCTGTGGGATCTCCTGTTTGTACCATAAATCCTTTGATCACTCGGTGAAAAATGTGACCGTTGAAGTAACCATTCTTAGCGTGCATGCAAAAGTTCTCCACAGATTTAGGAGCTTCTTTCCCAAACAATCGTATCGTAATGTCACCTTTGGTGGTATGCATAACAGCAGACTCGTAAATTTTCTGTCCAACTGTAATCAATTATAAAAACCTTTAATAATAAATAACTTTGATCGATGAAGGAACAATGTAAACAAACTTACATGAATCATCCGTAGCCGAAATAATTTCTTCTTTGCTTGGCTTCTCGTTGAATACGTCCCTATCAGAGCTTTCGTTCATTTTCCCAAAGTCGCGCGTCGTAAACATGTAAAACCGATTCTTTTTGTAACTTGTGCAGAACAGCGTCGGGTCGGAACTCACATTATCCAGAGTTGGATTATCTGCAGCTTCTAATTCAACACTTGTGGTACTAATGGGTTTTTTCACCTTTCCTTGAAATAAGCTTATGCCTAGGATCCTCAAATTTTCTGGCTTTCCCAAATATCTTGTAAACGTATTTGTGAATATGTTTACAATTTTAACCCCAAATATTGTTGGGTAAAGTAAAAAATTGCTAGTTTCGTCAAACGCCATCGTAGAAAACTTTAGAAAGTCTGACTTTTCTAATTCCTTTTCCATGGCCATTCGCCTGCCAAAATCCATAGTGGGTAAAAGCTGATCACTCTGTTGCATCATTTGGATGCTGTGCATGCTCTCGTCAATTACTAGCTTCCTTCGTGCACGAAGAAAATCAAATAAGTAAATCTGAAACAAATATACAAATTTACTAAAATTGACAATAAAGAATAAAGTGACAAATTTAATATAGTCAGATACCTTTCGATTGCTTGTTAGTGTTGCAAAGAGTTTTCCACTGGGGCTCAAACAGGCCGTGTGAAATTTTACTTTATCTTTGACAAAGTCGAATAAGTTGGTGTCAAGTTTGGACTCAAATTTAAGGTTTTTTGGGAACTGAAAATCCGATTTGTAACCAGTCCAATATTCTACCATTCCGGAGGTATCAAACGAAATCACACAATCAAATATAGGATTATATCTAATGACCGACACTGGACTTCGATGAATTGTGTCCAAAACTTTTAGTGGTTCATTGCCGTCTTGTCGTCCATCGTAGATGTAAACTTTTCCAGAGTCTTCGTCAGATCTAACGAATGTAGCACAATAATGTAATTGAAATTGAAATTATCCTGATTCTTTGCAAATAAACTTACACCGCAAGAGCCGGGAGAGCATCTCCAGAATGATGAATCCATTCGCAAGTCAAAGGAGTATAGTCAGACTTCATCATATTAATCATATCTAAATTAAATGACAAATTGAATACAACAATGTGAATTTACCTATATAATAGTAACATCAGGTACCAAAGCTAGGTCAACATTAAATACATATTTACCAAAATTAACAACATCAAATACTTTGATGGATTTATCGTTCGACACGGAACACAAGAGCGTCCCAACATGGTTCGTGCTGAGACATTGGATGTTTCCGAGATGACAGCGAAAGTGTTTTACAAATTCGATCCCTTCATCCTGTTTCTTCCAAAATTTGACGTGACCATCAACACTCCCTGTGACTACAAAGTCGGTGCTGCACAAAATATTGAATGATTTGCAACAATATAATATTGTTTCATTTAACATTCCTAAAATTGTGTTATATTTATTTCTTTTACTTGGTCACCACAATATGGGAAACGACATCACGGTGCATATAACTTTTTTCGTAATACTCAGCATCTGGTAAATTCGTCAAGTAAAGTTCCTCGTGCCGTAAAACTGAAATTACGAATTACAAACACAAATTATTGCAACTAATTTCTAGACGATATATCCAAATTCATAAACACAAAATTAATGCTTAGCATGTCGCTATACTTATTACAGCTTATCGATCACAGTTCGTGTTGACTCAATTAACCAAATAAATATAAATTAATTGAAATTACCTTTTTTAGGTGGAATTTTAGAAACTTGAGAGTCAGAGTTGTTCGAACTATCGGTTACCGGCATTGGACCAATAACTTCATCGTCGTCATCGTCGTCGTCGTCTAATGGCCGCTTCTTCCCTCGTTTATCTTCCTCACCACTCGACATTTCAAGTAAATTCTTAAAATATGAAATAAAGCAACACTCCAATAAAAATATTTGTAGTTTTATTTTGTTCAGAGAAGCGACTACAATGAAATTATGCCGAAGTTCCCACGAACGAAAAGGTGTCTCATTCAGCCCTAAAAGCAGTCTCATTTTTCTCACTCACAAGCGAATGACTCTCAAGTTCAATCAGTTGAATGGAAAACTGCTATTTGAAACAGATTATTCTAATTTAGACAAAATAACTTTAAGGTAATAACTGAATAACTTAAAATAACTCATTATTGATGGATTCCTACAGATCATAAATACAAGATTTCTCAAAATATTAAGCATTCTTAAGAAGGGACTAAACTAAACTTCGTCTCATTCTGCCTCAAATAGACGTATCTCTCTTCTTTCTTGGTTAGTATTTGGCTAGGGTTGGTTTTTTACAACTTGGGTCAATGGCAACCAACTCCTTCAAAGCTTTATTGTTCTATCAAATTCTAAGTTGTGTTTGTAATGGACGTTTAATTTCTTTTGCATTGAATCATAATGCTGTTTTGTCCTGCAACTGTTCATTTTCAATTTCGTAACTTGGTTTTGCTCGCAGTGTCCCTACCCTTGTTTGGCTTCCTGTTTGCCATTCTGTGGTCAATATTAACAGCATGGGAAAGTTCAACCCACACGCATTGCCATGTGAGAGGCAAACCAGAATTTGTCATCAATATTTGCACAAATAATTGTGGACAATGAAATGACCAATTGTTCTCAGGTTGCAAACATCCTTCCATCAGTTTCAGCAGCGCTGGGCAATTCTTTACAGGAGAACGTGTGGCAATGGTGCGTTGGTCTTCATGTCATTCCAAGATGTCTCATGATCTGGATGTATCACAAGTATCTCAGCCAGATCATCCACCAAACACTTTGGTTGATTGTGGGACTATGCGGATTGTTGCAGAGTTTGGAAAATTTTGGATTGTTGGGGCTAACTTTTGCGGGATCCGATGACAATTACGGTAATCAATAGATATCCATCTCCTATATATACATAATATGCGTTAATTGAATATTGAGTACATGCATGACCTGTTTTTTTTCCTTCAGAAATGCACCGAAATTTCTTCATTTTATTTATTTTATGTGCGGAAGCCTACTCAATCATTTTGGTAGTTTTGCTACAAGCCTATCGCAAATTGCCTGCAACACCGTTGGAAGAAAAGAGCCTTTTTGTAAAACGTGTTCTGATTATTTGTAATGTTTTCTCCCTTTTGTGCGCCATGTACACTTTCGCCAGACATAACTCATTGTGTGAACCCGGAGGTAGTACACTTTTATGCACATAATTACATTTTATGCATTGATTATCCAATCGTAACCAGATAACCAGCCAAATTTTGATGTTTGCAGTTTATTCACTTTTCGCTTTATTCGAATATATTGTAATCCTCACCAACATGGGCTTTCACATGACTGCATATTGGGACTTTCGTCACGCAATAATCACCACTGGTAAGCAGCAAGTGCTATATTTGACTAAGCAAAGCAAGAATGTATACCTTCGAAATATACTAATTTTGTGAATTGTGTGTAGACCATTGTCAAATGAGGTTGAAGAGTCATATGTACTCATGTGTTGATATTGTGTGACATATGTATGTGTTCAGTTTATTCCTGTTTATTGTATTAAAATTTGTCCAACAATTAACAAAGTAAATACGTCTATATTTATCCGGCCATTAAATAGTTTAATAAACTGTTATAATAACTTGCATTGAAATTAAACTACACAAAGGTGACTAGGAAACTTCGAATTTGGAATGGTTTAAAGGTCACATTGAACTTTCCTCCGGGCACTGGAACTTCTTCGCCCCCTTCGTCTTCCAGTCCATTGGACTCGAAAACTTTGTCCACGGTGAACCCACTTAGCGAAATACTGAAAAGGAGACACATTTTTTGTGAAAATGTGAATCATTTGGACGAAAGAAGTTAATATAAATATGTGCTGTTTTTCAGCCTACTCTGTTTTTGCGTAACCACCATAGGCCTCATACAAGCGTATGCAAATGGTATCCGTCGTCGAGTCAGTAGCATTCGAAACTTTGACAGCTTCAACCACCACGGCTGGGTTACTAGTCGTCACGAAGCTTGCGGGTATACTATTACAGACAGTTATTAAGAGTTTAGGGTTTTAATCGGATGCTTTACTCGAAAAAAGTACGGCACCCTTAATTATTTTTATTATGTCCTTACGTGTCTTGGGACATGTTTGTGGGAATCAGGGGAACGTTATTCGAACCATGGACGTTCAATTCATATGCCTTTTGAATAACTCCAGCGTTTTGGAACGACCCTGTTGCATAATATTAATTAATACATTTCTATATTTCCAGTTATGTTTCTTAATCAGTTGGAGAATTTGACGTGTGATTTAGTTTTTTTCCGACCTTTGTGTGGCATGACGGCATAGTAAATGTAGTGCTTATGCATGTCACAGTTGGCATCTGGATTTTTTGGTGATTTCAAAAGTGAAAGCTGAACGTGATTATCCCTGACATGCCACCCATATTTTGAATCAGTGATCACAGTGACTCCCTTATCGGCCTGGGAAATATCCATCCACCTGCGTGGTACATTACAAATCATAATTATTTTTATTATTGACAATCAATATATCAATACTGTAATGACTTACTTATGACCACACACTTCAAACTTGGCCATGTCCCAGCTAGTATTCATGTGCGTCGGACGACTAGCGTGGCCATATTGGATTTCAAAGCTAGCGTCTCTTGATAACACATCCATGGCAAATTCAGCCTTCAACATTTTGTGATCCTCTTTCCAGTCAACGATTGTGTAACTACAATAGATATGCACATTAATGAAAGTGCATTTGAAGTATAATTTTGAAGCAATTAGGTCATGTATTGAAGGAACGTACTATTCCACCATAGGGGAATCAGCTCGCATTATCGTATATCGCACGAAACTGCTTCCGTTTCCAAAGGTGGCTCCCCACTTGTAGCCACCCACAATATTTCCTTCAGCGAAAGTTGCTACTGGATGAGTTGTCACCAAGTTGGGGGGTTCTCGTCTAGTCTCCAAATGGTCTTCAAATTACAAGAACAAAAATGCCTCGATGTTAATAAGTAACATTTTGAAAATATTATTTGGAGAATTACTAAATCTTACAATCCATCACATCCCACGCATCCCAAAAGAGCGGAACGTCATCGTAGAAATATAGCATTCCTGGGCTGACACCGATTTCCAGATAGTCGTTGAAAGCGGGTAGTTTATTGTTCCCATCAAAAAATAGTCTCTCAACCGGGTGGCCATTTACAATATCAACTTCCAAAGTCAATTGACCATTGGTAAACGTTCCAAGATTTGGAGCAGACGCTAAATTGAAAGATCGTTGGTTGTGTGACTATACGTATGTATAATTCACCAATCTACAAATACATACATTGAAATGCGACAGGGACAGAAGTCACTTCATCAACAAAAAGGCTGTATCCTGAGGGGCGCATTGTAACAAGGGCTGCGTAGAAAGTATTGGGCACTCTAAATCTTCCTTCGCCTTGATTTTCGAATTCCTCGGTGGGGTCGAGTATTACCTCTTGAACATTGGGACCTACTACGGGTGCTACTGGCGGTTTCATGAATATGACCGATTTTGTTTGCCAGGGTAGACAATTGTACACTGCTCTGTTGTTACCAGCCAATCCCACAATACGAGCATTATACTGACTCCTTAGCTCCATTAAAGATGTGAAAAGCTTTTCATAATATTTCCAAGCATCTTGGGCGACAAACTCAATGCACGAGCCAGGCAGGACGTCATGGAATTGATTGAGGAGAAAGTCTTTCCAACACGCGTCCACCGTGGCCATATCACTAATTGTAAGAAGAAATGATCACTGATCATTATCAAAGTTTGGTACCTCATACATACATAGATTGTCAGAGGCATAAATTATGACTGATTTTATAGAAATCTTACGCGTTGATCAAAGCTTGGGAAACTAATCCTTTGGCGTAGGCCATTGCCATTTGATGTTCTACTTCTCTAAACAAAAACTCTCCTTTCCTGTTGTACCACTTAATTCTGGCCTGTCGTTCAAAACGAAAGGTATTATATTTACATGCACTTCAGATGTGTGCGTGCATATAAAAGAAAACTACTAAATATTTTACGAGGATGTACCTGGGACGTGTATGTGCCGTTGTGCAGTTCCAAATATAATTCCCCCACCCAGCGATAAAATTTATCAGATTCTTTCTCTAGTTCGTCAAAGAACTCGTTACTGTCGCTGAATTTAACCCTGTGCGTATCAAGAGCACATAGAGAAATAGACAATTGAAAAACAATCTTCTGAGTAATAAAATAAGGATATTATGACTGACTTTGGCATTCCATCCACATCTTGAACTCGCTTAATTCGTTCAATCATGGTCCTCGTTGGTCCACCTTTGCATTTCCAAAGAAAATTAAATCTAACAGTAAGTTGAAAGCCATAATAAAAATAATACCTCCCCCATCACCCCAACCGTACAAGAAAACGCCCGTATTTGACCGCCCCTTATCCAATGAATTGTTTCGAGAATTCAGAAATTCGTTTACACTAGAAAATGAAATTCGATCTACTAAATCCACTAATTATATTTTTCGTAATTAAGATTTACTCACGTGCAATTCATATTGTAACTGTCTCCTGGAGGAAAATGCACCATAACCTGCGTTCCATCAATACCTTCCCACCAGAAATTGTGATTTGGAAATTTATTAACCTACGAAGACAAACATTGCGTTAATTAGTTTTCGTCAATGCATGATTATAACTCGTGATGACCACCTTACCAGGGACCAAGACATTTTTTGAGTCAGAAATCGATTAATCTTGACGTGCTTCAGCATCTGCGGGATTTGTGCAGAATATCCAAAAGTGTCGGGTAACCAAAATTCTTTTGATAAAACTCCAAATTCCTTTTCAAAATACTTTTGCCCGTAGTAATATTGACGCATGAATGCTTCTCCACTTTAATTATTATATATTTTTGACAGTTAATAAATTCATATCCAATTATGTAATTTTCATGTATTACTTTGGAATGTTCCCGTCCTTCAAAATATTTAATATTTAAACGTTAGGACACATTAATGCGTACAAATTAATAGTAAAAAATGTACCATTTCAACCCATGTCCCTCCAACAGGGACAAATTGACCAGAAGTAATTTTGTTCTTGATTTTTAAAAACAAATCTGGATAATACTCCTGCACCCAAGCATATTGCTGGGCCTAAAAGAAGTTGATCTTAAGTTATTCACAAAAATTTTAAGGAAAAATCACATGCAATTCAAATATTTTATAAGTATACCGACGAGCACACAAATTTGTACTCTGGGTATTCTTCCATCAGACCAAGTTGTGCTGAAAATGACCGTGCACATTTCCTAATTGTTTCATCATAAGGCCATAACCAAGCTGAATCTATTTAATTTAATAATTTACACGCAAATAAATCTCCATGTAGTTGCATATAGTGCTATAAATTATGATAAGCATTTTTATATTAGATGTACCTATATGACAATGACCCATGGCATATAAAGTGTGAGCCTTCGTTCCTGTTCCTTCAGCGAAAAAGGCTGAGGCAAGTTCCCGTGCTTTACTGCAACAATTTTAATTACTATAAAATAATGAAATCTTAATCATTAGTCCAAATGTTCCCATCTTATGTTATGTATATTACGCCGCATTTCCTAAACTGAATTGGGTCACCATCTCATTAGCCACAAACATTGCTTGCTGAAACGTCACAATTGATGTGTAATATTTCTCTATAAAAGCACACTCTGAGGATTCATGTACTAATATTTTTTTAACTTACATATCCAATGTGATCTTCGGACATGTGTTCTGACATTCCATGCAATTGTTCAATGTCAATCAACAAGTTAAAGTTTTCTCTATTAAAAATGGCAATATCAACGGTGGAAAGAGTCCAGAATCTATTATCATCAGGGGGAGCTAAAGAAAACCGTCGACCGTGCACGATTTTAATGCATAAATAACATTATCATTTTCGACATGTATTCATTCCAAACTAACCAATACTCCCATCACCAGTCCGTCCAGCTCCAAACATAGTGTTGCAAGCCTATGATATATTGATATATAATGATATTATAAGCCAATAGTATATATCAAAGCCAATAGTTCAATATACTATATGCTATATAATATATATAGTATCAATATACCATCTCAATATAGTATTCAAGCAGAGGAAGATTCGCAGGATCGTATGATTTTGTAACAATATACTCTTCTCGATATCCGGGAGAAATACCCTGAAACAAGAATCGAAGCGTATACAAAATATCCAGGTAGACGACTGAATTGTCAAATTCACCTGCAAAACCACGAGATTGTTGCCTTGCTTTTCGTAAACACATGCTTCAGACCCCGACACAAACCGAAGATGAAGTTCCTTTGCAGTCCAGGAGGCTGGAGGTGCGTTGAAGGTCACCTGAATAAAATTGCTATGAAGTTTGCAGACAGGAAGAAGCTTAAAGCGTAAGGCTTCTTACATGGAACCAGTGCGTCGTCCATGTAGGACCTAATGTGTATGACAATAAGATATCAAAAAATGGGTCACATTTATTATTAATAATGCAAGAGTTTCATTATAATTTCTTGCTAAAATTTCCAGTTTTAAATACCAAACTGATCTCCAGTATTTACGGGGACATAACGAGCTTCAATGATATCTTGCTTGGTATACTCTGTCCAACTTCCGTGTGGTCCAGAAATCGGGAAATGTTCCAATACTACATAATCATTATGATAAAATGAAACAGGTGCATGGATAATTTCAATACAGCCACATAACACATTCGAAATGCGAGTTGATGTATTAAAAGTGTTGTACTCCACTAAAAAGTTATGCGTATGAATTTACCTGTGAATGGATGAGACTCTTTTTCATAAATCTTACTGGACAAATTGATGTCCTTAAATAAACTTCCTGAAGAATAAAATCCGGAAATACGCCCCATCGTCGTTTGTTTATTTTTGTGCATTGGGGCACGCACTTCGTTCAACGCCATTTTGACGATGGGATGATATTGTAGAAATGTTTATAGACAGAAATTAGCAAGAAAACAAATCAGTGATTTATGCACAAAAAATAAAACAAATTGTGCAAAACCAAATCGGCGCAACATCCGTCCACCATGAAATTTTTCAATGTACTGTGTCACTGAATGCTACACAATTGCAACTGTCATAATCACGAAACAAGTCCGCCCTGTTTTATGAACTTGCTTATCAATAAGTCAAGCATCGCATATTTAACAGCTAATTTACCCAGCTTAATCTTTGTTTTTTTAGTAAATTACACCAAAAGCGACAATAGTTTTGTGTTCTGGATATAAATAAATAGATAAGGCTGCTCTCTTTAGCAGTGTTCTTTCGTCCCACTCATGCTAATTGAGTAATTAAGAATTAAGCATTGCTGTGATGTAGCCGTTATACCAAATTTGATTAATTTTGTACACTTCCACTCCTAATGATATGATATCTGATTCTAAATTGACTGCAAGTTAATATTTTAGAATGAATAGCCCAATTTTTTAGCCCGAACCAGGGCTTATGTAATCGTCATGTCCGTCCGTCTGTCCGTCTGTCTTTCGATAACTCTCGAACGAGTTGACCGATTTGAACCAAATTTGGTACAGACATGTATCTGGGCTATGCAACGACCGAGTTCGAAGATGAGTTCGATCAGAAAAGTTTTGGACCCGTGGGGGTAATGGGAGTGGGTGGGGTATTACGCACCAAAATTTCAAAATTGTCGTAGAAAGCTGAAATTTGGCACAGAGGTTGCTAATGGCTCCTAATAGATAAAAATGAGTTCAAGTTGGAAAGATTTTCATCTTGACGGACCCTAGGGGGTGACCCATACTGATTTTTCAAAATCGTCATATCAAGTTGAAATTTGGTGGAGAGGTTGCTTATGGGTCCTAATGGAAGAATATGACATGAAATTGGTAAAATTTTTATCCAGAGCGACCCTATGGGGTGACCCATATAGATTTTTAGAAATTAACATAGAAAGCTGAAATTTGGACCAGAGATCCTTACTGCTTTCTCATGAAATAATATGAAGTTAAAAATGAACAAAAATTAACCAGAGGGGCTGTAGAGGCGACCCCCACTGGGAAGTAGTCTAAGACAATGGATAGTAAATATTTTTAGGATTTGGAGCCTAGTAGTACGAAAGATTGATGCAAGTTAATGCAAAAATTAGTGTAAAATAGTAGCACATAATTTTACAGAAAACTACTGAGAAACATGGGTTTACTAATCCTGGTTCGGGCTAAGCAAAGCTGTACTGATAGGTTTTATTTATATTTACTACAAATAATGAAGTATGCACATTTTTGTTGTGTAAACTTGACATATTCATCAAATTTAGTGAAAAATGAATCATAAAAAAATAGTCAAAGTCTAATGATCTCTATTACCTGAATCAATAATAATTTCATGCAAGGAAGGTTTATTGGCCGTTGAATTTTGAGAGTGGGTTTGTGTGAAGTAAGAGTGGGCGTTGTCTCATACAATTTTATTTAATTTTTACATGATTTATGTGATTAAGTGTTTGTTGCTTGATATTGCATAATACACATCAACATCCAGCGCATAGTACAATTTTATTTATTTATACATATACGGAATTTGTTAAAAAGTTTAATGTTTCCATTTTATTGAGCGCTAAATGAAGCACAACAGATTTTTCTTTATATGCAAATTAAATTAAAATGCTAATCCAAGCTACATATGTGTATGAAAGTTGACATAAATAAAGTAGCAAACAAAACCCAAACCAACCCAACCCAAAAATGAAGAGATGAATATTCACTAGTTTTCTCACGTTGAAATTTGGCCATTGCGGGATTTTTGCTGCTTGATTTTATTTATAATCTGGTCTGACTGAATTTTGATATTTTTTCATCTTTAAAATTTCAAGTCCAACTCAGGAAAATGAAGTCTGCGTTTAAAAAGTTAGCTTTGCAAGACGGCACCGTGAAGCAACTTGACCCGGAGGAACTTTCGAAAAACATTGTTCTGCACCTTCTTGTTGCTCAGCAGAAGAAGCAACCGACTAAAAAGTCAGAGTTGGTGAAATCCATGAACAATCAATCCAAGGATTTCAAACAGACGATTTCAAATGCCGAGAGCGAGCTGTGGGACGTTTTTGGGATGCAGCTTGTTGGAATAAAGCAAGTCGATGGACACGTTTGGAGCGAATGTCCTTGTCCTGCTGCCAGCCAGTTTATGATCATCAGCAAATTTGCGACCTCGGTCAAAGACAGCTCCGGTTCACCTAGGATGATGGCCAATGTCGTCAAAGGAAGCGCTATTGGACTTATCTTGAATACATTGTACATTCTCAATCGAGAGGTCAAGGAAGGTATAACTGTCTGTAGAAATATTACTAATTTGTGTCACTCATTCATATCAGCCTGACCTTTTGATTGACTAGTGTTGTGTATCTATCTGGTTTTACAGAATTTATTTGGAACGTGCTCCAGAACGCAGAATTGGCAAAAGCTGTGAACGATAGACAAAACAATCTTCATCAATTTTTGAAGACTGTGAGCAGTTCGCTTATTGTTTATACAATCTTCAGACACATGTATTTATCCTGGATTTATAAACTATTTGCAGGAATTAGTGGATACTATGTATGCAACTCGATCAGAAGTTAAGACGAATGATGAAAGTAGCTTCCAATATACCTTGGGGATTCGTGCACATCTGGAATGCGACAAATATGCAATGCTGCAGCATATTTCTCGAGTAATATGAAATGCTGATTACACATGCATTGCATTGTTACACGTCTTTGCAGTAGTTAATATTACTTGTATAATTCTCTCAGGTTTTAGGAAAACCAATAACAAGCTTCAAGAAGCATTATGCCGAGCTTTTATCCGATAAGGCCTACAGATCAAGAATTGTCGAAACAAGTGAAATCGAACATGGCGATCAATGTGGCGATGAAGAAAAAGGCCAAAGTCAAGATGAGGAAATGGAAGATTTGCAGGAGGATGTCGTAGTTGAAACTAAAGATTCACAAGATTCAGAAAATGATTCACAAGATTCAGAAGATGGTTCACAAGATTCAGAAAATGAATCACAAGAAGATTCAGAAAATATAAGAACTGTCAGACGAGGACGAAGCACGAAGTAGTGTTTTCTAGTGTTGTCAAACATTTAAAAAGAGTTTCATAATTTCTAACTATTTATTCAATAATAAAACAATATATAACAAAATTAGTTGTTGGTTTAGAGAGTAGAAGGAAAACCCGAAATTGGGGAATGGGAAAATGTTTTATCTGGATTGATAATTGACTAATATTTGTGTCAATACATGCATTATTTATTATTAAAAGTAGAAAGTACAGTGACCTTGATGCATTTTCGTATACGTCAAGGTCTGAAATTCACTTTCACTTGAAGTGAAAGCCATCAATTGAAGAAATAAATTGACGGGATCTTGTCGAGGAATTCTATTTCTATCAATTAGAGACACTAACGTTACCTAGATACTTAATGTCAAGCAATCGTGGTGTAAGACGTCTAATTGTCAAATAATCTTGATGGTCTACTGGATTTGATATTTATCCGCATATTCGTTTTCAAAATAGAATGGCTTCAAAAATGTGTTACACTCATCATGGGTTTAGGTAGTAGTCGCGTAGACTCTGAAACATTGCATGAAAGAAAGCTCTTTGTAAATCGATTTGTAACACTACCCCATTTTATTGGAGAATCTGTGTGGCATAATACTGACAAAAATTTCGAACACGTGGAAAATATGCTCAAGGAAGGGACCACCAACGACGAAACTAACGGAAACATTGCACCAAATGGTCCAGAAAACATTTATGACGGAATAAGACGTCCACTTTCTTCCTCCATGTCAACTTTTAACAGCACGCCGACCAATAAATCTGACCCAGGGACATTTATAACCGCAAAAGGAGGACCAGGAGGAGGTGGAGGAGGCGCATGTCAACAAAGCGGTCCTCGCCCATCACGCAGGCACCTCATCCCCCCTGCAACAATTCAATTTCGAGACTCCCACTGTTGCAAAGTCCCATGTCGTCCGTTCCGTGCCACCCTCTTGGAACCTGATAGTGTCGAAGCGAGAGGAGGAAATGGCACCCTGATTACGCTCGAAGACTCAGAAGGCACCCTTGTACTTCCACCTTTTCGCCAATGGCAAATATTCCCAGGGAACAATCGTTTTTTTTGCGATGGTTGGATTATCACCGGATCTGACAAGTGGATTTTTTACCTTAGTTTTATTCTGCTTAATTTGGTCTTTGTACTATTTGCTGGGGTTATGTAAGTATTACACATTGATTCTTTCAAAAATGGGAAATATGTGCACAAACTGATTCCATTATTAAATATCCTTTGTCAGATGGACATTACACGAAGAGCGTGCATGCACAGTAGCAATAATAATTGGTGTGACCGGCTTGGTGCTATACTTTTACTGTGTATCCACTATGCTATACTGTGCCCTCACTGACCCTGGAATAATTCCTCGATCGACACGAAGTGAGGTTGAAGCATTTATGAAGCTGAACCCTTCTGTAAGGCATCCACAAGGAGTTGAACCTTATATACGCGAACGAGTCAATGGAAAAGAAATAATTCGTCGCTGGTGTCCCACGTGCCTGTTGTACAAACCTCCACGTGCCACCCACTGCAGAATTTGCAACAATTGCATAGGTAAGAAAAAAGACTCGAAATTCCAAATCTTTAGAAGTACGTTTATGTATGTTGATTCCTCCGTGAGATAATATCCAACTTTGTAATTTTGCAGAAAGATTTGGTAAGAAATTGAAAACTTCTTGGGCAATATGTATGTAATTCTTACTAACAACGTGACCTGCTTGATATCGCAGATCATCACTGTCCATTCCTGGGGAACTGCGTTGGTCAAAGGAATTACCCAACTTTCTTTGCATTTTTGTTTGCCATTGTCATTTCAGGAATTTTCATCCTTTCCGTTTGCGTTTTTGTGGTGTACACGAGTAAGTTTCAATTTATTGTGTTTCTATCTGATTTCCGTCATACGTGAATTTCAGAATTAACGCGTTCAAAAAATATGGCATTGACCATGAGCACGTGGGAGGTAATCTTATCCAGTGTTGTCGGCATCCTTGCACTGGCATCTACCATTCCGGTTATGATTCTGTTATACATGCACATCGACATGGTGCTCTCGGAAGTGACGACAAACGAAGATGTAAACCCTCATTTTTATTCTACTCCTGCTGTGTCTAGTATTTAATCGCGCTGCGACAATTTTCAGATAAAACGAGCTTATGGAAATCATAACCCATTTGACACTGAAAGTAAACTCAAGAATTGTAAAATTGTCCTGTTTTCCCCCAGAATTCCAAGCTTGATAAGTGCGATTGAAATTATTTATTATTTGGCTTAATTTATATCATATTTTGCGTGTCATCTTTTAAAGAGCAATTACTTTCATGATCTAATGTTTGATTTAACTTTTGATAAAGTGAGAACAGAATTTGTAACGAGAGATTGGTTGGCGAACGTGGAATATTTCGACTCCGTCCAGATTGCGTTGCTAAAAAGGGTACTCACTGGAACACAGTAATTCTTCACTCGGTCATGCACTTTTCTATTCAACTAAGTACATATCTCATCTAGTTTGGCAGAAGAACAAATTCGAGTTCCACTTTAAATTCTTCAGCTATAACTTCCCAGGATGCTACTAGAATAAAACCTAGAGAAATTTTGCGGGACAATAATGACATGCAAAGCCATGCAAAAAAGTCATTCGTATTTCTGCACAATAAAAGTGAACCAGATATTGCCAGGAACGAAACTAACAATAACAGTGATGACGTTACTGTCGACTATAAGGGTACGCAAAAATATCAAATAGCAATGTTTTGGGTACATTGTTATTGTATACGAATGTATTTAACAGGGAAATGGATAGGAAATGGCGACGGCGGACATGTCCAGATCAAACGACGCAGTGATACAAGAATCAATATGGAACAATTAGAGTACGCTCCTCCAACTTGGGACATGGGCAATTTATTGGTCAGAAAGGGCCGTCTCTTACGAAATTGCTACAGTGAATATGACTTTGGAAGTGGTCACAGAAACTGCTGCCTAGATGGATGGAACAACAATCAAAGGATCGGTCCGAGTTATGAACGCCAATATATTTCGTCAACCGTGATTACGATTACAAATAATAAAAATAGCAATTAAATTAAATATTGTTGACGTTTTTGTTACACTGTTTGTTGTTGTCCCTGATATATAAAAGAAATGTCAAAGAGACCGTACATGTGCATTTGCTAATCCACTCGACCAATGATGAAATATTCATCAGCAAAAAATCCAGAGAGTGTGTTTATTTGGGATTCCAAATATGCATTATGCATTGAAGATGATGTACTAGATTTCTCTTGTCATGTTTAGGTTAATTTCCTATCAGGTCATATTAATATGTTTATATAACGGCAATTATACTATCGGCCTCAGTATAATTGACCCATAATTCATTAGAATGGAACTCTCAAACAGATTAGTAACAAATTGATCAAAGACAACTCCAAGAACATACGAAACCGCTGTGACTATGCAGAGTTTGTACATTTTTATAACGTTGCTTATTGTGCAGTGCTGCTGTGCAACAACGGTAAGGGAACAAAAATCAATTGGGTTCGTATAATTAACCAGTTTTAAATATATTTGTATTCGGAAATTGCATTCAAGGTGAGTGGACAACAGCAGCAGCAACAATCTGGTGGCAAAGCACTTTGTGATATTGAAGGAATCCATGCAGAAATTATGACGGTTTAATTGCTGAATGAGATTATGTACCAAAGTGGTCTTTGGGATAATATGTGACTCAAGTAAATTGTTTGAATTTAGGCAATTCGGTTATTGAAGCTGAAGCAGAAGCAATTGACGGAAATAAAAGGGATTGAGCGACAAGACGATGACGATGAGGACATTCCGTACTATGTTCCCGCTATCGCCAAGGTCATCGGATCCATCTTAGCGCAGAACGCTACCAACGTCATTGAGGAGTCATTTGGCTTTATTCCACCGGAAGTAAACAAAAATATACGATACGTCTTGGGTTTGGTGGCTGAAACGGTCAAGGAACTCCGACCCTCAATGGCTTCCGCCACATTAAAACCAACCCAAGTAGGGCAACAACTCGGTTCAGGGGTTGCAGGAAATGTAACAAATATGGAACCAACTGACGCCCAAGTGGCAGAGATTGAAGCCCTTTTAGCTTTTGCCATAGCTCAACAAATTGGAGAAAATATTGGTACAAATGTCAGTGAATTAGCAATGTCTAATAATTCAGCCGATAAAACTGGCGCTACGACGCCTCTGTTTGAAGAAAATTCAGTCACTGTGAAACCATCAGAGTTGTCTGAAAATGAAGCACTTGGTCCAACTGCAGCCGCAGAGTCAATCACGGAACTAGTTTCTTTTAGCAGTACGTATAAATATTCCGATGTCCATTTAGGCGATGTCAACTCGGAACGAGTGTCGTCTGCAGCAGGACTGGCCATTTACGCACCTGCATATGCTCCCAATTATGTGGCAACTTCGAGCACTCTGAAAATTCCTGTTTATGCCCCCGCATTTGACCACCAGAGCTACACCACTCCAAAAATATTGCAAGACGTCGATCTAAAAAACACAACCGAAACTACGACTGAAGAGTCGTCTACGGATGACAGTTCCACGGATGCAACCTTGTCTACCACCACCGACGATGACGATGACGAAGACTATGACGATGGCCAAAATAAATAGCACTAGCACATGCATACAAAATGTTTTGCGCATATAAATATGGGTTTCATAATGCGTAATTAGATAATTTTATTTTGGTCAGCCAATTATGTTTTAGTAATACCATCACTAACAAAATTTTTGATGTGTCGAAATTAGTTAATTTAATGAATAAATAATTATTGAGACTTAATTTACACGAAATTCCAGTTGACCTTAAATCTTCCAACGCTCAAATCTCTTAGTTGCTTAAAAGCGGCACGGGACAAGTCAATATCTCCAGATTTGCATCCCATGCATTTATCCTTGATCTGAACAGTAACGCTCTTTCCGATCTGTGGATCTGTTACACGTGCACGCTTTTGACAAACTGGATCGTTATTCGGATTTCCTGTCGTCCAGTAATTTTTCCCAATGGCAGCCACAAGATCATTGTCACTATAAACTTGTCCACACGCCGTCATGCCAAGATCGTAATAAGTTGCGTCTCCACTCACTGCAAGAAAGTTATGCCACAAGAATATAATTTTTTAAGTTAAAATGACCAGTAGGCTGTGACAATAAAATTTGCATTTGATTATTTACTTGCATGAATTGAACCAACGCATAACAAAAATATAGCACTCGTAGTAAAAGTATTCATTTTTGAGAAATTCAAATGCATATGCAAATTATGTGTATCTACAGTGGTACTGGTGCTCGAGGTCTGCCCAGGATTGCCAAGTAGACCAAATAGTAATTTCTTTTATACTGGCGTTCATAACGTGCAAAATTTCCTGGATATTGTCAATTAATCAAAATTTGCAGCTGTTCATTCGTTGCATTTGATCGTTCGTCGAACCAATTGTATGCATAAATCATTACTTATTTGTTGTGGAATTAGTAATAAATCAAGTAAAAGTTTATTTCTTCCGATAAATGATACATTTTACTGAATATTGGAGGAACAAGAACAAAATATGAATCAAGTCGGCGAAATACCAGGAAGACATTTGAAAAATATTATTGTTTAGAATTATTCCGAATGGTTCTCAACGAACCAAGCCATTTATTAAACCACATATAATGCATGTACATATATCAAATTAATGAAAGGTGTAACAGAGGATGATCAACATCAAATTCTCATGCACTCGTAATCATAAATCTTTATAATGTGACATTTTTCAGAAACACAAATTCGTTAACCATGCACGTCAGTTTAAACATAAAATATGGTAAATCCCACATACACATTGCTTTATCCTTCCAGGCTAAATGTTTCTTCGATTGCCACATATTCGTATTCGTTTTGACTTTTTACTGTGACTTTGTCAAACTTGTACAAAGTTGGAAATTGCGACCGTCGCTCATGGACGTGATTGTACACGCTTTTCATTAAGGGGATCCAATTTGTATTGAAACCGGCTTCAACACCCAGCGTTTTGTAATAATTCCATGGGTTATTTTCCATCGAATGGCTTTTGCTTATCTCAAGTCCATTGTTTTTCTTGAGGTTGAATTCATATTCAATTTGACGATTCATTTCTGCTTCGGTTGGCAGCTTCACATTTCCTTCAAGGAACTTGGTGTAAAACCGGGCCTGAGAATAATTCGGAAAGAAATTGGGTGGCGTTAATATTAAATCCTTTGCATATTTCCATTCTGCATGTACATACGCATATGTTGTCGCTTATCGGAATTTACTTACTTGGCAATCCATTAAGGGAATTACTGCGTTGAGAAATGGGAGGCCAAAGAACGCAAGTGTAGGAAATTTCGAGTGAATAAAGTGACGGTAGAGAGGAGTCACGTATTTTCCGTCAACCACTTCCATCTTACATTCCTCCATGGCCAGGAATGGATAATCATAGACGTATCCTGCTCATGCAAATTAACACTTAAAACAACGCATTTTCAATTGTAGCGTCCAATTTAGTCACCTGTGCAAAGTACAATGCAGTCTACTTGAGATTCTTCCCCGTCATCAAGCACAATCCCACGTGTCGTGACTTCTGTCACTTTTCCGACTTGACGCACATTTTCGGGCAGCCAGCAAGTTTCGAAGGGTTGGCCTTGGTGGGAAAATAGCACCTGAACATTAAACAAATGATAAATAATATGAGCCGAGAATCCTATAATTTCTAAGAGTAAATCTCAAGCGAATACCGTAGTGGCTGTGGATGCAATTTCGATGGAAAGGTCCAGAGCAGAGAGACCACCTCCAATCACAACGACTTTCTTTCTGAAGAATCTCGCAGGTTTTCTATAATCTTTGCTGTGGATTATTTCTCCTTTAAACAAATCCTGGTTCCGAATGGCTGGATACAATGGTTTGAAGCAGTGTCTAAATAAATACACGCATCCAGTAAATAAATCGTCTAATTGGCAGCATTCATTTTATGAAATCTGTATGCATCAAGCGTGTGGTTACCCATTGCAAACAATGACTGAATCAAACTCCTGGACCGACAAAGTTTTTGTTGCCAAACACTCCACTGTGACCAACCACTTATTTGAATCCTCTGCAGAAGGTTTAACGTTGACGACTTTTTGCTTAAACTGTACATAAACCAGTTAATTATTATTTTATTTTATACCAAAGTTGGAAACACGTTGGTTTCTTTATTACTTGAATGTATCTCATAAGTTTATAGGCGTTGGCATATTCATTCAAGTACTTGAGCATTTCTCCATGCGTTACGAACGATCCTTCAGTCTCGCCGAACGGGAACTCTGGATATGCCATCAACTGCTTTGGGAGGTGCGTCCTGCGATACATAAAGGACTCAGTAAATAAATCGACTGTGCAGCCAGTGGTCACTACAACGCCAGTATTATTTACCTCAAGCTCTGATACATTGAGCTGTGCACGGGCCCCCCTCCTTCCGGGTTTCGAACGTTGTCGGAGTAGACCCACAGACCGCCGATTTTGTCGCCCTGCTCGAACACGACGCCATCCAGGTAAGAACTCTCACTAACATGCTTAATGGCTGCTAGTCCAGACGCACCTGCGCCAATTATGCAAACTTTCTTCATTTTGAATGTAAGAAAATTATGTGAAATTTTAAATATTTGATGCGTTTTAATGTTGAGTTAGGTCAATGCATTTCATACCCTGGTCAACAAGGTACTGATGCTGAGGATCACTTGTGTCGAGCCCATGAAAAGATTATCTTGACTATGATTAAACGAATGAAGCAATCTAATGCGATTAATTTCCTTGATTACAGAAGTTTGACTTGACACACTGTTTATGTATGTACATATGTATGAAGCAATACTCCAGAGTCAGACTATGTCAGGCCACGAAGATAATGACCAAAGTAAGTAAGGAAGAAACAAACTACTGCACAGACTGGATGATTATCAAAGATCAGAATTTGAGATCATCATAGGTCAAGTTGTTATTTCGCAAAGTAATCTTATTTATTTATCACGGGCCAAACCCACAAAATGTGACCCTGCATGTATGCACAAAACATAAAATAGAATTTGCTAAACTAAATGTGAACCTGATGATATGTTCCTATTTATTTATAATCCTCGTTGCAATAAACGTTGGACACGCGTTATTTTAAATAAGCGAGCAACCAATAAATAAATGCGACACGGTCAGTACAACCAAATTATTTTAACTACTCGAATATAAATATTTTATATTTGATTAAATATGAGGTCATTATACGTTACATCTAATATTTGGGCTGAGATATAGTAGTTATACGATTGCACCAGGATGAATGGTTTATTATGGCTTTTTATCACAACTGCTTATCCAATTGAAGTTTCTGAGCTAACCACATTTCTCGATATATACTTCCTTCTCTTCGCATAAGTTCGGAATGTGTACCAACTTCTCGCACCCTCCCGTTTTTCATGGCTACAATTTGGTCGGAATTTTGAATGGAACTTAACCTGTGTGTGAAACATGAAAGGTAAAACCCAATGAAAAGGCTGACAATAATATGAAAAAATAATCAATTTCTTGCCTATGTGCAATCGTAATGCAAGTTCTTCCTGTTCCAGCAACATCCAACGCCTCTTGTACAACTTTCTCGCTCTCCGTGTCCAATGCAGATGTACCTAAAAATGTGTAAGTTGCAGTGAAATTTGCAAAAGTATTTGAACGTATTGTATGTATGTAAACTCACTCTCGTCAAGTATAAGCAACTTTGGAGATCGTATTAAAGCCCTTGCTATGCAAACACGTTGTTTTTGGCCTCCAGAAAGCTGATTTCCATGAATTGGTTATGAATTACAAACCTGTTTATATTAACTATTGATATTTGTTAGCATATTAATAATTACTTGATTTCCGAGGGATCCCACTCTGGTCTCGTATCCCTGCCATAGTTAAAAGGTCAAGCGATTTATCGCATTACAAAAAAATATTCGACATTATACCGCTGGTAGTCCGGAAATAAAGTCGTGAATGTTAGCCATTCTTGCCATTTGAATAATTTCTGACATTTGAACGTCTCTCGAAGTATCGCCATAAGCAATGTTTTCCGCAATAGTGTAGTCAAATAGAATAGGCTCTTGCGATACAACCGCCATTTGCTGTCGAATGTGATCCAAGTTGAGCATTTGAAGGTCAACATCATCAAAACACTAATCAAAGGTCAAAGTTAATAGGATTCCTGCAAAGTTTTGAATGCATTTATTCGATATACTAACCACAGTCCCAGAGACGGGATCGTATAATCGCGTCATGAGAGAAGCACATGTGCTTTTTCCCGATCCACTAGGTCCAACTAAGGCAACTTTACTTCCCGGAGGACAGTGTAGGTTCATATTTCTTAATACTCTAACGCTTGGACGCTGCTTGTAATAGAAATTTACATTCTTCATGTATAATTTTCCTTCCACCGAGCTCTATACGTATGCACAAAAAAACCAAGAAGAGTCAATGTCGAAGAGTTTTGTGCACAAAGAATTCATGGTGATTGTAAACACATCATATTTATGTAATATTTATGTAATGAACCTACCAAAGCTAAAGTTGTTGAAAATCTGGAAATATAAGGCAGCCTATCGAGCAGCTTGAATATTCTGGTCGCAGCTATTTTGGCTTTATCGTAGTCTGGAGCAAACGCCATTGCTGCACCCCCCGAAGTGGTGCAAAATATCAAAGCTTCCCCAACTCTGTAATAATTTTATGTGTTAACTTAAATTTTCAGAGCTTCTAAACATTCCCAAGCTTACGTGAATACATCTGCAATCGCAACGCATTCATTTTCCACAAGATAACCTCCGTAAAGTTGGCTAAGTCCATAGCATAAGTACGCCCCAGATGTTGTTAAAGCATATACTAAACCACGAATATGTGACCGACGTTTATTAATTCTGTTGATAAAGAAGTAGACTTCATTTTACGTATTTTAATTGGTTATGTGAGTGATTTACCTATGAGAGTCAGCCAATGCTTCAGAGTATAGTTCCATAAACCTTCTCTCTCCGCACAGACTAGCAACAGTTCGAATGCTACTTAATCCTTCAACGGCAATATTGCACGATTTTTCTATCGATTCCTTTTCAATGACGTTATCCGACCCAAGAACTCTTCCTTCCATAAATGCAGCGTACATCATGACAGGAACACACAACATTGTGACGGCACTCAATTTTGGTACCAAATACAATGACATAGCACCCGCAGCGATTACTATTGTTCCAGCTTGAATCATTGCAGCCATTCGGTTGCCCGTGACCTGTTTTATAAACTTGCAGATAGTCACGGAAGTAACAGGAGTAAGAGAGACAGAAAAAAAACGTTTCTTACCCCCCGCAAACTAGTAGCATCTGTTGATAACCTAGCACACAGATTGCCAACCGTGTTGTCCGGTTCATCGAAGAAAGTCATATCTTGATTCAAAACACTTGAAAATATTACTTTCCTCATTCTGTAGGTAAAATTTTCACCGCAAAATCCAATGCATATATACTGTAAAAGTATAAAGTACCATGTAATGTTCATATGGCTCCAGCGTCAAATTAAAAATTTGAATCGAGTAAAATAGCTACCTGTAGAAAACCATCTACTCCAACAAATACAGCAAAGACGGTGTACACCAATGCAAATAAATCTCCTTTTTCTTTAACCTCAAAATCGTCTTTACTTGTAAAAATCTATCATGTAACAAAAGCATTGTTGATTACACTGATTATTAATTAGAACTTCAATCAATTAGATTAATTAGATTAATTTGTCAGCTTTCTGAAAATACCTGGATAAATCTGCCAAATATGTACGCGTAAACTGGAAGCTGCAGTCCTTTGAGGGTTGAGAAAAGAATGATACCCATTAGATAAGGCCATTCTTTAAAATTTAGTCTCCACAATCTCCAAAGGGATGCTTTCGATGTAGCATTTGATTGAGCCCCCTGAAAATTAAAAATATGTGTCGAAATACGTAATTTTAATGATTGTGTGTATTTCTTCCTGTGGCGTCCAATAATTTTATTACCATGTCATGGTCTACTTTTAATGTTTCATCCAATGATCCTTCACTGATGAGCCGTGCTCGACTAGTTGGTCGACTGTGAGGATTTACACTCCCACGGGATAAATCATTAAATATTGAGTCCCCTGTTTCATTTTCTTCTTGTAGAAATTCGTCAGCATCAAGTGTTAAATCTTCTTTGTCCTCTTGAGACATTACAAGATTGTAATATAATCCTTTTTGTTCCATTAACTCGGCATGACTTCCACTTTCTTTAACCTGCTCATTTCACAAAGCAACAAGTTGAACAAAAGTATATGCATATCCTGTTACGAGAAGTGCAACATTACCTTTCCATCTTCAAGTGCTACCACAACGTCACAATGTCGGATTGTAGAAAGTCGATGGGCTACAATTATCGTCGTTCGACCTTCTCGTGCTCTCTCCAATGCGGCTTGAACAATTGCTTCGCTCTGAAAGTCAAGGGCGCTGGTGGCTTCGTCCAATAACAAGAATGGTGGATTTCGAATTAATGCTCTAGCGATTGCGATGCCTAATAAGAGAAAAGTATATATTATTTGTTGTGTACGGAAGGTGTCCATATCTAAGCTTACGCTGCTTCTGCCCGCCTGACAATTGTGTTCCTCTTTGTCCTACAGGTGTGTTGTAGCCCTAACAGAAACCCAATAGATTATCAATATCAGGATATATTAAACGAATTCTAGGTATAATGCTATGTATTGTAAAAACTCTTCATACCAATGGCAATTTTGAAATAAAATCGTGGGCAAATGCTATTTTTGCGACCCTTTGAATATCTTCCATTGATACATGTTCTGTTCCAAAGGCTATATTTTGCGCAATGGTAGCATTGAATAGAACAGGTTCTTGGCCAACCATTCCAAATTGTGTTCGAAGCCAATTTATATTGTAATCTTTGATATCCATGCCGTCAACCATCACATTTCCATGACTTGGATCGTAAAATCTTTGGAGGAGACTAATACACGTACTTTTACCACATCCAGACCTACCCGCTAGTGCTACCGTTTTTCCTGGAGTTATTGATAAGCAGAAGTTCTGGAGAATCTACATACATCAAAATAATTTTGGTTACTGATAAGCGTTATATTCTTATATTTTTGCATCGCAAATGAAACTCACAGGTAGTGAAGATCTAGTAGGGTAACTAAATGTGACATTGTTAAATTCTATTTTTCCAATTGCTCGTCCATTCGGCTTAACTCCACTGTCAGACAAGCTATCGATCTCCGACACTCTAAATGACATTGAATGAGCCTTTTTGTTAAATTTAATCATAACTTAAGTCATACCTGTCTAAAATTGGGAATATTCCGTTGGCGGATCCAACCCCCTCAGCAAAAGCTGTGAGGAATTGGGAAGAATCACCAATGTAGTAACCAGCCATGAGGACACTGAAGAATATCTGTCAAAGGCATATGCTCAGTATGAGAATTTACAAATTATGTTTTAACTGCATACCACAAGAATGATATCGGGGCTGTATAATCCATCTCCAGTTTCTCGACTTTTCAAAATCAAATGTGTTCCATACCAGAAAGCAAATGCAAAATTAGCATAAGAAATAGACCTGCAAATACAGTATAAGAACACGTAGATCTTTTGCTGCATAGATTGCATTAATGAAGCACTAACCAATTTAGCCCATTTCCAAGTCCTGTTAAAATGTGCTTCAAGTTTGCTACTTTTTTTGCGGCAAAAATTTTTTCGTCATAGCGTCGAATCTCTTTTTCTTGGCCGTTGAATACAGTGACTGTTTTGATGTTTGTGAAAGTTTCTTCAGCCACTGCGCCTGCAGCGGAATATGCATTCTGTTCTTTCTCGGACATTCTAGTAGAAATTGCTGTAGAGAGCGCAGTAATCATGATAACCTTAAACGTTAGATAGGCATTAAAACATGATGTAATTATAAAATAGAATTTATAATCTGTCACAGTATCATGCCATAATAATTCTTACCATGGGCATTATTCCTAGCAAGGCCAAACTCAGCTTCCATCCAAAGTAGAAGGAGAGGAGGATGAGAAATATGGAATTCGCTATATAGGCTATAAACATTCCAATTTTTTCGCTTATCGAATCTTGGATCTTTAATATATCTCTAAAATAAGACAAATCTGTATATAATTTACGTCATTCTGATTCTATCTAGTTATTCGTTAAGGTTGTGGAGTCTTACTCCACAAGACGACTAGAAAAATCTCTCTTGGCATTTTTATCAAACCAGCTAATGTCTTGGCGTAGAAGTTTCTCAAAGTAAATTTTTCTGATTTTATATATCTATCACCAGAAGGGAGTAAAATATAGTAATGCATTTGTACACCTAAAGTTACATTTAAAATTTTTACTCTTTACTGTACTTGATTTTCCGCTATTGAATTGAAACTCGTGACAAAGATGTATCCAAGAATAAAGGACAAAGCACCACCCCCACACTGAATCATGGCAAAGGATTCCACTTCCTTCATAAACGGTGATGTTTCATTCGAATATGGTGGAGGGCATTCTGTTATGTTGGATGCTTTTTCTACCATCGTTTTAACGAATTTTCCGAAGCTCATGTTGAAAATGGCCGGAAGTATACCTGCGGTAGAAAGTTAGATAAATAAACTTTAATTATTGATGTTTTAGAAATGATTTGTGACTACTTTGCTAAAATTCGTGACATTAAACACCTACAAATTTCTAGAATTAACAAATTCCTTGTGACCGCACCACTGCATTTTCAGAATACGGACACAAGAACCAGATCACAGTCGAATATCACGGGACATAGTCGCCGTCAAGCAACTACATGTAGACTACATGATGTAGTATAAGTTGAAAAAATACTACACATGTAGTAATTTACTATAATACCTGTTCCTCCTGCGACAATCGAAGCCAATATCAAAACGGTCTTCTCACAACCTGATGAGTATCGAAACTGCAAAAATAACACGGAACATTACTTTAAAGCCAGTCAATAATTGCATGGAAAAATAATGATGGCGTTTGCAATTTGCATACCAAACTAAAATAACTGACACCTGGACCCTTGGGCTCGTCGTCCTCTTTACCCTCACAACCACCTCCAGCATCTCCGTCAGAAACTATGGGAGGTGTCGAGGTTGATGGACGAATTGAGGAGGTTTCACATCCAGAACGACTGTTGTGCAGGTGGTGGTGAATTGTGGGAGATAAGTCATCATGACTAGATTCGTATGATTCCTCAGATATTAGCCTTCTGAAAACATACATTATTCACAAATCATTATTGGCATTGTATAAGTACAAGTAAGAAAAGTATGCAACACATTAAACTATAAACCAAACAATAATTAGTATGAAAGCAATTTACTCTTCATCTTCATTAGTGCCGGTTGCTGATGTTGCTTTGGATGATCTATCATTTCGAACCATTTTGACTATACAATAATTCTATTCACGAGCACACGATAAATAAATGAGTAGCAAAAAAGTTAAAAAAAATAGTTTCCTAAAATCGATCACAACACTTAAGTAGACAAGAATCTAATTATTGATAAAAAAAAGTACATCTTTATAGAGGTAAAAAATAAAAATTTCTTTAGCGGTGATTTTCAGTGGGTACATACAACATGCAGCGGATCACACAGGGAAATGTGAGTTGTCCCGTGAAAGGCCAACTTTTTATCTATTTGATGAAATCTAATCTCCGGTTGAGTCGATTTGGCTTAGCACATATAAATGATAAACAACTTGATTGCTCAAAACGTCAGGTTTCGTCGTCAGTAACGTTGCTTTGTTTGCGTGCTTTGCCAAACCATTGAAGCTGCAACGTTGAAGTTTAACCAGTTGAGGTACACCTCTATCCAAGTGATGAATTACTTCAACTGAATGAACTTCGTCTCCACTTAACTTAATTATAGCACAAAATCCTTTATAACAATTCCAAGAATGGGAAAGAAAAACAAGCCCAAATTTGCTGGACATAACATGAAAAGGTTATCGCCGTTTTGTAGCATCTTTAATATGAAATGTTGGTAAATTCCATATAAATACTTGCGTGTAGAAACACGATCCATTTTTGCAGGCACAACAGAATATAAATCATTTATGTACATATTTATATGAGTTGCATACTTAATTAAGTCGGGACACATGAATAATGTATTCATGTAGTATTCACATGCTTCATATGTTGTCTTGAAATTCTGAATGATGAAATATGACCTGTTAATCAGCGTTTAATATGATGACGTTTATAAACATACCAATATGGTTTTTTACGAAGTGCATTGATTTGGTATATGCACTTATGTAAAGGGCCTTTCTGAAAGGCTTCTCAAAGCTTAGCATCACTTGGAATTTTTAAATTTCCACATTTTCAATAAATTAGAAACCAAACTATAAATGGTGACAGACAATTCACTAATGTATGCATTTTTAGTTGGTTGAAAAATCAGTTCTGTGGTTCGTCACATGATACATTGATATTTATATGTCGTGATGCATAAAAGACGAATATTCTTTACCCAATTCCATCATATTACTCAATCAGTTTAGGGCAGGTCACCGAGTTGGACATCGATCAAGATATTTTCAGTAACGGCATCTTCTCGACGACTAAACTATGTAGTAAAACAAAAGACTTTAAGTGATAATATCACTCAAAATAATAATAAAATATCATATTTTATCATTCCAAGACACAAGAGTGATACACTTGTATTTTCCATGCTGCAATCAAATTAATAGAGCTACACATATTTCAAGACATGTTTTGTTTTCGTTATAATACGCATCAATGGTTTGATGAACTTATAGATATATACATAGATCGGGCGTCTAGTGTGGAACTATTTTTATTATTTATTTAAGACAATATATCTCAATAAAACTTTTATGAATCATACATGCAACAAGATACTAATGTTAAATAGTAGTACATAGCACATTGATAAGTATATAAATATCATTTTTAACACACGCGAGAAACAAGACAATAAACCACGAAATATTTTAATGAATTGTAATTTAAACCCAAATTCAATTTGTGGTCATTTAGCTGACCATCTAAATCCAATTAATTAGACATAATAATTTCTTTTGTTGTGGTAAGTGTAACAAAAGTATGCATATAATTTGATCCTATTGAAGAATTTCGTGGCCTTTTGATGAGCACCTACATATATGATTCAGTTATTGTGTTCCAGTGGACAACAACGCCAATAAGCCCCCAGCAGAACTGACAGACAAAATGTAGTTCCTGAAAATTTAAACAGAGTTCTATATACCATTTGGTCGTTATACAAGACATACAAAATCAGAAAATGCTGAAAAGTGCTTACACAGTTGGGGAGAAGGACCGGAGAACGTAAAAGCTGGCTGTAATGTATAAAAGATTAAACAATTTATTATAAGCGATAGTACACAATTGTTAATGCATTGCATGCATGGAACATTGGTGTGGTAAATGCAAACTTGCTTGCCGTCACAATATTGTTTTTATGTTCACCTATAACCACACATGATTTCTATTTGTCTTACCCAGGATAATGATCGCCAAGAAGAGAGCATTGTTGTAAAAGATGGAGAAAGTGGTTGCCTCGAAATCAGCAACCTCATTCTTTTTCCACAAGATGCGCTCGTCCTTTTCCTTTTTAGACATTTTCTTGTCATCAGCCAACTTTTTGTTCATTTCCAAAGTCACGGCTTCTTCCCTCTTCACGGCGACCTGGAGAAAGAGCATTAGAACATATTTAAAACATTCACATACAGATGTAAGCACACAAAACTGCCTTGGAGCAGAGAAAATGAGTACTGGCGTATTAATTAAGCGCCAAGCGCGTACCTTATGCTTGAGGGAGAATTTGGTGTTCCTATAGGCAAAGGCCATTAGCCATGTGGATCCTAGAGTGACGAGGAGGAAGATTGGAGATGAGGAGATGATGTCCATCAGGTGAATCCTCCAGAACAACCCTACAAGAACAAACCAACAAACACTTTGATATCCTATTCCCCATATATGAGAACTTTCCGATTTTTAACCAAATTAAGCTATTATGATCAGACGTCTCTGCGGTTTTTGGGGATAATTGCTTGACTTTATTTTGAAAATTAAAATTGTTAGCTTTCAATGAACCACTGTCATCTTTATCAGGCAAAAATACAAAGAATTCGGGTAAAATAATCTAAACAATGTATTCGTTTGACAATAAGGGAAAAAATTTACTTTACTGAAAAACTCACATATGGGAATTGCAGACACGATGAAGGCATTTCCATAAAACAAGGCGTTGGATTTTGTGGAAACATTGCGGGAGAAGTCTTGAAGGAGAAGTTCCTCCTCTCGAGTGAATTGCTTTGTCTTGGTCGCCATTTCCAAAGATTTTCAAAACTTTTCTCAAAAGAACAGTTAACCGATGCTGATATTTATTGAAGCCGGACTGAAGAAGAGAGAGGAGAAAGACAACTAAATGGCCAATGTAAACGTGCAGTGAGAAAGAGTTGCGGTGTGTTGAAGTTCCCAGTGGTGATGATGTGGCAAAGTGTTGGCGATGATTCCAAATCTTGCAGAGCAGTCCGTGGGAATTGTGAGAATTTTTGCTGTTGATCAACACACCAAAGTTAACCCTTTACTCACACAAAGGCACATGCACAACTCGTATGCAAAAGTAATTATAACACCGAAAGAAAGTAAAATATGACCTAGTGAGAAGTAATTTTTCATTATTGAGATGAAGTACAACTTTGTACCATTTATATGCGCATTTTGCAAATTCCATGTAATTATTTGACTTCAAGGAAAGAAGTTCCGAAAAAGCTGGTCAATAAATTGTCTAAGAAATGTCCTTCCAAACCGTATATCAAAAAATAATCGAGGATGGAAGGAATTATTACATGGAAAAACTAACTTTTGGATCATGCAGAATATGAGGCGCGTGGGAGTTTCATTCCATGTGATTCATGCCATTATCCCTGAATAACGATATTTGCATAAACACATGCTTTAACTACTGGCTGTTTTTGTTTACAAACTGCAAGGTTTCACAACGAGCCTAAACAATGCAATTTGCACGTGTACCATTACACTTAAAAGCTATAAAATTTGAAATACTTTGACATTATACAATTAGTACCTGACATTACATTACTCGGCCTTGTATGAAAATGCCGATGTCAACAGCGGTCAAGCATATTTTCATCACTGGTGCCAACAGGGGAATTGGCTTCCAGCTAATAAAGAAAATGCTGCCCGAGTTTAAGCCCGAGAAAGTCTTTGCCACTTACAGAGACCCTGAAAAATCAAAGGTTTGACAAGTGTGCTTCTTTCTAATGCGTTTAAAAGTACAATAATCAAATTGTGTAATAGGAGTTGAAGGACTTTGCCGCACATCATCCAAATGTACAACTGATTCAATTAGGTAAATAAATGATACAACGCAAGTGTCATAACATAACTTTCCATAACATAATCAATAAATTCGAACCATGGGGTTTTCAGACATCAGAGACTTTGACAAATACGAGGAAGTGGCGATGGTTGTGGATGCTGCAACTGAGGGACAAGGTCTTAATTTGCTCATAAACAATGCAGGCGTTACATCAAAAGTTGCTAAAATCACAGCGATCCGGAAAAGTGAATTGACTGACAATTTTGAAACAAACACCATTGCACCCATCTTACTCACAAAGGTGAGGATGAGCTGCTCACATTTAACGGAAATTAAGTACGAGTTAAATTAATTTAATTGCACATGTATGAATTTTAAAAATATTTATAGGCCCTGCTTCCACTACTGGAGAAAGCCAGTGGATTGAACCCCGACTCTCCGGTCGGGGTGGGAAGAGCTGCTGTTGTTAATGTGTCTTCAATTTTAGGCAAATATAAAGTCTTAATACAATGATGAATTTATGTCAAGTAGTATTTTATCATACTCTCATTACTTGAATTTTAGGATCCATACAAGGCAATGATCAGGGTGGAATGTATGCATATCGATGTAGTAAGGCAAGGAACACATTCTAATTTCTCTTTAGTCATGCAAGAGGATTAACCACTTATTTAATGAGAAGAATTATTTATTCAACTTGTTAATAAATATTCAGGCAGCCTTAAATGCAGCTACAAGATCAATGAGCCTGGACTTTAAAAAATCCAAGATAATTGCCGTTGCCCTGCACCCAGGGTGGGTAAAGACTGGTGAGTTTGAGATATTATACATTAGTAGTCCTATAGTATTTGAGGAATTTGCATTTATTGTACCGACACAAATGTATTTGGCAGACATGGGAGGACCTAAGGCGCCTTTGACCACTGAAGAAGCCACATCAGGCATTGTAACATTGCTCAAAAGTCTTGGAACAAAACACAATGGGCAGTTTTATCAGCATGATGGAAAACAACTTGATTGGTAATTGGTATTCAAGTTCTAAACTTGTACGGTCATTCTAGTCATACATAAGAACTAACTATGGAATAAAGCAATCATATAGAGAACCCAAATTTTGGGTATATTTTATTTAAATAAATACCACGAAATTAAATTCTTGGAAGCATAAAAAATATTCTTTTTGCATTCTCTTCTCCCAGTTTTTAAATATAATGGACTCGGCTTTGAGTTTGCCTTCTGGAAAATTCCTCATTATCCAAAGTTGGACTCCAAACCATGCCGTCTCTCCATTGTTGTAATGGAGAAGGAAACCTTTCTCAACAAAGGTCTTTTTCTGAAGGAACGGCATGTAATGGCACATTTTATATCTGAACTCAAATAACCTCGGTTTACATTTTACATTCCATAATCTCCGAACAAAGGAAGATCCTAAAATTAGCGAGCCATTTCCACTGCTTTCCTTCTTTGTAGCCACTGTGGGAATCGTTCATTCGTTGGCTGGATGGCTACCAGATCAGTGTGGCCGACTCCACCACTCGGCTGTTTCGTCGCCTGCCATGTTGGACACCATGCCTCCCTGGAATATTTCAATATTTTGGTAAATATTCCCCACCCCCTGGGAAACTAGAGTCAACTTTTGGGAGCAAAGTGTCCGCGCATTTATGAACAGCGGAAGCTAGAGTATAACGAAAATGTAAGTCAATTTGTTTTTTTTCAATCAAATTTAAGCTTAACGGTCAATTCGGAGGATATTTTGAAAATAAGAATAATGAGTGTGACAGAGTGAGGAATGTAGATTTAGTTAGCTTATTTGAAGTAAATATTCCCCAACTCAATTAATTAACGCAATTTTAATTTACACTCGCGATTTAACAGATTTATGTTCTTACTATCATAAAATAATAATGACTGATAATTATAATTAACTGAATTTGTTATTTTACACTAAAATTTCCAGCGGGGTCCAGTTTTGGTGCATGTTTCGAGCAAGGAATGGTATGCCTGGCCGACCCTCCATTGCCGGACGACGAATATCTAGTTTCACCGCAATAGGCGCAAGATCAGTTTCCTTCAATGACTAAATACTTGACCACAGCAAAAGCGACATGTGACCACCACCATCATTGTCGACGGTCACAGACAAGAAGGGATGGTTTTCGCCACTCTGATCGTAAGTTAAAATTTCAGTTCTAATTATGATGCATAATCTTGGATAGTTTCGTAATTATCGGGAAATTTCAAATGTAATGCAGATGAAAGAAATTCAAACGGATATTTCTGTTAAATTAATGAGCAGGTTTAAAAACAACTATAAAAAATCATCATTGTTTTATTAGGTAGAAGCAGCAGGTCAAGAATGATGTATGTACCACCACTCTTCATCCATACGCCATGTAGCTGCTCTTCTCATCTTTTTTGTTCACGAATGGTAAATGATGTTAATGTTTTATTTGTGGATTAATGTCACAATGAAATAATGGTTTTTACTAATATTACCACTTGTAAAATAATTTACAGACAGGAGGAAACCATCAACGGGATCAAGTTAACCCACTTCACCTTACAAAATTGATTTAATCCTACCCACTAAGTTTCTGTTTTTTCGATTCAAGCAGTGTAAGCTTGACATCTAATTCTAAAAAATCTTTTAGCTTATAAAACACAAGTAGGCCTCTCAATTCCTACACAGTCCGAATCCCTCGCGGGATAATACTACTGGGATACATTTAGGGTACATTATAGTTTAGTACATTTACAAGATCCCACAGTCCGCACAAAGGAAACACTTTATGCGCTGCATCTACAAGATCCCACAGTCCGCACAAAGGAAACACTTTTAGTAATGCAATTCTTAAATGTACCTGGAATTGCATAATTGTTCTAATGCATAAAAATTATTAAATTTAGAAAATGGAAAAAAATTAAAGATAGGCTCCATAAGAGCACACACAACACCATGAAGAATTCGCTGGGTTAATGCAATTTTTAAATGTACCTAGAAATTGCATAATTGCCATAATGCATACAAAGTATTAAGTTGAGACAATATTAAAATAGGCTCGATAAGAGCACACACAACACCATGAAGGATTCGCTGGGTTAAGAAGCCCTGAAATGTTGTTCTGTTAAAATGTAATAAGCAGATGCGACAATACTTGTAAACGTAAAGATAGGTTCCATACGAGCACACACAACACCATGAAAAATTCAATGGGTTAAAAAGAGTCTATGTGTAATGTAATTTTTAATGCACCTAAAATTTGCATTACATGAAAACAAACTTTAATTATGATTTTACGAATAGTGGTACTATCAATGGGCTACAATTGTACATTGCCTTAATGTAATAGGCAGATATGATTATAAGCCAAATGTCAGTCCAGAGATTAATTGTTTTTTAATTATTTTGTTGATTGCGTAATTTATGTCCTACCAATAAACTTGCCTGAATTTAAATATTAAATGAAAATGCAGGAAATGACTCATTTTGCACTCATGATTTCACATGATTTAAATAATTATGCATTTTTTACTTTAATTATTTCTTTACAATTTTATTAGATGTATCCGTTTGTCAAATCAAAATCAGATCCAACGCAATTAAATTCTAACCATTATTATCATCAGTAGACGCACAGGCATTTATGAGCATATGTAATTGATTGTATTTTAATGCAGTGTTTTATTTCAACAACTTTATCGTCATTATTATCATACAGAATTATGAAATCAATATTTTTTTAAATTTTAAAATTAAAGTTTCATTTCCGTCAAGAGGAACTTTCCATTTGGTGTAGCAAACTTTCCGTTGTTGTAAATGACCTTTCCTCGTAAAATGGTAGAATGCACTCTGCCAGAGTATGTCTTGCCTTTGTAGGGTGTCAACTGCAAAATAAACGGTTCCATTATAATAATCAGAGAAATTGATGACAACGTATTTGCTATTATTATTTGACCTTATTTTTATGCAAAATGATATTTTCTGTAATTTCAAATTCTTCATCTGGATTCCACAAAACAAAGTCAGCATCAAATCCTACAGCGATTTTCGCCTTTATTTTCTCAAATCCAGCCAATTTTGCAGGGTGTTCCGCCATTAGTCTGCATAAATCGTGTAGCTGCAGACCGTTTTTCTTCATGTTTGTCCAAATTAGTGGAAGACCTATTTGATAAGAGAATTTGCCAATCCAAAGTTACAACATTGTAATGTGCATCACATGCTAGATTTTATATGCACCAAATTGAACAGAACTGATTCCGCCCCAAGCTTGTTGAAAGTTTTTCTCTCCAGGCTGTTTCAGATCCGCTGTGCACGGCGAATGGTCAGATACAATCATGTCGATGAGCCCACTTTTTATGCCCTCCCAGAGTTTGGACTACAGGAAAATGTACAACGTTGAAATTATTTAATTGATAAAAATAGGCGACTGATAATAGGCGATTGATAATAAAGACCTGATTGTCAGCCTCCCTAATTGGAGGACAACACTTGAACTCGGTCCGATTATTTTGTATTTCTTCAGCATTCAAAGTAAGATAATGGGGACACGTTTCGACAGTCAGAGGCAATCCGTCCGCTTTCAACTTTGCGATGAGAGGAAGCGAGCTGGCCGTGGACAGGTGAACAATGTGACACTTGACGTCCCTTATAGACAACAACACATAACACAACAATTTATATTCAAGGCTGATGCTAAAATACGACAAAGATTACAAGGATTACAAATAGCACTCACTTGTGCTTTCGGCACATACGATTTATCATCTCGGCAGCCTGAAATTCCATTTCGCTGGGTCTTGTTTGTAGAAAGGTACGATAGACGGAAGGGTCATCCGTGGCCCACTTCTCATCCCCACCGCAGTCCACTTCCGCATGAAACTGGAAGAATCATTTATTTAATTGTAAAAGTTGTACAGAGCAAAGTTGGCCTTTACTGGGGTGGGACGGACGAGCTTACGGCCAAAATTTTTCCAGTCCCCTTGAGTTCCGCAAGAGCGCGATCCACTTGCTCCTCGTTGACGCTGGGAAAGTCATCGATCCCACTGTGAATAAGAAAACACTTGAATCCGATCACACCCTTTTCCACCATCGGGCGCAACGAATTCTGAAAATCGTAATTCGGAATTGAATAAGGAGAACTATTCCCACAATCAATTAGGAGTAAATAAAATGCATTTTTTTCAGCTAACCTCATTGTCGGGCATCACACCGCCCCAAAATCCAACGTCAATGTGACATTTTCCTGTGGCTGCTTTCATCTTGATATCCAAGTTTTCCACAGTCGTTGTCGATGGGATAGAGTTCCTAGCGTGTTGGAAAATATCGCTCCATTAAATTAGACAAATCATTTCTTCAAAAGTCAGCTTATTTCATAAATTGTTATTACAAGGGCATGTCCACTAAAGTAGTAATCCCCCCAGCAGCCGCTGCTTGGGTCGCTGTCCAAAACCCCTCCCATTCTGATCTCCCGGGTTCGTTTACGTGAACGTGAGTGTCCACTAAACCTGGCATCACGACCAACTCGCCAGCATCCAGAACCTTGGTTAAAATACGTACTTATGTATTTACGTGCTTAGTCGAATCTTGTTCGGACGCAGATTTTGATATATACATACATTTTCAAACTTATCAGATAATGGTCCTTCTTTCACTTCCGAGATTTTCCCGTTTTCAATTTTGATGGAAGCCGGTTTAAGTCCCCCATTAATGAAAATACGGTTGCCAGTTAGCCAGTGGATATTGGTCTCCACGTCTGGAATTTTGGTACTACTGCAGGACATTTTTAAGGAAACAAAACTATTTTGATTAGGTGCAGCTAGAAAGATATTTAACTGTCGTGTGAAGAGGATAAAATCTGATAGAAAAATGTGGACGAGATTATGTATACGAGATGTATGAATAACATTAATATTATTGCATAAATATTCCATTACATTAGTCCAACTCTTGAGAATAAGTGGGTGTCACATCACATGTACCTACATACATATGTACATATATGAACAGCCACAGATCTCATCTCCAGTTTATCTCTGGACAAATTAAGCCCAAGTTCTTGCAGGGGTTGTGGTCGACCTTGAGGTCTACGATAAGATTTGTGCTGTCGCATGTCGTCTCAAACGGACACTCATGCAGTTGGTTTTGGGTTGAGATCACGCTGTTGTTATTGTTCCATGGAATTTCATACACACTCTTTCTCGCATAAGTGCATACATATTATGTGCTTTTGTGGACATAGCGAAATATGCCTAAAATAACCCGTCATGGAATTAAAGAATTTCAACATTCCAAGGGTTTCAAGCAATCTTTCCCTGCGACAATTATAGAAAATTCGGGTTGTGGAACTTTTCAGATATTCATATCACTTTGTTCATTCTCCGTTGGATATATGCAGAATCACACTAAATATACTGCAGCGAGGTGAATATGTACATGAAAGTGGAAGCTGTGGAGTGCGCAACTACGATTTGCAGACGATGGGATAGATACATAGAGAGAAAGTGAGCCTGGAAATGAGCAACCAACACCTTTCTCCAATTTATATACCCAACAAACTCATGCTTTCCCCTTATCCAATGCTTTCCCTGCCAATACATCGCACCTTTCAGTCAGTGGCTGCACACATAATCTTCAAAATACACACTTTAGCGTAACAGTCCTAAATTGAATTCCTGGTGGCCGGAATAATTGGTGAATGTATTCGTGCTTTCACATTAAAGAATATTGAGACAATTCACGGTAGGGAATTTGCAATATTAGAGAAAGTCGATCTGCTGAAATTGTAATTATGTCTCTCTACTAACTCTTAAATACCATTTAAAAATAAAGAAGTACAACTTTGCCCTATAAGTATTCACACACGTCTCTCTCACTTGTCGTCTCAGGCGTTAATATACATGCAAATAGAAGCATGGTAGACAAATCTGGAGCTTCGGATGTTTACTTTCACTAATAAAATACCTATAATACATTTCGAGAGTTGTGCTGAAACAACCGTTATTTGCTCAAATACCTGCCAAACTTGGATCCGTTTTGTTCAGAGTTCTTGATGGGAAGAAATACTTGAAATATTCCACAAAATAAAATTTTACGATAGCCTACAAATCAACGCAATTATTGTTAAAATAGTAATACGTATTAGCCGTTTAAATGGTGAGCCCCGAGTGGTCCCCGAATGAAAGCTATCTAGCTAAATTGGAACGCTTGGCATTTGCCTTGGTGCGAACGAAGAAAGAGGTGAGGTCATCAAACACCCAGCACAATAATTTCGAATTTTACTAATTCATGCCCATCCTATCTATAATATCATACGTAATAATCCATGCTCTTTTAGGCGCAGTGTGATATCCGACGAAGCAGAAATCTCTGGGCAGAGAAATGCAAAGGGCTCGCAGGTATGCACACATTGAATTGAATGATTCAATCTAATTATGATTTAAATCATGAGTCAAACTAATGCTAATGACTGGATGATGCCTCAGGTCCCTTCTCACTGGCCTTACTCGTCGCCATTCCTTACATTGCAGAAAACTCATCTGGACCAATTATAGTCGCATCGCTCCTTTTGGCCGCACTGGATGCGAGTCTCACGGGTATGTGCATATTAGATATGGCTATGACGGGTAATTGATGGGAAGAAACTATGCATTGTTCTCATTCAAAGTACTTGGAGCGCAATTGTTAGTAGCACAATGTATGATTCACGTCTCTATTGTTGCGTGCAGTGTGGTGCTATACAGATTTTGAGGGTCAGCATGGGCACTGTAAGGGCGACCTCTTCACCTGTATATTCCACCATGTGGGGGAGTTTCCAGCATTTCTGGTGGGATGGTGGTGGATCGCAACGATGTCGGCAGGATTTGCAGCGGTGGCCAGATCTCTGAGTTCCATCATGGACTCGGTAACTGGTCGCCACGTGGAAACATTGATGGAAAATACGCTGGGATCTTTCACCCCACTTGGTGCTCCCATCGACATCATCAGCGCCGGGGTTATCACCGTCCCTTCCATCATGTGCTCCTTGGGCATGGAGGTACAATTTATGAAAATGATTCTTCAATAAATGCAAATTTGGCTGCTGGTGGGCACAGCTATTTCTACACCGTAAAATTTTATTCTCAAACTCTTTGATCCAATCAATACCACGACATTGTTTAACAAAAGCGAGTTTAGAAAAATGACTTCACCACGGCGAACGAGTCTTGTTCTTCGTGAGCTACAAAAATTAAGGGACATATAATACATTGTTTTAATTTTTTCGCACATGCATGCCAAAAATAGTTAAAGTTAACGATTTCAAAAAACTTACGTCGTGTTTCATTCGAATCTGTGAAATCGTTATCCGGAGTGGGACCCCTAGATTGAAGTGGCTTCGGCACCTCAATCTCTCCAGCATCATAATCGCTTAGTCGGCTCGGAAAAGCGCCTGAGCAGTTGACCAGCAACACAATTGCAAGGAAAACGGGTACAATAACTTTGAGAAACTGCATTTTCAGAGTAACTTTTGCTGCAATGATCACTCCAACTGACATGGAAGCTCTGACCGTTCCTTCTAAAATCTCTGCAAACATGTAGATATTATTACCCACCTTACAACGGAATTGCAACAGTGTACATTAAAAGCTGGAGCATCAGCAACAGTACGTAAGATAGCAAAAAATAAGGGAAATTGATATTCAATACGAACACCAGCAAACAAAGGGTAGCAATTTTCTTAGTTAATAAGAAATTATGGAAGGCTGTGTAGTCTCGAGGTATTATCTAAAATGGTAGCAGGGACAATTCACGGCGAAGGTCGTGCGAGTACGAAAAGTTCCCACGCTCAGGGTCGTGATGAAATTAATAAAGAGTTCTCTTCCTATTGACAGTATTGCAGCATAAAAACTAAATAACATAAAAGTGCCTTGAAAATTCAGATTCTTCGCATGAAGTCATATTTCATGTCGTTGGCTATCATGCAACAATGTATTTTTCTTGTTGCAGGATTCCAACTTTTTGAGGAGTGTCCTCTTCACCTTAACGTCAACGACGACTCTGGCCATCTTTGGATATGCATTGGCGACAAACCATCTTTTCCCTTCAGCCGAGCAAATGCCACTACCAACTCCGGATGGAAATTTATATGCAAAAGTTAGTACTCACGACGCCACTTGACATGGTCTGAATATTGTGTAGTTGGTATTATGATGTTTTATAAATATGCAGATTTTGTCTGGGGCAGCGTTGGCCTCCGTTGGATTTTTGGGGCTGTACACGGTATGCAAACCGGACAACGTGACGTTGACCCAGCACAAGCATTTCCATGTTTCTAAACGATTCTCTCTCACGGGATGCGTGGTGGCCAGCATTTCATTCCTCGTGTATTTCATCGAGTCCTCCGTCATCAACAAAGTCCAACAAACGCCAAAGTATGAAATTACGTCGTTTTAACTTTGCCAGAAATTGTCGGTTTTAAAATAATGGAGATGCTAAAAACATGACAGCGTTTGGGACGGTGATCCTCCGCTCCTGTGGCCTCTCGAGGGGGGTTGCAGACTCATCGTGGCTTCTCTCGGAATTACGGCTCTCTCACTGTCAACCTTTGAATTCCTCATCCCTCTCTCTCTTACGGCCACCAAAATGGCAAATGATGGCCTCCTGTATAGGAAACTCAAAAAAATGGTAGAGAACTTTCACAGAATTTATATTTTTAATAATTCACGTTGAATCAAACCAGTGACTGAATAACTTCTTCACAGCCCCAAGACGAACAACAACAATGGTGTTTATGGTAGGCATTTATTAATATTAGTCTCTCATTTAAGCAATAGAGAAGAAAGTAACTCGTTTAAATGTGATATAACTGCAAACAAACGTGTAAATGTTAAAATGCAGTAGATTGGCAGGAAGTAACATGAGTAAAAAAAATCCAACTACCACGTTATTGGTTAGTTTGGGTATTTGAAGAAACTTTATTTAAGGATTTAAGGTCCAGGGCCTGGACTTCGCGTCTGGTAGGAGGAGTGAATTGCAATTCTTTTAATGCGTTTTATGTATTTTTATTTATATTAGTACCATTTTACATGGTATACAAGCATGTTATTTATTTGAGTCGGTAAAACTAATGTAATTCAACCTATTATTGCAACACCATAATTACACCGCTATTTCTGCCTTGCAGGATGACACCGCTGGTATTCGGTGCCATTTCTGCCTTGCAGGCAATGCTAATTGACACCCGCGTGTTGCTGGGTCTGGTGTCCAGCAGTTTGATGTGCATTCACATTGTCGTCTGCTGTTCCATGATCTGTGCCCGTTATCAAGTTCGACCCTGCGCTATTCCCTCCAAGAAACTAGGAGGTCACAGTCAAACAAGGGGTCATCCAAATATTTTGACCTCTGAAAGGGCGCGAGGAGGAAGCGGAACATGTGTTGCGGGGAGTTCAGGGAGTGGCGGAGGTGGAAATAGTGGGCGCCACTCCACGAGACGATTGTTGGCAGTGAGCTTTTTGAAAAATGGTCTCGGGAAACAAGTCGTGCACGAGATTGACGTCTGTCGCAGTGGTCTCGAGTCAGCGTCTAATTCGAGCAATAACACGGCATGTCTCATTCGAGATACGGATAACGTCCAACCTGTGGAACACACGTAATAAAAATCAAATAATTTGCTATTGATGCATATTTACTCGCTCGATATAAATGCATACGTAATTAACGCTTGACTATTTTTTTCTGTAGTCGTCGAAGAGAGTCTGTAAGTGAGTTCAGCTTGGGTAGTAATGTATCCGGCTATGAATCGGATACAGATCAGACTCACTCTGAAGCGACGGACGATACGGACATTGATGCAGTCGTTACGGAATATCAGGTATGCAGTTTATCACACCATTAATCAAAATTAAAAGTACGGAAGTGGAAATGGGATATGTATTATGGTTCATTCTATTGCCTTTTTGTTGATCAGGAAGAAGTGGCCACGCTCAACAGGGCGCTGCCCACCTTCACCACTGGTCGCAGAGTTGCCTTCTCGCTGATTGCACTCGTCCCATGCAATCTAGCAATGGCTACATCTTTGGGCCGGAACCCAACAGGGCAGTTCACGGGAGTCATGCTGGGAATCTCTTCAGGACTCTTGACCTTCCTTCTTTTGGTTGTGATCAGTCGTCAACCGCAGAGGAGGCGATCGTCAAAGTCTAAAATGCCGTCGCCTCAAAGAGGCAGCAGCAGCGGTACAAGTACAACACCAACAGCGTCTTCATCCTCATCACCAGCAGCAAATGTAGGTCAAGAGTCCGAGAGTAATGCTGGATCCGTATTCTTTGAGTACTCTCTCGTTCCTTGGATTCCTGCGGCCGCTGTCCTCCTCCATTGCTGCATTCTTCTTCAGGGACTGGACCTCGCTGCGACCGCGTTCGCCTTTTGGCTGGCAATTGGTACACACAATGATTACATGATATGAACAACGTGCTTAACACATTCCCCTGATTTGTGTGTTATTTACTTTTTTGTCACAGGGCTGATAATCTACTTTAGCTACAGCGTTTCAAAGAGCGTGGCAGCCCCTGCTCTCATAATCCCAACGGAACACATCCGTCTTGGCGTCGCGCGGAGACAGTCGCTGTTGTCCTCCGTTGTGTTAAACGATCCCTCCATGGCCACAACCTCGACCAGCGCCTCAGACCAATATGCGCAAATTGACACGGTGTTGCTTGCATAACGAGTAGCACCTATCAAGACCTATGTGAATTTCATGTGCATATATATATGTTTTGAAAGCATGCAGGAATACCATACGTACATGAAAAATATGTTTAACTATTTACGTGACTATGTATGTATGTACTCACATAATTCTACATACACAATGTATGTATATGTTGTGCTAAATGAGGTTCATTAATAATAAAAATGAAATGATGAAATTTGTAATTTGCCTCGCGTCGAGAGTAGTGAGGTTTTATTGGGGAGCACATTTAAGGAGGTTGTAAAGAACAGGAGACGGGATTATCTACCTCGATTCATATTGCATGAAAGTTTTGGAGTTGCGTGATTGCTGCTGACCTCCATGTGTGGCTTCATGTTTTTTTCTGGTTATTATTCCTCGGACGAGACTCGGATTCCTAAGGAATTTATAAGAACATGGAATAAGTCAGCAGACCCGACACTCGTTCACTGACTGACTTGATAGGCCTCGAGTATGCAATACATCCCTTTTCCTTGTGATATCCTTCTCAATTTTTGAATCCTATCCGTACACATGCAATAAGTTAATATGAGTTGTTAAGAAAATCCCCACAAGGCTCTATACCGACACAATGTAGACACTTGCTCAATCTAATCTAACTACATAGTCAGGTAAAATATGTAGGCATATAAATATGTGCATATTATATAAATATGTAGGTTATCGATCCATTGAGATTCACGCCATAGATTTAAATGTATTATGCATAGTTATCGTATTGTCCTGGCACTTTGTCTGCCACACTACCGTCACACCAAGTGCAATGTAACGGTGCGAAAATGAAACAATGGAGAATGTTCAGAGAGAAGGACTGTATATTCAACTTCAAAACTACTCGAGACCTTACCTCCCCGGCGAGACCATCGTTGGCCAACTTCTCATAGTCTTCAACACTCCACAGGAATTCAAATGTGAGCGAATGGATACGCGTAAATATATTCATAGTCTCTAGAGAAAGGTTTTCTATTGTAGATTTGAGTGTACGGCTCGAAGGAAAAGCGGAAGTTCACTGGACGCGAAGAGTTTCGAGAAAGTCGAGTATAGGTAGAATCCACAAGACGATGCACTATCGAGGTGTGGAACGCTACTTTCTTCAGAGAATTAAATTACTGGGCGACGGGAGTGGTAACAAATCTTTCCATACGTATTGTCCATTATCCAAACATATCGTTATGCTGCTAGGCGTTTTTTATCTATGCAGATTTTTGGTCGGGGTCAACCCAAAAACTTGCTTCTGGCAGTTCGATTCATCCCTTCACCTTCACCCTGCCTGACAACTTGCCCAGCTCCTTCAGAAGTATGGACAATGTGGCAAAAGTGCTGTACTTAATTACTGCGAGACTGAAGAAGCCTTACTTTAGCTTTGACATTCTGGCCACCATTCCGTTCCAAGTTAGTGGACTGCTCCGAATTTATCCCGACAAGGAGTTAATATTTGTTTTGGAGGAAAGCAGGATTGCGACTTATTGCCACAGCCACTGCTTGGGGACTGGTCGTTCTATCCGCTATAAAGTACAACTGCCACAAAGAAGCTTTACTCCCGGAGACGTTATTCCGATGCAGGTGGAAGTGTCGAGCGAGGATGATGGTCACGTAATGGACGCTAGCACTGTGGCCTCACTTTCTCTCAAACTAGTTCAACATATTGTCTACAGGATTCGACGCCACCGACATCAAGCATCTTTTGAAGTTTGTAAAACGTCCCTGCATCCAGGAAAGGAAATGCTTGGTGGAAATTTCTTATTATTTCTTGCAATTCCAGTCCATTCGTATCCGACGAGACTTGGTGGACGGTGCAAGCTCATCAATTTGCAGTACGTTTTAAATGTGCGTGATGATAAGTACAAGTACAAATTATTAATTACCCGACCGGCATGAAATGTGAATTTTCAGTATAACATATTTATATTTATATGTTTCATCCAGTTTGAAGTTGAGATGGGACATTTCTCCAAGAATTGGAAGGGTACGATACCCATTGTGATTGGCAGCGGCTGCGGCACTACTTCAGCTTCTACCCAAGATTTTGTAATTAATTAATTACAAAATCCTAATACATTCACTCCACGGAAACAAGCTAAAAAGTTTAGGAATCTTGGCTTCTACCATTCAGGGCAACCATCCATTAACGCTTTCATCATCATGATTACATGATCGCATTCAGAGGTCAACGCCGCTGATCGTACGCGGTAACGTTTTACGCCCCACCGATAAATCTAATTTCCTATTCCTACAACATTGGGGCGACGCGCCGCCGACGTCGCCGAAAAATCATCAAAAGTTTGGCCTCCTTCACTGTCAAATTAGTCGGCGTCGACCTCTGATTGAATTTGCCTTATAAATCGTTTATTGCGAAAAATGTTAAATACGAGACTTTCAGCTTACCCAGTCGTATATTTTGCTGTAAAATTATATTCATTGTAAGAAATTGGAAACTTATGCTCAAACTATAAAATGTTTAAATTGCTATATCTACAATGCTTCTGCTGGAACAAAACAGTAAACAAAGGAACGAAAATCTGAAAATGAAATCAAGATGAACAGCTTTAATACATTTTTTCATACATTTGCATATCTGAAGCATATCTGACGGTCAATAATTGACTATCTGAACCGAATTTTCAAAATTCAAAGTTCCAAGAACTTTGCAGACTTATTTTCATGCATACAGCATCTGCGTTGCTAGAGGAACGGGTATCCCTTGCTGTTGGGTCGATACGATGATTGACCCAGCTCCAGTTTGCTGCAATTCTACTACAATTTATTCCACGTTGTTGGTGCTTTTACACATTATTTCATACGGATACAAGTGACAATCCATTCGTTGGTGCTAACACGATATCATCAGATAACTGAAATCCCTAATTGCGTAACATTGTATCAGTCGGGACGATGGCGAAGGCAGGGGGTGGTGGCAACAAGGACAATACTGGAGGGGCATACGAGCCAGGAGCGGATCCACGGCTGGATTTCATTTTCGAATATCTTACCCGATCTCTCAAAATCAAAATGGACAAGTGGCAGAAATTTGTGATGACAGAAGATTATCGAAATGTCATTAACGATTTCTTTGACACCCCCGACTTTCCGGTATAAGGCGGATTTACATATATACGTAAATATATTCGACTAATGTTGGCATTAGCTATAGCCGGCAATTGGAATTTATTGCAGATGCTGGTCATCAACATGAATATGGGAGGACAACTGATAGCATCAGACGCCTACCCAACCTCGGGCAAGAACAAGACGTGCTACTTTATCAAGAAGGAAGCTGGGGCGATTCCCCTAGTGAAAGATGACATGAGCTTTAAACGAAATTTAATCTACGGAGATTTGTCGCATCAACCATTGGAAAATCTTGTTACCTACATTGAGCACGTATGAGGCTAAAACTGCATTACAATTATTTATTAAAAATCCGCGTCTCAAATTGAAATAATTTCTTGAATTTGTCGTGCTAGATAATAAGCCCTCTGATCACAGCGGAAGTTAACCAAGAGAAATGGCCAGACACAGTGATCGCTGATGTGAAACACCACACGCAAGAGATTTGTGGCGTACTGTATACAATTCAAGGCCAGTTGAAGGGAAAAACTTTGCTTCCAATGCCTCTCAATCTGGATCAAGTTGATGAGAATGATCGCAAACTTGCTACTGGGTAAGTACATGTGTAAAGAACACCTTAGGTTATCCCATGCAAGACGGCGCAAATGTGCATTAGTCTGAGAATTTATTTAGTGGTTTAGTGACAAAAGTAGGTGAGCTCCCTCTCAAAATTTAAATCATGAATGTAACAAGCCTTGATGATCAAAATAAAAAAAATCTGGAGGGGGGGGGACTCATTTGTAACTTTGAGGTATGAGCAAAGTCCCGAGGGGGTTTACTCCAGAAAGTGGTCATCATGTCGTTACCACGTTGGCAACAATGACAAATTAAAAACATCTCTCCCTTTATACGATTGTTATGTCGATCCGTCCGTTGGTCCGATAACGCGTGAACGAAACGACATACACACTTGAAACGTTGTACGCAAGTTCATTCCGTCATGGGACAGGTCAAGTTCGAAGATAGACTCTGTAGGTCATCAGGTCAAGGCGCCAGGTTACAGGTCTTGTTCCCATTTTCTTAAGTTAGAATGATATCATGTGAGGACTCAAATCGATAGTATTTTCAAAGCGCTATCCAAAGGGATAAGTAATTTTGACCTGTTACCCCTCGGTGACCGTGTGGGCGAGGTTAAACGTAAAAGTTTTTAAATACTTGAAAAACTGAGTGAGTAAAGGGGGTGGGGATTTTGGATGAAAATCGTCTCTAAGTGTAAGTGGCCGTAAAAAGGGGAACTTTGGAGGTGTCCAGGGCAGTAATGGCAGAATGACAAATTTCATCCTCGTTTCGTTTGTACAGAGGTCCAAGTGATGTCGATCTCCAGCTCAAAACTAACATGGAGACCCTCGTAATAAAATGGAGCCAGCAAATTAATGATGTTCTGAAGCAAGATTCTTCTAAGTCATTGGAAACTGGAAACAACCCAACACCGTTTGTAGAATTATCGTTTTGGGAGGAGCGTAAGTCAAAGTTCATGAATGGATAAAGTCACTCGTAATATGTTGACAAGCTTCCAGTTGTGCAAGTTGAATGAAGAGTCCTTTCCTTCTTTCTTAGGTGTCCAAGATCTGCAATGCATTTATGACCAACTCAATGAAGAAAAAGTGAGGAAAATTGCCAACATCTTAGAACAGACTGGTTCCACTTATTGGCCCTGCTTCAAGTCAATGTTCCGCAACGTGGTGGCTGCACTTGCAGAAGCGCAGGACATCCTAGTGCACTTGAAGCCGCTCCGAAAACACTTGGAAAACGTGCAAAACGCCAGTTTCGATGAAGTCCTGAAACACCTTGGACCCATGGTGCATTGCGTCTGTCTGATTTGGGGCCATTCCAAATACTACTGCTCCCCGGCGAGAATAATCGTCCTCCTCCAAGAAATATGCAATCTGCTCATCGAAATGGCACGATCCCACTTGGGCGGCAGCGCTGTTTTCCAGATGGAACCGGAAGAAGGCCTCGTCAAATGTACGGCTGTTGTGAATACTCTCCAACATTTTCGCGATTTGTATGATGCCCACAAACGAGAACTTCCTGTCTACTTTAGGGCGGAAGAAGAAGCCAAAAATTGGGACTTTCTCCCCCACTTAGTTTTCAAACGTTTTGACAAATTCTTCAACAGGATGAAAAATCTTTTGGTAAGTTATATCATCACTTTCTTTCAACCTTTGACTTAAAGCATAGTACTCAGGACGAGTTTTCACGTGAAATGACAACTTGCTTGAATTCTACTAAATCTTTCACTTCAGCGAAATTTGTAAGCAGCCAGAAAACACCACTTCCACGAATATTTACCTATTTTTACCCCTAGGTACCACTTTTCCCCATTTTGCATTGACCGCTTTAATTACCAGGTGCTATTAAGTTGAAAGTGAATTGCTCCATCTTCTTGCTTGAATTCCGAGCGTTAAGGAATACCCTCGATTTAACTCAAGCTTTGAGCTTAAATTAAGCGAACACTGCTAGCTCAGAAACATTCCTCGCAACTTTATTTCGAATAGCTGCCGAGGTCAAGCGAGCGGAATTTAAGCAAACGTCATTTTTCACATGAAAAGTCAATCCTGAGGGCTTAAGCTTTAACGGTTAAATTAAAATTATGTATATGTTTTTTTTAATTTTCCAGGTATTTTTCGACACGTCTGTCGAGTTTTACAAATTGGAGCGCATCGACATAGGTGGAAACAAGGGCAAATTCCTCAGTGCACGGATTCATCAAGTGTATACAAAATTCATGGAGTTTTACCAAAAGTTTGGTGGGATTCAGTACGATTGTTCGGATCCGGAGGACGACAGCTTCCTCGCGGATGAAAAACTGTTTGAAGAGAACGTTCTCGACATTGACCAACAACTCTCGGCCATTTGCACGCCCACATTTGACGACTGTCACACACCAGAGTCTGTCTACAAGTTGATTCTTGCGCTAGGATCGCTGGTGGAGAGGCCGCTCATCAAGGCAGATATTGAGCCCAAGTATCCCCAATATGTGGCCATGATTAACAAAGATCTGGAACAAATTAAGGTAATGGAGACAAAGACGCAGAAATGATACTTATGTGTAAGGAACTTTCACGTTAATTCACGCAAACTTCGCATTTCCACAAGAAAAATTTCAAACTTCGCGTAAATGGAAAAGTTTAGAACACGTTACCGTTGAAGCCGTGCAAAATTCTCAGTGTTTATTAAAAACCAAGACCTAACAATGGAAATCTCCGAGTGTATGCTGTTCGATTTTTACAAAATTAGTGTCTATCGATCACAATTTAAATTAATATGAAATTCGCAAATGGCACTATCTGCAAATACTTACTCAGGTTTTGACAAAGATATTGGCATCCAAAGAAGAAAAAACGCGTCCTAAAGTTGACAAATTTTGGTGGCATCCATAAATTATGTCTCGCAAAAAATAGGGAATTTCTAGACCCCCCCCCTTAACATGTGTCACATAGGCACGATATCATTGCAGCCTTGGACCTCCCCTCCCCCTCTCGTGTGACATAATTTACGGACGGTGCTTTTACACTGTCCAAATTTACTGCCCTTTTCTCCTCTTCGGATGCAAATATTTCCGCCAAACCTGCGCATTGGGAGATCGTGTCTTTTGAATATTTCATCTGAATTAAATTTGCGATAGACTGACACCAATTTGGTCAAAATCGGAAAGCATACGCTGGGAGAGTTCCATTGTAAGGAACTCGTTCCGACATTTTGGATAGCGAAAATTTCATAAATCCCCCAGTATTTGTGTAATCTGAAATATTTTCCCGTTTTATGCAGGATCAATTTGATCGAACAATTACGCCTTTTCAAATAAGTCAGCGCCCCCTGGCCAACCCAGTCCTGCCCCCTTATTCCGCCTCGATTCATTGGGCTAGAGAAATGCGAGATCGTTGTGACGAGAATATTGAACAGTTCCGCTCACTTGAACTGCACATTGAGGATCAAGAAGTTGTTGGCAAGTTGAACAATTCGTATGAAGAGCTGGACGAAGTGTTCATCAAGTTTCAGAAGGAGACTTTTGAAAGTTGGACGAAGAGCGTGGAAAGAAAGGGAGAAGGGTGGATGAAGCAAATGCTTTTTAGTCGAGATCCAGAGGACAAATCACTCATCGTCAATTTCAGCAGCGAGGTAATTTTGCATGCATTTTTCATAATCCTGCACCACTCAATTACTTATTTCCATATACCCTCAGCGTTTCTTATTTCGTATTTTCCCGTAAAACGAATTGCATATGCAATACGCAACGGACTTGCACTTAATAAGGCAATTCACGCAGTCATTGGTAACTTGTAAAATGCGTGCCTTTTGTAAAATAAGAAGACTCCCTTGATCTGACAATGAGTAAGTTTACAAAAATTTGTAAGATAATTTTCCTTGAAAATATTTGCAAAAGTTTGTAAGTTTACAGAATTTACGGATTTTACAATGTTGCCATTTACCAAGGCCTGTGTAAATTGCCTCATTAAATATTTGTCTGATAACCTCTCAGATTTGCTTAACCAGTAGTAAATTCGTACGTTTTAATATCTACTAATATATATATATATCACTGTTACCCATGCTACATAGTTGTACAGCACTATGAAGGAAGTCAAGTATATGGAGTGTGCCGGATTTAATGACATCCCTCCCCTTGCCCAGAAGCTAGTTGATGAAAGAACGGTTTTCAGGAAGAATTTGCTATTTCTGGACCGGATTGCTTATTCGTACAACAAAATACTCAACAGTTCCAACCCTCAGGAACGCGAACTGCTTCACTCCAAAATGAAAGAAATTGATGCTAAAATTCAAACTGGTAGCTACAAAATCAGGTGGTCTGACACTGGTAAGTAGATCACGCCTCCATAGACCTCGGAAACTATGGGACTTTTGATGGGAAGCTTCTACCGCGGAAATTTATCGCATTATATTCCACTTGATACAGATATTTGGTCATACGTTGATTCCTTAAACGATCCCGTCAACGACGTTGAAGATAGACTTGGAAAATCACAAGAGAACGTGAATATTATCAAGAAGCTGGTCCAAACCTGGTTGGGCCACCCGCTCTTTGAACGAAAAGATGGCAACCGTAAAGCCCTATTGAACATGGACGAACACGCAAATGCCAGAAAAGTGAAGCAGTACAAAGAAATTGAGGAAATGTCGGTGAAGGTTACAGAAATAGTACAACTCAATAAGAACCTCTTGACGGAAAACACCCCGGATCAAAAGCAACCTTGGGACAATTATCTCCAATTCTTGGAGAACATCGTGTTGGATGGGCTTATCAAGACGGTTGCAGTTTCGTATGTTTGCACAAGTTTTTTTTCAGTATTAAATCCAGGGTTTCATAAATAGTTCTCACCTTTTTGACGAACAAATAAGTTGTATGTGTATGTATGTAATTTTTCCATATCAGGTTTGGTTATCTCGTTGACCACACCGACGGAAACTTGACTCCTTCCCCACTTTTCGAAGTAACGATGGAGTTGAACGAGAACAAAGTCATCTTCACCCCTGCTCTCGACTTTTCCGATCCGAGCAGCTTTCTCAACTTGGTGGAAGACATCCTAGCAGACATCAGCCATCAGGGAACACTCGTGAAAAGAATACGTCCTGGTGAGGACGCCGATTACTTTGTGAGTTACAACTTACCATTAACACAATTACTACAAGTTAATTCTAAACTTTAATCTAGAGTTTCATGCATATTTCCCACAATTTGACTAAAACTAGTGGTACAATGAAAAAAACTGAGCACTACCCCTTGCGGACATTCCAATTTCTAATTTAGCATTCTTATTAACGCCAAGCAATTTATTTGTCATAACTTTCTCATCTTATTTCTTACTTCCTACGTGCTAAATATATACATACACACTGTAAAAATCCGGTAGAGTCACATACACGAGTATGTATACTCCACACGCTGGTATTGATTGGTAATAATTTTTTACCGGATTGGTAATAGTTTGTTTCCGGCCGGCGGCCACTAATGATTTAACACCAGTTTCTTAATAATAAATACAACTGATACTTGAAACTCTGATCTTTTTGTAGACTGACGTTGAAAAATGTCCAGAAATATCCGACATGCGATCAGACATTGAGCAACGAGTTCAAACCGTGATGAATCAAGCGTTTGAATACACCTTGAAGTTTGAGCCGTACACTTATCTCTGGGAAGACGATAGACTCGAGTATCTCAACCAGTTTCTCAAATATGGTCACCAACTCACACCAGAGGAACTGGAAGCCAAAAACTCTGGCGAGGAAGAATTGCAAGAATTAGTCGCCCCTACTCTGGAACAATTCAAACAAGTTGTGAGTGAAGTAAAACTGGGCAATATTTAAAGCCGGTTTTAATTAAATCGCAATTTCCTTCCCACTAGATTGACAAGTTTGAAAACTTGTACATTGAAGTTGACAATCTCCCAAAGGAGCATATCTTTGATAAGTGGTTCCGACTGGATATGCGCCCATTCAGGCAATCACTCCTTAACAAGTGCAAAATATGGAGCTTAATGTTCAAGCAGCACATGATTGACAGTGTTATCGGAGGGTAAGCAGATTTTGTATGTATTAATTTTAAGTAAACTTGGAAGCATAAATTTTTTAAATTATGCATGTGAAAAATTTCGCAATTTTCAAAGCAAGTGTCTCGTTTCTTGCGGGCTTGCTACATTTCTTGTACTGAAGCAAGAAACGCAGGGTGCAAGAAAAGGCCAGAAATATGCGCCATCTAGCGACGTGCCCTATGGACTATAGAGACGGGAAGCATGTAGTTTCTTGTGCCCTGCATTTCATTCAGGTCAAAATAGCTGCAAGAAACCACTTTCTTGCCGTTATTTCTTGCAAGTGGTTACTTGCACCCGGAACACTGGAAATTGTTGTAATGAAAACTTTGTTAAAATTTCTTATAAAATGCGAAATGCACTGTCCAATACTTATTTATTTATTTCGCGTTTTTGTATGTTGCAAATTAACGTATTTGAATTGAATCCTCCTTTCTTCCTATTAAATAGTATGCTAAATTTTATGCCCACAGATTATCCGGTCTCGAGCAGTTTATCACCGAGGCGGAAAGCGGTCTCACTCAACCCCTGCGTGAAGGCGACCTCAGAAAACTAATTTCTGTGATGACCTGGCTCCAACAGGTTAAGGACCGACAAGCCACGACAGACACGATGTTTGAACCCATCAAAAAGTACATCGAACTCCTCAAAATGTACGATTACGATCTACCGGAAGCAGTCTTCGTCCAATTGGAAGGTTCAAAACTTTAACGTTTAAACGTTTAAGGTTTAAAAATTACTGTCAAATTAGCACTGATTTTAACTCATGTGCAGAATTACCTCAAAAGTGGATGAACTTGAAAAAGTTGGCTATTAAAATCAAACACCAAGTCGCACCCCTCCAAGCACAAGAAGTTTCTTCAATCCGGAAACGAATTACCGACTTTGATGTAAAACAACACGCGTATCGAGATGTCTTCAAGGCTCTGGCGTTCTTTGAGTATGATTTCCAAATTCCCCTAAAAAATATAGGAAATGAAACTTTATAAATTATAATTTTGTTAGCAAAATGTCTCAGTTTCCATACAAAGAACTTGACGACTCTCACACTGACATTGCTGCCCTCAATACCGAGTATGCAGATATTTGCTCGGCTGCAGAATTGTTTGAGGTGCACGTCCCAGAACCAAAATCTTTGAGACAATGCGAAAAGGAAGTGATTCTTACCAAGAACATTTGGGACTACACCTACATTGTCGCCTCATTGATCGAGGAATGGAAAACCACAAAATGGCTCAACATTAACGTGGAGAACATGGACTTGGAGGTTAGAAAATACCATAGATCTATGTATACCGATATGTACAGAAAATACAATTACAGATATGCCATGAAAACTGAATAAATAATTGAGGTTTTGTGGGATTAAATATAATCGAAAGAATTGTAGTTTATAGTGTATTACGCAGATTATGAGCGTTACAAGAAATAAATCTACTGTTTATAAGCATTGATGATAAAAGCAGTTAAATTTTCTGATTTTTGTAGTGTAAGCGAATGGCAAAGGAAGTGAAAGCCATGGACAAGGACGCGAAAGCTTGGGAGATATTTTCTCTGCTCGAGGGCGTAATCAGAAACATGATCTCCTCTCTCAAATCTGTGGCAGAGTTGCAAAACCAAGCCATTCGAGAACGCCATTGGGAAGAACTTATGCAGGCGACCAAGGTAAGGCTTCATACATTATTAGTCATTTTGGTGTGTTTGAGAAACGACATATATCACATTGTGCACATGCATAAGTAGCTGATAACTATTTCTGATAAAAGAATGAAAGGTGTTATTGAAATAATTATGAATTGATGTATGATTCATGCAACTCGTCAGATTTGGCCACATTTATACAAAATGTTAATCGTAAGTTTTAAAGTAGTGAACTCCATATATTTGTTTGACCGTCAAAGTTTAAAGTATTGTAGTCATATTAATAATAATATAAAAAAACGCAGAGAAGTTATATCTTTTCTCTTAATAACAATATTAATTACGGGACGGAGGAGATACTGTAATGAATAATGCTTTCTAGGTCAAATTTTCTATGGACGAATCTACAACGCTGGCCGATCTCCTGGTCCTCAATCTCCACAACTTTGAAGAAGAAGTCAAAAATATTGTCGATAAAGCTGTGAAGGAAAATTCAATGGAGAAAACACTCAAAGACTTTGACGGAACTTGGTAACAAAACCATTGTGAGTTTTACTTTAAATAGGACCAAACTAATAAGATTAAATATTGCACAGGTCGGCTCAAGAGTACGAGTTTGAACTTCATTCTCGAACGGGAACTCAGCTTATCAAAGCGTCCGAAGAACTCATTGAAATTCTTGAAGACAACCAGGTCCAACTCCAGAATATTGCAATGTCAAAATATATCGCATTTTTCCACGAAGAAGTAGAATTTTGGCAGAATCGTCTCTTCATGGCAGATCAGGTGCGTCAATTATCTACATAATACACATAATACTGTAGTCCAATTACCTAACGTAATAATACTAATGTGTGTATATGCAGCAACGATAATTAATCTGGTTGTTTTAAATAAAATGAATACATAGGTTCTTGCTGTGCTGGGAGAAGTTCAGCGTACCTGGTCACATTTGGAATCTATTTTTATTGTGTCTGAGGATATTCGTAAAAATCTTCCCGAGGATGCAGCACGATTTGATAAAATCGACAGAGATTTCAAGGTTTATATTTATAATAAAAATATTGTATTTTTCAACGACAAAACAGGAGAATGATTTATTTGTCAATAATTAATTTTGTCTTTAATTTTTAGAATACTCTTAAGAAACTTTACAAGACGAAAAACGTTGTGGAAGCCACAAATCAACCTGGAGTGCTTCCAGATTTAGAAGTTTTGCAGAAAGGCCTTGCCATTTGCGAGAAAGCACTCGCAGACTATTTGGAAACCAAGAGATTGGTGTTTCCTCGATTCTACTTTGTCTCATCGGTCGATCTTTTGGACATTTTGTCAAACGGGAACGAACCCGAGCAAGTTGCGCGACATCTTGCCAAACTATTTGACGCGATGGCGAAATTAGATTTCAAAAAATTGGAGGGTGCCAAGATAAAGCCGACAAAAACCCAACTTGAGGATGGCGAGGAAGAGAAGAAGGACGATGAAGAAAAGTCGACGACTGCAACCGGCATGCGAGCCAAGGACGGAGAAGCCGTCCCCTTTAACGCTGTGTGCGAGTGCACGGGCGCTGTGGAAACGTGGCTCTGTCGTTTGGAAGAGGCGATGAGAGCCACCGTTCGAAACTGTTTCTCTGAAGCTGTGACCACCTATGAAGAGAAACCTCGAGACTCTTGGATTCAGGTATGAACGCAGGCGTACATTGTGCGTACACGTTAAATTATGTAAAAGTAGATAGTTGGCCAACTGACTTTGTCTAGCATTTTATTTTATAACTTTTTAATCAGGACTTTCCTGCTCAAACTGCACTTTGTGGAACTCAAATTTGGTGGACGACGGAGGTCAACAGTGCTCTTGGCAAACTTGAAGAAGGCTACGAGAACGCGCTGAAAGACTACCACAGAAAACAAGTCAACCAACTAAACACCTTAATCGGGCTTTTGATCGGCCAACTGACATCTCAAGAACGTCAAAAGATTATGACCATCTGCACAATTGATGTCCATTCACGAGACGTTGTACTCAAATTAATCGCTCAGAAAATTGAAACAGCTCAAGCATTTCCTTGGCAGAGTCAATTGAGACATCGTTGGGATAATTTGGAGGGTGACTGCTTTGCAAATATTTGCGTAAGCATATCAAGTTCAAATACGTATTATTCGAAGTAGATTATTTGCATTTAATATCACCAATTGGATACACAATTCTTGTAGGACGCCCAGTTCAAATATTGGTACGAATATCTTGGAAATACACCGCGTCTCGTCATCACCCCCTTGACGGATAGATGTTACATCACATTGACGCAATCTCTCCATTTAATTATGGGAGGAGCACCTGCAGGTACCGTTCCATGTGGGGTTTAACGTTGTGTCTTTTATCACAACCTCCTGATCTGTGTAACACAGGTCCTGCTGGAACTGGGAAAACTGAGACGACAAAAGATCTCGGGCGAGCATTGGGGATGATGGTGTACGTCTTCAATTGTTCCGAGCAGATGGATTACCGGTCAATTGGAAATATTTACAAGGGATTGGCACAAACTGGGGCATGGGGTTGTTTTGACGAGTTTAATCGAATCAGTGTTGAAGTGTTATCTGTGGTTGCGGTCCAAGTCAAGTCTATTCAGGTATTGAACTGAACCTCCTGCTGACGTGGAAAATAGTCAAAAATGTGTTTTTGTAATTGTTAAAATTCTGATTCCTCAACCTTTGTTAACAGGACGGCATTCGAGACAAAAAGACACGATTCAATTTTATGGGTGAAGAAATTCGCCTGATTCCTACTGTGGGAATTTTCATTACCATGAATCCGGGTTATGCAGGACGCACAGGTTGAACACAGCCCGTTTACAAATACTGACAATGACATATTTTGAGATCATGCTCAATGTGTATGTAATTATGCCTGGTACAGAACTTCCCGAGAATTTGAAAGCTTTGTTCAGACCTTGCGCCATGGTCGTTCCAGACTTTGAACTCATTTCTGAAATCATGTTGGTGGCTGAAGGTTTCCAAAGTGCTCGGCTGCTCGCTCGAAAGTTTATTACGTTGTACACTTTGTGCAAAGAGTTGGTAAACAAAAACAACACTATCCCCATAAATAATTAATAATAACTAGTTTAACTGGGACAGTAAAAACACAATAATAATTATAGCTATCCAAACAAGATCACTACGATTGGGGGCTTCGTGCCATCAAATCTGTGCTGGTCGTTGCTGGATCGCTGAAGGTTAGTTGCTTGTGCTACAAAGCAGCTATTTAGAATTATGTAAAGAGGGCCAGTCGTGTCAATGATTTATGTAATGTTTCCAATCCACAGAGAAGTGACCCTGACCGTCCAGAGGATCAAGTGTTGATGAGAGCACTTCGAGATTTCAATGTTCCGAAAATTGTGACGGACGACGTTCCAGTTTTCATGGGTCTCATTGGGGATTTGTTTCCTGGTAATCGACTTGATTCATTTATGACCAATTTATTAGAGAAATTTACCAGAATGAATGACACAATGTTTTATTAATTACATTTTGTATTCGTAGCTTTGGACATTCCTCGCAAGAGAGATCTTGACTTTGAGAAGAATATTCGAGTGGCCACGCTCCAACTTAAACTGCAACCGGAAGATAACTACATTTTGAAAGTGGTACAGCTCCAAGAGTTGATTGATGTGCGGCATTCAGTGTTTATCATTGGAAATGCAGGAACAGGGAAAAGTCAAGTATGTACCACGAAGGACATTTATTTACCAAGGCAAAAAAGAGGTCGTGCAATTACAAACTAAAATTTTGGCCTTGTAGGTGTGGAAAACACTTTATCGTGCACATCAAATCATGAAGCATCGTCCCATGTACTCCGACCTGAATCCAAAAGCTGTAACGAATGACGAGCTGTTTGGCATCATTAACCCCGCAACGAGAGAATGGAAGGATGGTACTTTTTCATACATTTTTCAATATTTTGATACCTCATGAAGGCCATGCTAAATAATTCATCAATAATGACCTCCAGGCATCTTTTCCGTGATTATGCGAGATCAAGCCAACCTTACAGGTGATGGACCCAAATGGATCATCTTAGATGGTGATATTGACCCCATGTGGATTGAGAGTTTGAACACTGGTAATTAGTTAATTATTCTAAACCGTCCTCTTTGCTAATTAAAAACGATATATGTACATATGTGCTTTTTTTAGTAATGGATGACAATAAAGTGCTCACACTGGCCAGTAATGAACGAATTGGTAAGTCCATTAAACATTATATAATAACAGATTTGAGTTTCACTCTCTTCAATCTTTATCTTTAGCAATGACAAAAATGATGCGACTTGTGTTCGAAATTTGGACTTTGAGAGTCGCAACCCCTGCGACCGTATCAAGAGCTGGAATTTTGTATCTCAACCCTCAGGATTTAGGCTGGCAACCGTAAATAAATTTGCATAATCTAGCTATTCCTCCTGTCGTAAATATGAGTTCGTATTCGTTACAAGATATCTGCAAATCAACGTTGCAAAATATTCTGTAACGCAAGCGGAGAAAGATTTCACAAAATGATTTAACGATTTTCTATGACTGATAAATATTTTACAAGACTTCATAATCTGTAACAAAGTATACCCAAAGAAATAATGTGCTTAATCTGGAACCCACTTATGTATACCCGCAGATATGTCGCTAGTTGGATTGAGAAACGTGACAGCTCCGCAGAAAAGGCCAACTTGACGATTTTGTTTGATAAGTATGTTCCCACGGTTATCGAAATGAACAAAAACAGATTCAAGAAAATTACACCAATCTCTGAAATCACGCATATTGAACTGCTCTGCAATCTGTTGGACTGCACCATCACGGGAGACACGTGCCCCACCGATTGTCCTAAAGAGTGGTACGAAGTTTACTTTGTCTTCTGTACAATCTGGGCGTTCGGATCTGCAACTTATCAAGACCAATTGTTGGACCATCGTGTCGACTTTTCCAAGTGGTTCCAAAATGAGTTTAAATTCGTCAAATTTCCAGCTGGTGGAACTGTGTTTGACTTTTACATTGGTGAGTTACTAGTTACATACACTGGACAAATACTTATGGACTGTTCTTATTGTCAATAAGTACATAAATTTATATTCACAGATATGGAAACAAAAAAGTTTTTGCCTTGGACCGATCTTGTCCCAAGGTTTGAGTTGGATCCTGAACTACCCCTGCAGGTACACACTTCTTTACATATTTTTACACTAATACCACGTAAAAACTTTCTCCACGAAAATATGTAGGCGGCTTTGGTGCATACCGCTGAAACTACTCGTGTCAAATATTTCCTTGACATGTTGATGGCTCGTGGTCACCCGGTGATGCTCGTGGGTGGGGCTGGCACTGGAAAAACTGTCATCATTAACGACAAACTTGCCGCTCTGTCAGATTCCTATGCAATTCAAAATGTTCCCTTCAATTTCTACACCACATCCGAAATGCTTCAACGCGTCATGGAGAAACCTTTGGAAAAGAAAGCGGGCAGAAATTATGGTCCACCGGGAAATAAAAAACTTATATATTTCATTGACGACATGAATATGCCCATGGTAAGTAACTAGAACAAATTTTCGCTAAAATATTTGTCAAAATAACCCTAGGAGAAAGGCTTTCTTGCAAAAGTTTGCCCTGATTTTCTGGAGAAAAAGTTTATGCAGTGCGATTTGTGCAAAACTATACATAATTATGCATAACTATGTATACACAGTTCTGCAGAATAAATGTCATGAATTTTTGGCAGCGTTATGTAAAAAAAAATTATGCAGGATATCCCTAATTTTAGTAATATGTGCCTACGTAATTTTGTACATATTAAATTTGCATCTTTTTTAAGGTTGATGCATATGGAACGGTACAACCCCACACGCTCATTCGGCAACATCTGGACTACGGCCATTGGTACGATCGGATCAAACTTTCCCTCAAGGATATTCACAATGTGGGATACGTCAGTTGCATGAATCCCACTGCGGGTAGTTTCACGGTAAGTTGTTTGACAATATTTATAAATTCTAAATGTAATTGTTTGTGTGGTGAGTTTTGATTTATGCATGTCACAGATCAACCCCAGATTGCAGAGACATTTTGCTGTCTTCTCATTATCCTTCCCAGGACAGGAGGCAGTACATTTCATCTACAAAACCATTCTGCAACAGCACCTGGCCTCTCAAAATCATAAATTTCCACTACACGTCATCAGAACTTGTGGAAGTGTGGTGAATGCAGCGCTTGCGCTGCATAGCAAAGTAGCGTCAACCTTTTTGCCGACGGCGATAAAATTCCATTATGTCTTCAACCTCAGAGACCTGAGCAATATATTTCAAGTAATGTGCATACATATTCATCCATTCGTAATATTGCGTTTTCCGAGAGATGCTATTTCAGGGGCACGATTTTCTGTTGGATTAGGGTATCCGAAATCGGAAGATTTTGAAAAACCGGGCTTCGATTTTTCCGATTTTGACAAACTTTCGCAAACCGGTTTTTGTAACAACAAATTTTTAAAAGTTTGTAAATATAGTCTGGTAGAATTAAAAGTATAGCAAACTTTAGGCATTAATTAGGGAAAAAATATTTCAGAACAATTAATTAGCACATGAAAAACTAGAAATCGTAAATAGTAGCTACAAAATAATTATTATTATAAATCCTTAATTTCTGGAAAGGTCTATACTAACTTCCTCTCCTAAATATAATCCTATTTATAAAATTATAAACAGACTGTTTCGTCCTTATTTTTTTCAGGGTGTTCTTTTCAGTACGATCGATTGCCTTCAGAACCCCTTGGATTTGGTACGTCTTTGGCTGCACGAGGCGAGCCGGGTCTACGGGGACAAACTAGTTGACGACAAGGATATCTCCACGTTTGCTAAAATGGTCAATGATAATGTCAAAAAGTCGTTTGAGGTAAGGAAACCTATTTTAAGGTGTACAATGTACACCTTGGAATACACCTACTTATTGTACATATGTACATACGGCTGTACTCTTCCATTTTTACTGCAAATACTAATTGTTGAAGCGTATGTAGCTATCTAGCCAGTGAAAAAAATCACCGCTTTTTATTCTCTCTTTGCATGATCACATTTTATCGAGCTTGCAGGCGGTGTTTGTAGTAATATGTCTGCTGAAAATAATTGATAGGTTGTAATTTATTACCAATGTAATAATTGCAAAATGTTTTTAATGTGTTAACCACAGTATAAGCGGCCGTCCATAAATTACGTAACGCGAGAAGGGTGAGGGGAGGGGGTCTAAGGCTCCAATAATATCGTGGTTATGTTACACTTGTTAAAGAGGGGAGGGGGTCTAGAAAATCGCGATTTTTGCGTTATGTAATTTATGGACGACTCTTAAAATAAATTGTGACGCTTACATATTTTCTGCATGGAGAATGAACAGATACAACGAATAGAATTAATTATGTGTCAGATTAAATGTCAATTATTTTTCTATAGGATCTTGAAGAAACGAGCGTTCTTGAGAAACCGTTGATTTATTGTCATTTCGCGCAAGGGATGGAAGATCCAAAATATATGCCGGTCAAGGATTACAATTTCCTGCAACGACTGCTTATAGACGCGCTGAAGTCTTACAACGAGTTCAACTCCATTATGAACCTCGTCCTCTTTGACGATGCGGTCAACTATATTTGTAAGATCAGCAGAATCCTTGAATCTCCGCGAGGAAATGCCCTGCTCGTCGGTGTTGGGGGGAGCGGTAGGCTATTAAAACTCCTTTTACATTTATATATTATATTTTTATTCAAATGTTAATAATTGAAAAACACATTATTTTTTAGGAAAACAAAGTCTGAGTCGACTTGCAGCCTTCCTGTCAGGGTTGGACGTGTTTCAGGTTGCTCTACGAAAAGGTACAATTTACGACCCACGTCCTCACTCCTAAAAATGATGTTGCCCTTATATATTAAGTAGTCTATACTAAATCCAGAGTAAATTTTCTTCTTTATCAAGTTACGAGCGCATTTGCTTTTCAAAAGGGTAACATTGTTTTTAACAGTGTATACTTTAAAATGTACCAGATAGCAATTTATATTATCAGCAAAGTTATTATACATTTTTTACAAAAACTGTATAAACTTTTTGTGTCAAACGAAAACTCAAGACTAATTTGCCAGGTTTGCGAAATAAGTGATGTAAACTGGCAAAAACGTGTTATAAATATGTATGTATATAAGCTTTATTTACCTCCACCCTTTACACTTCTTAAGTTTTAATTAATTAGAATTCATAAGTATGAAAAACCAAATTATGCGAAATGATTACTGTGAAAAAATGACCAAAAATTACGGGATTTCACAAAATTCGCTGATCTGACTAATGAGTTTTTGACCTGACTAGGATATGGCGTCCAAGATTTGAAAAACGACCTTGCCATCTTATACATCAAAGCGGGTCAGAAAAACATGGGAACCATGTTTTTGATGACGGATGCTCAAGTTGCAGAAGAAGAATTCCTCGTCGTCATCAATGACATGTTGGCTTCCGGAGAAATCCCTGACCTTTTGCCGGACGATGAAGTAGAAAACGTAATATCCAGCATGAGGACAGAAGTGAAAACTGTAGGACTTGAAGATACGAGAGAAAATTGTTGGAAATTTTTCATCGAACGAGTCCGCAAGGTTTTAAAGTGCGTCCTGTGTTTCTCACCGGTTGGCAGCACACTCCGAACAAGGTCACGAAAGTTCCCTGCGGTTGTGAACTGCACGTCCATTATTTGGTTTCAAGGTGAGTAACTTATTTACATGTGGTACATAACACTTATTGTGGCCCGTAAAAAACGTACTCGAAGAAAAAATGTTCGAAAATTTCCTTCAAAATGCTCAAAAATTCCCGGAAAGTTTCAAAATATCTAGTTTCAAGGTGTCGATGTAACTTCTTTTCTCAGTTTTCGCCCCCGCTTTCCCGGCAAACGCGTTTGCACCACAAATTGAACCCACGCTTTGACTCTTAAAAAATTGGAAGCATGAAATTTTGAAAGCATACCTTTTTAATTCCAATTTACACATTAGGTTGGCCCGAAGAAGCCTTAATGTCCGTCTCACAAAGATTTGTGAAAGACATTGACGTACTTCCGCACGACCTGCACAATCCGATCGCTTCCTTCATGGCGTACGTTCACTCCTCCGTCACCGAAACGTCTAAAACATATCTGGCGAACGAGAAACGGTACAATTACACGACTCCGAAATCTTTCCTCGAACAAATCGACCTGTACGGGAAGCTCGTAACGACCAAAAATAGGGAAGCTTTCGCCAAAGCGGAGCGCCTCGAGAGTGGGTTGACCAAGTTGGAATCGTGCGCTCAACAGGTCGAAGGGTTGAAGAAAGTCCTCGCCGTGCAGGAAGTCGTCCTCAAAGAGAAGAATGAGAAAGCGGATCATTTAATTCAAGTCGTTGGCGCAGAAACTGCAATGGTTTCCAGTGAGAAAGAAAATGCGGCAAAGGAGGAGAAAAAAGTCGCTGTCACTGCAACCGAAGTCACGAAAATTAAAGAGGTGTGCAGAATTGAATTGGAGAAAGCAGAGTGAGTGTAAAACATAACTTTGCACATCAGTTATCATTAGATTTAGTGCATTCGAATTGTTGGTTACTTATTACGATGTGATATGGCAGACCTGCTTTGCAAGCTGCCTACGCTGCCTTGAATACTCTGAACAAAGCCAACTTGACAGAGTTAAAGACTTTCACCGCTCCTCCTCCAGACGTTGTAAGTTGAAATATAATAAAGCTTTTAGGAATGATTAAAAATTATTGATAATTTATGGGTTATTGCTTCATGCAGATCAATGTCATATCTGCCGTGTATATCTTGTGGGAAGGGACCAGGACGGGAAAAGTTCCCAAGGACAAAAGTTGGAAAGCTGCTAAACAGGGAATGATGGGAGACATTGCCAAGTTTTTGGATGGATTGATGAATTTAGAAAAGGAAAAGATAACCATGACCATGGTATGAAAAAATTAACTCTTCTCGACCTACATACATGCAGAGTGGTTCAAAATGGACCCACATGGAGAAATTTTCCCAGTAATTTTTAAACAGTTACATAAAGCGTAATGCTAATATAAGACACTTATTAGATTATGTTAGAGTTGAAAATTATCCAAATATTTCGGGATAAATTTCGTCATGTGAATCCCTTTTTGAACCACCATGTATATTATTGTATATATGCGTTTTTTAGGTCGACGCAATGAAACCGTACACAGATGTGGCTGGGTTTGACCCAGAAAATATTAAGTCTAAATCATTTGCAGGTACACTATTAAAAATAGTGACAAATTTTATTATTCTGACAAAAAATATCCTTAGAAGTTACAAAGATTGAGTAAATATTTATATTGAGACACGCTGCGTGTTTGTTTTTTTGCAGCCGCTGGTCTCTGTTCTTACGTTGTGAATGTACTTCTGTTTAACGACGTGTTCCAAGAAGTAGGTAAGTAAAAGCGGTAAATTATTGATAAATATTAATTTATCAACTCACGTGTGAAATAATACATATGTAAATAGTTGACTCTCACTATAACTTTTCATCCCCGAATTTTTTTTATAGCCCCAAAACGACGTGCTTTACAAGAAGCGACCGACATCCTGAACAAAGCCCTCGATCGTCTTAAGTACCTGAAGCACAGAATCACCGAGTTAGAAGACAAACTGACCATTCTCACCTCAGAGTACGACGTAGCCATCGCGGCAAAACAGAAGTGCCAAACAGAAGCTGACAGAACGGCCTTAACGATCGATCTGGCAAACCGTCTTGTCGGTGGACTAGCTGCCGAAAAATCGCGTTGGATTCAAAATGCGCAAAATTACCGATCAAGTACAATCACCATTCCCGGCGATATGTTACTAGTCACCGCTTTCGTATCTTATCTTGGCTGTTTTGCTAAGCAATATCGCGTCGATTTACTCGACAACACGTGGATTCCTTACCTACGCAAGTTAGAACCCCCCATTCCCATGTCTGCCTCCGTAGATCCGCTCAACATCCTCACCGACGACGCCGAGATCGCACAATGGAACAACTTTGGTCTCCCCAGCGATCGAATGTCGTCCGAAAATGCGTCCATCTTAATGAACTCGCAGCGCTGGCCGCTCATGATTGATCCTCAACTGCAAGGCATCAAGTGGATCAAAAGCATGAAAGCAGGAAATTTGAAGGTCATCCGTCTCGGGCAAAAAGGCTACTTGGACATAATCGAAGACGCCATCACCAAAGGGGTCACCATCCTCATAGAAAATATCATGGAAAACGTGGACCCCGTTTTGGAACCACTTCTCGCCAGAAACCTTATCAAGAAAGGCACCGCCATCAAAATGGGAGACAGAGAGATCGATTATAATCCTGCCTTTAGGCTCATCCTTCAAACCAAACTGGCTAATCCGCACTACAAACCGGAAATGCAGGCTCAAACGACCCTAATAAACTTTACCGTCACCCGAGACGGCTTGGAGGATCAGCTACTTGCCGAAGTCGTCAAAGTCGAACGGCCCGATCTCGAGGCGCAAAAGTCCGACCTGACCAAACAGCAGAACGAGTTTAAAATTTTGCTGAAACAGTTAGAAGACGATTTGCTGACTCGGCTCCAATCCGCCAAGGGCAACTTTTTGGACGACACAGCACTCGTAGAAAATTTGGAGACGACCAAGAGAACGGCGCAGGAGGTGGAAGTCAAGGCAAAAGAAGCGGTTATCACGTCGCGTAAAATTGACGCGGCGAGAGAACTCTACCGTCCCGCGGCGTGCAGGGCGTCGCTCCTCTACTTTATTCTCAACGACCTCAACAAAATCAACAAGATTTACCAATTTTCGCTCAAAGCATTTTCCACAGTTTTTCAAAATGCGATCAAAACAGCGCCACAGGCGGGCGACGTGGCGAAGAGGATTGATAATTTGATCGACTCGATTACATATTCAGTCTGGGTGTACACGGCGCGAGGTCTCTTTGAGTGTGACAAATTGATATTTACGACACAAATGGCGTTTGCCATTCAGCTTCAGAGGGGAGCGATTCACTCGAAAGATTTGGATTTTCTGCTACGCTTCCCTATCATGCCGAATGTCGTTAGTCCTCTAGACTTTCTCAATAATACGAATTGGGGAGCGGTTAAGAGCTTGGCGAGTTTGGATGAGTATAAGTAAGTTAAATTTCAGATATAAGTAAATTTAACCTTGAACTCAATGATGACTTCTATTTTAAACTCAAAGGTCTCAAAAAGGTTACTAAATGTTAAATTGCCTACATATTTATGTCATAAATGACGAAAACACGTCAGACGTGTCAATTTTAATAGATTTTGGAGGGGAAAAAGCAATATCATACACTGCTTTCACCTCTTGGTGGTTGCATGTAGCTTCTTTGATGCAGAGCTATTTTCTGAGATTTTAGTGACAATAATGTGCGTCTTGAATTCGCAGAAACCTTGATCGCGATATCGAAGGATCTGCTAAACGTTGGAAGAAAGTTGTAGAATCTGAATATTCCGAGAAAGAGAAACTCCCACAGGACTGGAAGAACAAGCAGGGCGTTCAAAGACTTTGCATAATGCGAGCATTGCGACCAGATCGAATGGTAATTTAAATCTACCGCCTGTACATATACATATTTTCAGACGACATTTAGGCATAAAATGTGACGACCATTATTTTTCAGACCTACGCCATGACCGTATTTATCGAAGAGTCGCTTGGCCCCAAGTTTGTAAGGTCGAGACGGATCGATATTGCAAAATCGTTCGAGGAAACTTCAAACACAACGCCCGTCTTCTTTATTCTCTCGCCCGGCGTAGATCCTCTGAAGGTTTGTTCATTCGGCTTTTAAAGGGCTTTTTAACGTAGGACTGATAGCAAAAATCGTCAAAATCAGCCATTTTTAATCACTGCTCGAACTTCTGAGAACTTAATTTAAATTTTCGATGACAAATTTGTAGAGCAGGTCGTTGCAAATTTAAAATATATATCTACTCCTGTTTTTTTTACGATGCGATCCTAGACGTCATCACTCTCATTACTACTAGCATTGCATTGATGAACTCGAGGGTCGTATCGTAAATAAACTCCAGAATCTGGAGTCCAGATTTGACAGTTTTTGAAGCAGTAGATCTCAAAAGTGTAAGAAGTCTCCAAAATTGGAGCTAGCTTACCGTAATTAAAAAAACGCTGCCAATCTATTAATAAACTTACTGACTACAAATTTGTCGCCCATATAATTGTAAAATAAATTCCGAGAGGTGAGAAATGATTAAAAATGTGTAGATTTTGACGATTTTGTTGACGAATCGTTAATCAATGGGTTTATTTTAATCACCCTGCTCTCATCCTTTAAATACAGGACGTTGAAGCGTTAGGAAAAAAATTGGGATACACCATGGACAAGGGCAACTTTCATAACGTATCGTTAGGCCAGGGCCAAGAAATCGTGGCGGAAAATGCATTAGAAATCGCTGGCGAAAAAGGACACTGGGTCATTTTACAAAACATTCACCTCGTAGCACGATGGCTGGCAACACTTGAGAAAAAATTGGAACAAAATTGGGAACGTTCCCACAAAAAATATCGCGTTTTTCTCAGCGCAGAACCAGCATCCTCAGCAGAATCCCACATTATTCCGCAGGTTCGTACATACCTTTGACACCTTTAAATATTGAAATTATGTATCCATCATCGATTTCAGGGAATATTGGAATCATCCATCAAAATCACTAACGAACCTCCGACTGGAATGCTGGCAAATTTGCACAAGGCGTTAGACAATTTCACCCAAGATCAGCTTGAGTCCTGCTCCAAGGAGTTGGAGTTCAAAGCCATTTTATTCAGTTTGTGCTACTTCCAGTAAGTTTTTTTGCAAAAATTGTAGCCAAATTCGCCTTATTTAATACATTTTTTCCCAAAAATTATACTGCACTCTAAAAAACAATATTAGCTCTTTGAAAAGTAAATGCAGTTTTAATTTTATATCGAGTAAACCCTACTAAAACCAGAATAAATTTGTCGTTTGCACATTTTTCGGGCCACCAGTTAAACTCCGTTTCACGACTGGTGATTTCACCACCACAAGAAAGGAGCATGTTATTCTTATGCTCCTTTCCTGTAGTATTCTGGATTTTGTAGTTTACTTGTAAAATCTTGAGTGCATTTACTTTTCGAAAGGGTAACATTATTTTTAAGAGTGTATATTTCCACTATAGCGCCGTGGTCGCGGAGCGAAGAAAGTTTGGGACACAAGGTTGGAATCGTATCTACCCCTTTAACACGGGCGATTTGACCATCAGCGTTAACGTCCTGTACAACTACTTGGAGGCAAATCAAAAAGTTCCATGGGAAGATTTACGCTATCTTTTTGGCGAAATCATGTACGGCGGACACATAACGGACGACTGGGACAGAAAACTTTGTCGAACCTACTTGGAAGAGTATATGGTCCAGGAATTGGTGCGGCGCCAAATTTCAATCATTTAACTTGTGCATTCTTAAAAACAATGTCACCCTTTTGAAAACCATACTACATCTAGAGTAAACTGCACTCCGGATTTAGGATAGTTTACTTAACATAGAATTCAGAGTGCATTTACTTTTCAAAAGGGTAACGTTATTTTTAAGAGTGTAAAATCCGAAGGCATCATATTTCATTTTATTTAGCTTGACGGAGAAATCAATTACGCTCCCGGCTTCCCAGCCCCGCCCAGCACGGACTATCAAGGCTACCACTCTTACATGGATGACGTACTTCCGCCTGAATCCCCAATTTTGTACGGACTTCATCCCAACGCAGAGGTCGGCGTGCTCACAGCAACTTCGGAGAAATTGTTTAAGACTATTTTCGAGCTACAGCCCCGCGACGCGGGAGCGGCTGGGAGCCAGTCAGTCACTAAAGAGGAGAAAGTACTTTTATAACAAAGGATTTTGCATATCATCTCATCGAAGTTTTTTATTATGATTTAATTTATTTATGTGAATATTTGTGACTAGACGAAGCAAATCCTGGACGACATTCTGGACAAGTGTCCCGATCCTTTTGTCATGTCGGAAGTTGTCGGTCGCGCTGAAGAGAAGACACCTTATGTTATTGTCGCGTTGCAGGAATGTGAGCGCATGAATACACTGATCATTGAGCTACGTCGCTCCTTGAAAGAATTAGATCTCGGATTGAAGGTTGAAATTAATTGTTGCCTTTGTTTAACAAAAAGTCTATATACTCATGTGTGTAGCTAAATTTGCATTTATAATTTTCAGGGCGAACTGACAATAACTTTGGACATGGAAGATTTAGGCAACTCGTTATTTCTGGATCAGGTACCAGCCTCTTGGGCAAAAAAGGCGTACCCCTCAACCTTCGGACTGGGTTCGTGGTACGCAGATCTCATCCTGCGGGCGCGTGAATTGGAAACCTGGGCGATTGATTTTTACCTTCCCGCGGCCGTATGGCTGGGAGGATTTTTCAATCCGCAATCTTTTCTCACGGCCATTATGCAAAGCACCGCGAGAAAACAGGAGTTGCCCTTGGATAAAATGTGTCTTCAGTGCGAAGTTACGAAGAAAATCAGGGAGGAATTCACGTAATAATAATGATTATTAGAAAAATTTGAAAACTTCGCAGGAAATTCGAGACTCTCGATGAAAAACGCTAACTATTTCTGCAACTGTTTTTCAGCGCTCCTCCTCGAGAAGGTGCAAATGTCCATGGACTTTTTATGGAAGGTGCTCGCTGGGATATCATCACAGGGTCTGTTGCAGAGTCGAAACTTAAGGAATTGTATCCATCAATGCCCGTCGTCTACTTAAAATCGATAACTCAAGATAAGGCCGACTCGAGGAATATGTTTGAGTGTCCCGTGTACAAGACCAGGATGAGGGGCCCCACGTACGTCTGGACCTTTAATCTCAGAAGTCGCGAAAAAGCGTCACGGTGGGTTCTGGGTGGCGTGGCTTTGTTGTTGCAAGTGTAAACCAAGGAAATCTTACTCGCCAAACTCAAAATAATCGTATTCACAAATCAAATAACACAATAATATGCAAATGACACAAATCGTATACTATGATGGACAATCAAAAATTTTATACTTGTAAAGCGAATTTTACAAAACTTTGGCATACGTTATTAAGAACCTGGAAGGAATAAATGACTTGTCACCAATGATGAATTGTGGTCATGAGTGAAAACTTTCCGTCATAATAACACCGGAGTTCTTACATTATAGCTGCACAAGGGGAGAAGAGATACGCACGTAGAAAGTGAGGATTTTGCATAACTTTATTGCCATGTTTCGCAATACTTTTGAGCTTGTGTCGTTGCCTGTAGACTCTTGTAAATATGTAGGGCAAGTAGTTCTACAAGCTACAGAAAAGTAGAACGTCTAACCAAGTAGCTTGTCATATATTGGTCTCATATTGGAGATAGGTTATCTAAAGTCAACCTGATCTGGAGGATGGGTCCGAATCATAACTGAATCACAAGAGTTGATTGGGCTCGTATTATCGCTCTCCATTTATTATCTCCTTAGATCTTCTGAGTTTTGCTGATCAATAACATGCAAGTTCCGACCATGTGACACATGAATTTCACATCTCGTCACTTGACCACATTGCATGCAACGTCATTTGCAAAGCCACAATATAAAGAACGCGTTTGTTTTGTTGGCTTATAATAGTACATATGTATGCATATGACATATGTGTATAGTTGCATGCTTGCCTTAATGCATTTCCACTATTATTAGAACGAAATGTGTGAAGAATGGGTATTTAAAATTAAAGGCAGTACCTTTCATGAAAATCTATTATTAGTATGCTCGATGAAAACGGGGTTATTTGTGTTATGTTTTCAGAAAACTGAGAAAATATGCCCTTGGCCATATTATTTTCATGATGTCGTTTCTTCATTATACGAAGTGTGAACGCCAGAATGTGAAGGTTTCGTATTACAAACTTGTTTGTTGGCTCTTGAAGAAGTCCAAAACAAGTTGAAGCCTCGTTTTCCATATCCAGCGACAATAATAAGTCAAGTAATCACATGCTAGTTTGAGAGAAGGATTAACTTTAACAACTCCCAGCAGTCCTGTCCCGTCGTCGTCAGCCAAGCAGATTAACTTCAATCCCAATCAGTCAGCCTCGTGTGATACTTGATAGTGGATCATCGCATCGCTTTACTTTTTAATCTGAATGTAGAGTATACAGTCCAAGAATGGGGGCTTAGTGTTGAACTGGACGAAATACATATATTAATACACGACATCACCAAGTCAATCTTATCTCTATATCCTAATCAACCAAGCAACCAAGCAAGTAAGTAATAAATAAGTTAGTATGTCGTAACAGAAGGCATGCTAGAAGTTGGCTGACTGAATTTTTGAGTCATTGGTGAGCCGGATAAATCCCAATTCTCAGTTCGAGTCTTGTCTCATCTTCATTCTGTGGTCTCAATAGTTTGTCGAGTTATAGTAATTTTCCTCTCTTCGCACAGTGTGTGCAACTATCTAACAATCAGATTGCTTACGTCAATCCTAATATAGCTTCACTGTTACTAATACTAATTTCCTATTGATTGTATCAGCTTATCAGATATTTAGGACACAATGGGTCACCCTCACGTGGACGAGTCTAAGGAGTTCAACAAAATTCTGCTGATTGGGAGTGGTGGTCGGGAACATGCGTAAGTACCATGCAAGCATTAATTCCTGAACAACAAGCAGTCAAAAATCGGGTGGTGGATGGTACTGTTAAACAGAATTTATTTAATTATTGGATATAATTTCAGAATTGCATGGAAGCTTGCCCAGTCTCCAAAGGTATAAGTCCTGTGGTACCTGTATACGTACTTACTTACAGAATTACAATACCTTCGCAAGATTGACTAAATAAACAAATGGGAAATTAATTTTTATAAAGGTGACGAGAATTTTTGTGACTCCTCCTGGAAATGCAGGGATAATAAAACAGGATAAAGTGACTAGGGTTGATTTGGACATTGAAGATTTCAAGGTAATTGCATTGACTAAGTTTATTATAATTTATTATTATATCACTCAGATTTATTTAAAAAATACTTCATTATTAGGTTGTTGCCCAATGGTGCCTCACGAATAAGATTGACTTGGTCGTGGTTGGTCCTGAAGACCCACTGTCACACGGAATTGTGGACGAATTGAACAGGCATGGAATTGCTGCCTTCGGTCCGCGTCGAGCCGCAGCGCAAATCGAGGCGTCCAAGCATTTCGCTAAGGCGTTCATGGAGAGACATCATATTCCTACGGCGAGGTGGAAGTCCTTCACGAAAACATCCGACGCTAAAGCTTTCATCGAATCGTCATCGTCATCATTTCCGGCCCTCGTGGTGAAGGCATCTGGTCTCGCTGCAGGGAAAGGTGTCATTGTTGCCACGACCGTGAGGGAAGCTTGCAATGCAGTTGACTCCATTTCTACGTCCTTTGGCGAAGCTAGTGAGACAATTGTGGTGGAGGAAGTTCTGGAGGGAGAAGAGGTGTCTGGTTAGTTTCGCAATACAGTTTATTAGCCGTGAAATTTCTTTAATTGCATATGCCCATTCGTAATCATAGTCTTGGCTTTCACGGATGGAAACTCGGTTTCGGTCATGTCTCCTGCCCAAGACCACAAGCGCTTGAAGGATGGAGATAACGGTCCGAACACTGGAGGAATGGGCGCCTACTGTCCATGTAAGTGCAGCATTTTTAGAAGTTTCGTACGTTGTGTTTGTTTTATTTATTTTTATTTGTAATGAGTCGCTTCATGTATACTTTGCGTACCAAGGTCCACTCCTGTCTACAACGGATTTGGAGATTGTGAAAGAACAAATACTGAAAAAGACCATCAATGGACTGAAGGCTGAAGGGTGGGTGACCATATTTAGTTGCAATCAAATTAATATTCAAAGTATTTAGTTGTACACGTCAATACAAAAATTACCTTCAAATTTATTTTGCTTCAGTGTTAAATATTGCGGAGTATTGTATGCTGGGCTGATGATAACAAAGGACGGGCCTAAGGTATTGGAGTTCAATTGTCGATTTGGAGATCCCGAGACTCAAGTTATTCTGCCACTCCTAGAGTCAGATCTGTTTGATGCATTTGCAGTAAGTAGCAGAATATAATTTTGGTTAATACTAATTATTTTTGTGAAATAAATAAATTTATTTCCAGGCGTGCGTCAATGGAACACTGGATAAACATGACATGAAGTGGCTCCCCAACACGTACGCAGTTGGAGTGGTTCTTGCCAGTGCTGGTTATCCTGGCTCATACGCCAAGGGGAAAGAAATCACCAACCTTGACTCCGTGGTTAAACAACCTGGGCACATGGTTTTCCACGCCGGGACGAAACTAGATGATGCAGGAAAAATTGTGTCCTCCGGGGGTCGTGTTCTTATCGCTGTTGCACTTGGACACGAATTGGCTATTGCTAGCGCAAAAGCACTCCAAGCTGCCACCACCATACGCTTTGAAGGGGCTCAATTTCGCACTGACATTGGTAAGAAAGAAACTCAGTTAAGACTAAAATAAAAATCCACACTGGCTGAGCAATAACAAACGAGTATTCTGTATTTCTTCATTACAGCTCAGAAGGGAATTGCTCGGTCTCTGCTTATGCGAGGAGAAATGACTTATCGAGGAAGTGGAGTAGACATTGAAGCCGGAGATGATTTTGTGCACAACATAAAAGCGCTCGTGAACACCACAAAGCGGACGGGCTGGATGGGGGGCATTGGTGACTTTGGTGCTTTCTTTGACCTCCATGCGGCAGGGTACAAGGATCCCCTGCTTGTGTCTGGGACGGATGGAGTGGGCACCAAAATCATGGTAAGCGCGTATAAAGTTTACCTTCTTTGGAAATTAATTGCACAATAATAAGCGCATGTATATCTAATTTATTATTCGTTTAGATTGCAGAAGCACTTGATATTCCAGGTAAATTCAAAATTTACATTTACAGATAAAAAGTGTATTATTTAAAACTGACCCAATTAACAATAATTCCTTACTACATTTCTAGAAACCGTTGGAATCGACTTGGTGGCAATGTGTGTCAACGATATTTTGGCTCAGTAAGATGTAAATACTTGATTATTTATCGCAAAAGGTTATATAACAGTTATTTAACCCATGCATTTTTGTTTGTGTATACAGTGCGGCAGAACCACTCTATTTTCTGGATTACTACGCTAGGTACGCTCTAGTAATGGTTGTTAAAGTACAGAATAATGTGATTTGGCTTTATGTGGTACTCAATAGTGGACGATTGAGACAGGAAACGGCTGTGAAGGTGCTAATTGGAATTGCTGAGGGATGTCGCCAAGCAGGATGCGCGTTAAGTGGTGATTATTTACTATCTTTTGTCGCGCACTATGGTATTTGGACGTATTATAATTGACGCATTTGTATTATCTTCAGGCGGGGAGACCGCAGAAATGCCTGGCGTGTACCACGGGAATACGTACGACTTGGCAGGATTTGCTGTAGGTGCTGTCGAGAGGGGGAAACAGTTGCCACTGAGGGAAAAGATTGAAGATGGGGACATTGTGATTGGACTATCTTCAAGCGGGGCTCACAGCAATGGTTTCAGCTTAATTAGGAAAATAGTCAAGAAAAATGATTTAAAATATAGCGATCCTAGTCCATTTTCCACCAACGAAACACTCGGTAGGTTGGTAATAAATAGTAATCGGTGATATGTACTTATCGTTGTCTGTATGTATTATTAATTCAATCTGTAGTTTTGCCTACGTATTGTAAAGTATTTCATTTTCAACCATTCCACAGGAAGGGCGCTTTTGACTCCAACCAAGATTTATGTAAAATCAGTCCTTGGAGCTCTTCGAAGTGGACGAGTGAAAGCCTTTGCTCACATCACGGGTGGTGGTCTCACCGAAAATATCCCACGTTGTCTTCCGGATAAGTTGGGAGTCGAGATTGACGCCAACAAGTGGCCTATTCCAGGAATTTTCCCATGGATCGCATGTGCAGGTGGATAGTCCTCTAAACATTTTTAAATCTAAAAAAAATAAGGTGGTAGTGAATTAATAACGATTCGAATAAATAGGTGGAGTCAACGAGACCGAAATGTTGAGAACTTTCAACTGCGGCCTTGGTGCCATCATGATCGCTAGTCCTTCCGACTTGCCTCAAGCTCTCAGCATGATAACCGACGAGAACACGTTTGTCATTGGCAAAGTCAAGTCCCTCTTTGGAGGTAACATAAATATGGCTGTGCACAAATAAAACAATTTATTTATAATTTGATGTAATTATGTAATTATGAGATTCTGCTTCTCCTTTTTCAGACTCCCAGAAAGTCGTGGTCAAGAACTTTGCCAACGCTATGGCTCCAGCCATGAAGAGCCACATGGAGCGAGTACGTATCTAATACACACCTCGATTCCAAACGCTTAATATCACCAAATATGTATATCAACCTTAATATTATTTTATTTTATAAGGTAAGCCTTCGCACCAAGCGACGCGTGGGCGTGCTCATTTCTGGAAGTGGTACAAATCTCCAAGCCATCATCAATCACGTGCAGGATCCCACCGTCGGAAGTTTGGCAGAAATTGTGCTGGTAAAACACATACATCAACCTTGATATACTTTTCTTTACCTCAACTTACCAATGAAAACCAACAGGTGATTTCCAACAAGGATGGGGTCGAGGGTCTAAAGCGCGCAGAAAAAGCAAAAATTCCCACAAAAGTAGTAGCCCACAAAAAATTCCCTACTCGAGAAGAATTTGACATGGAACTTTTGCGACTCCTGCAAGCTGCTGATGTCGAATTCGTCGTGTTGGCTGGCTTCATGAGGATCCTCAGCCCTGTTTTTGTGAACAGCTATCGAGGACGACTTATCAACATTCACCCAGCACTGCTTCCCAGTTTTAAAGGTACTCACGCCCACCAGCAGGCCTTAGATGCTGGTGTGCTGGTCACCGGCTGCTCAGTGCATTTCGTGGAGGTTGGTTCTTGTTTAACTAATAAACGTACTTTCGACATGCTTAAATAGTACCCACTAAGACATTAAAGTGATTATATTGATTTTTATCAGGCTGAAGTTGACGCTGGGGCCATCATCTGTCAGGAAACGGTTCCAGTTTTAGTGGGTGACACAGTAGGAGAGCTAGAGGAACGTGTCAAGACAGCCGAACATCGTGCTTACCCAGAGGCATTGGAACTTTTGGTTAGAAACAAGGTTAAATTGGGTGAAAATGGTAAAGTTGTATGGAATGTCTAAGAAAACTCTCGCTCTCTCATTTAAAAAATCTCTCAAGGACATTGTGTAAAGACAAATTATTTTAAATTCAATGTTGTAATGTTTATACATACATATAATTTAGATTTATTGATGGTTCGTTCGAGGTTGTCTATAATAAAACATTGATGTTTCAATATAGAGACCTAGTGTCTACGACTAGACTTGCGTAGTATTCAATACTGCATACGTTCATTAACATATCACATTTTAAAAATTGACATCAACATTCCCATCACCGACTCATGGTTTCCAACATCATGTCGTTTCTCTGAATGTTCTTTTACTTTGTTTCTGACGATGCTTTGGTGAATTTCTGGTGAAAATGTGGTCAAAGCTTTCGCTGCTTCTCGATCTAGCTGAAACATCATCATTTGTTTATGCAAACTAGGCACGGTCAGGTTGAACTTTAAAATCAACTTGTTCAACGTGTCACAGTCCTTTTTAAAATCTTTTTGAACGAGACAGTTCCACTCTGTCTCCTCAGCGTGGGTCAGAACGGGGCCATATTTGTGTCGAAGCTTGGAAAGGTCTTGTCTCAACTTGCACCTCTCTTCACGAATCTCCTTGTCCAGAAGGATCCATTCTGGTGCAAAGCCATTTTCAATTAGAACTTGATTGAGTTTGTGGGTGGTAAAGTCGACGTAAGGGTTGTACGTTGATGAGTGATTTAGTGGTTTTCCCTTTCCCGACAAGTTTTCAAAATCACCACGAGCCATCGACTCCTGAATTAGGTCTTCTACCAACCGTTCCACTCCAATTCTTTAAAAAAATTATTGTTACATAGTAAATACATGTTCCGTTAAAATTAGGACTAAACACACAATATGTATATGAATTAATGTGTTCGTTACCCAGTTTTGATCTTTTTCGATGCTCTGGTGTCTTTGGTCAAAGCACTTTCGTGTTCTCCACTGCTGCGTGACACCTTTTGAACTCGATAGTCCATTACATTCTCAGCTGCCTTGGCCCTTTTGTACTTTATGTGTTGTTTTTCTCTCTCGAAAGGAGTTCCTGACCCTACGCCATCATAATTCAGGTACTGCCGATGCTGGGGGACGGTGTGCTGCAGAATTGTTTTAACCAGCAACATTATTTCATGATCATCAACGGCAGAATATAGAACTTCATATAATATCATCACCATGCCTTAATGTCAGGCTCATCGGTTTCTTTTTTACTTGAATTTCCATCAACTTCTGGTTCCTCATCATAGTAGAGTCCATATTCTCCTTCAATTTTATGCCTATTATGGCGAAATTCTGCAAAATCTTTGCGTAAATTTTTGTAAGCCAAGTCGACCTGTGTGAGCAGAGTGGTATGAATACGCAGTCCTCCATGCATGCATTCTTTAAACAACGCTAATCGTAAGTCCCTGGTGGTCAAACATTGCATACCTTTTGAAATTCCTCTTCATCCCCTTTTCCACCATCGGGATGATACAGCTTCACCAATTTTAAATAAGCGTCCCTCACTTGTGACTCGTCGTTACAACCCGCAGGTAAATTCAGGATTTCCAAATCTTTCTAAATGTATAAATCAATACGAATGTATGCAAACATTTTCTGTCAATTTCTATAAATAAGGAAGACGGAGGCGAATTTTGTACCTGTCTCTGTTGCTGCCTTTGTAGCTCAGCCTTGTCCCGAAGATACCTTTTACTGAAGCCATGCTGCTGGTGATACGACCTTTGTAATAAGATAGGTCCCCCAGCCACAACTTTGCTCTCAGCCTCCAGCAGCAATAACCTTTTCAACATTAAAAGGTTGATGGTTGAACAAACCCTTGGCATACTGCTGATAGTTGTAGGTTTGATGTGAAGCATTTTACTAGTCACTTAACAAACATCCCTAAAATAACGCAGGAAAGGAAATATTTTTTGGAAGGTTAAGTTGTAAGTTGAGATTTGAGTCTCAAGTTTTTAGAGTATGCACGTGAAGTGGTGGAGAAAGTTAGAAGTCGTACATATATTATTGTATCACTTCACATCTTGTGTGTTGCAAATGCTGTTGGGTTGCTAAAATTCGCGGAGTTTTCTTTCTCGCAATAATCATCGCCACACTTCGGTGTTATAACTGTATCTCTGTATTTTGCTCGTGTTTTTTAGACCTAGAATTTGCAATATAGCCTCTGAAGCATAGAGATACATAGATTGGTGTAGGAGGAGTTTCTCAACCTCACTCACCAGCCTGTGGCTTAGATAGAAGAACCCGTTGTTTGTAATTCAATGGCATGTTATGAGAGCTCCACAACACACTGAATTCCAAGTGGACAGTTTTCGTGTTGCAAATTCAACAACAGCCCCCGTCGACCATACACCATAGGGACCCGTTTTTCTTGAATCATATTCTCAAACAAGTTGGCAGAGACGGTGTGTGCAAATTCTAACGTGTAGTTATCAGACAGGTTTTGAAGAGCATATTACAGAACTTGTGCTACGTCATTCACACAAAGAAACGACACACACTTCGTCAGAGAAAGGCAGAAGAAAGGAAACAAATTTAACTGCTGCTTGTAAGTTTCCAATAAATAATGTACTCATTTTATCTATAAAAAAACATTTTCGTTGTAGTTTGGATTTAATTTCATTATTAATTTTATATTATTCTATTTTACATTTACAGATTCACAGAACCAACTCTGCACTGAAGACATTTTTTTGGAGAGGAAGTTGTACCACGCAAAATTGATAGGGACAAGCCATGGCTGATAAGCAAGTAAATAAGAAGGCCCGGAAGCGAAAAGACGTAAGATTATTTTGTGTTTTTACTTTACTTCTTACTTCTTTAAAGCTTGCTAATCGAGAATATATTTTATTGTAGGCTAAAGATAATGAACCCCAAGAGAAGGATGAGGCGACGAAGGAGGAGTATACCATCGCCAAATGGATGCGTAAAAATATTCCGATAAAGAAGACCAAGTTTCTTAACCATACGGTGGAGTATTTTACTGGTAAGAAATTATTATTTTACTGAATTAATTGACGTAGTTCCCTAGATTTTTTGCATGTCTGCCAATTAATGACTGGTTCCGTTGACGTATACTTACAGCCAACAAGGCGATCGACAAATTAATGGACTCTCCATGGACTCAGCCGAAGAAAGGGAGCGAAGAAGCGTTGTTCACTACTAGAGAATCTGTGGTACACGTTTTGGACAAGTAATCATAAAACAGACTTCATCACCGCATAGTACTTGTATTATGTGGTTATCCTTCTGTATATTATATGTACTTATTTATATAATTGCAGCATGTTGAGGCACAAATTTTTTCATCGCGCACGGAAGATTGCTGTGGCTGAGAGTGAGCTAAAGTCGAAGAAGAAAAAGGACAAAGAGCCGAAGGAGGACACAAATGAAGGAAAAGAAAAAGAAACTCCCGCAGCCTCCGAGAAGGATACGGATAAGAGCAAAAAGGAAGAAACTGCAACTGCGGCCGAGAGCAGCCAAGCTGAAGGGGACAAAGCGGATACAAAAGTGGAAGACAAACGCAAAAAGAAGCAGGAGAGTGAAAAGAAACGACGAAAGATTCGTTTGGATATGCATTTGGAACAGCGGATAGTGGATGCTTCGGATGCATATGTCTGGATTTATGAGCCAACTCCTTATTACAATTACATTTTCGGATTTCTCGTCGTCGTTGCTGTGATTGCTGTTTGCCTGTTCCCACTCTGGCCATCCACTGTTAGGTAATATCGAATACAACTTATCATAAAACATAATAACTGTTCGCCGATTTACCCAGTCTAGAATTCTAATTTAATAATTGGTGTTTTACTGTTTCAGACAAGGAGTTTATTATCTCAGGTATTTATGAATAATATGCTTAAATATATGCCATAATTGAATTAATTTATTAATACATATTGTTATTTTATCCATCTCAGCTTAGTAGCAGCTGGATTCTTGGTATTCATTTTGGCACTAACTGTTATCAGAATGATCGTTTTCGGTGTTGTTTGGGGATTGACTTTTGGAAAACATCATTTTTGGTTATTACCTAACCTCACAGAAGATGTGGGTTTTACAGCATCATTTTGGCCCCTTTATAAGGTATAATAATCTCATCACATTGAAGAAGCTCATTATACGACATATTAATTAAATCAACCTGGTTTTATCTATAGTATGAATACAAACCTGGTGAAAGTAGCATCAAAGAATCCGAGGAAGATAATTCTAATGAAGTATCCAAAGGGTAAGCAATTAGATGGATTTATTACTATGTCGTATAGAGAAATAAATATTTATGCTTACTTAATAATAATGTGAGAATAATAATAACGTTTTTATCCAGGAATAGTAGCAAAGGAGATACTACGAGCCAACAGACTACAACACCAGCGACCGCTCCAGACCATTCCGAAACCGAGTCGGAAGGAAGCCAGCCATCCCAAACGGGAAAGGATTTTGAGATGGTCGAGAAGGAAGAAATAGAACAGTGATGATGCTAAAAACGTATGAATTTTATATGAGTCTGATCATTATTATTAACTGGAGTTTAGGAGTCTTTCTTTCAGAATTTCATTAGGGGTCCATCATAAGTTAGTTAGCATCCTTTTCAACTGAAAAATTTTATGAGTGAACTCAAAATAACTCAAACTTGTTACAATGTTTATGCAGAAGAATGTGAAAACTTTGTCCTGAGTTTAATTCGACATGTCCCTACATACATATTACACGCATTGCCGTTATATACAAAAATATGTTGGTTATGTTATGTTATTTATGCCATTCGACGTAATATTGTCCGCAATATTAGAGTCCTTCAAAGTTATTTGTATTGACCATGGTGGTGCTATAATTTTAAATTCATTGTGTTGCATGTTTAAGTCGAGACAAATTAGTGTTGTCGTTTCTTATCGGAGTGAAATACGCGTAGATTTTATTATTACACTTGAATACATTTATCAGCCGTATTTTCATAGCATTAGCAGAAAAACAAGTAAATTATTTTTTAGACCAAATCCGAGATAGTAGTTCTATATATACCTATACATATATCAATTTGTAAAATGACGTGTTCCTGTAATCGATGTTTTTAGTCTTTTACACATAATAAAATAACTAATCGGTAAAAAAAAGTATTTTATTTTTTTCATACAATTATAGGTGCAATTTAAAGGTTTATTGTTTCATTGCAATCACATCTTCACCAGAATCCGTGGTTGGCAACCCTTTTTGAAGTTTATCAAATACACCTCTCAACATTTTGTTGCACAATGCAGCGTATGGATTCAGTTGAACGAGCTGTGCCTTGGCAAATTGCGAACCAAGTTTCACTGCAAATTCAAAATCTCTCTTGGCATCCTCTGTCCTGTTTTCCTTGAGATTGATCAAACCCCGTTGGCAATACGCCTGGCATGCGGCTCTGCCCCTGCCCTGGCTGAGGTTGATGGCGTTGTTCAAGTCTTCTCTCGCCTCTGTTACCAATTTGGTTATTAGTAAAAATATGCGACAACTGTGTTCTTTCTATCTGTAATTACAATTAATTAGCTCACCCTCAATTCGTCCCATAAGTCGTAATGTTTGTGCTCGATTGTTGTACCCAGAAGCCCTGTGTGGGGATATTTTAATGGAGGCAGAAAATAGTTCAATTGCTCGAGCATACTCCTCTCGCTCGGCAAAAGTAATTCCTTCGAGTTCCAGTCGTTTTGCGGTTACAACATCTTCGGTCATCAGTTCCTCCGACTCTGATGTGACAAACAACTGTAACTATTGCGTATATATTGGCACACAAACTGCAAGTTTTTAACTCACCTGGAATTTCTACGGGGACGTTTTCATCAAACAGGAGACTCCCATTGGGTAATAAAGGATTAAATATAGAGTTAAGGATCTCCCTGTCGTTTGCCGTGGACATTATAAGTTTCAAGCAGACTAATATCGAAGCTAAGGACAAAAGTGGACTCGGAGCTTACGAGACAAACCTCCAGACGAGACTTAATTGGAGAGTAAAGTAGATATGCAGTCGTCCAAGATTCTGGAAAAAGGCATGGCAAGTAGATCATGCCCAGAAACCTGTTTACTGCCATAAAAAGTGTCCTTCAGTTAAGGCACAAAATCTTGTCACGCCACTTTGAGTAGATCCCCAATCGTTCCAGTCATTTTGTAGTAAGTAAGTACATAATAATGCAATTTTCATGTCACTACGGTGCATGTGAAAATGTACGAATAAACGACGCTACCTTTTCAAAAAATGTTTATTATCTGCGTTGCATAATTTAATCAATCATATAATATCATGCATTTATAGTTGATAGTAGTATAGTTGCACTAGTAGTTATATAGTTGTATGAGTACAATTAAGAGGTAACAAATTGTACCAGGTCCAGTCATTGGTTTAAGAAAAGAATGCAAAACTTTGGCTACTTAATAAAGGCCTAAAAGTGAGGAAATGTCCTGCGATGCGACTGCTGTGGTAGTAGTGACAGTCAGTTGGCGTCTTTCTTGTACGAGGGAAGGGATGAAGGCTGCATAGATATTTATTTGCTATACATACTCTGACTGCATTATAGATTGATATACCCTTTCTAAACGACGACTACTCGTTGACTGGTAGAATGATCTACATATTTACCTTCTCAGGATTAAAATGCATAAAAATTAGGAAAATTTGCGGAGATACCATCCAGCGGTGCCCGTACAAGAAACAATGTGGTTCGAATTTTTATTTTTTAAAAGCTTACTTTCCCACGAACCTTGTAAAAGCCTAGTGAGTTGGCGTTGTGCAAAAGAGAAGCTATACCAACATAACTTTCTATAATGATGGGTTTGAATTCTATCCTGCAGCAGGGAGACAAATCATCCCCTCCTCCTTGTCCAAGAGCATGGATTAGCTCGCGAACAAATGGGTCAACATCAAAAAATGCCACCGATCCACCTCCACCTACAAAGTATTTGCATACATGAAAATAAAAATCTCAATGTCGCAAAAATCTGAACAACGTGGTGTGGACTACCTTTGTGCCAAAATAGTGGGTGTGATGTAAACGTAGCTCGTGGAATGGATTTATCGAAAGGGTTCCACTTTTGATGGAAACTCAATGGTTGATTTTCATTCCAAATTATTTGAACCCCCTGTGACTTTCTGGTCCTGCGTATTTGTTCGTTTTGAATCTAGAAATTGGTTTGAAAGATGACTAACAAGTAGAGCAACTTACTTTGACTCGAATTTCTCTAACGAGAGGGCCGACATGATTGTTCCTCGAATTGAACGATCCTTAGTGGGCGCCCCATCAGTCTCGGTGGTTGGAGGTTCGGTCTCACTGGGCTTGTCCACCAAAATGTTGTCCTCTGTGGCCTCAAGCCCTTGTTCCAAACTTGTGCACCGACTCTTTCGCCAAACGGCACACCCAACTGTCTGCACAGTCCCGTGAACGGTGGGAATAATGCACTCTTTCATCACTCCAGCTATCCCCTCAGCAATCCCATTCAGCTTCCTTTGTCGAAAACCAAATACATAAGTGATTTCGTGTACATTTTATACATTGAATTTAATAAATTCGCTTACGGGGTCAAAGAATTTTGGGGAAAGACCAAGTTCCCCTATTCAAATTCAGATGAATGAAATAAATATAGCATACAAAATGTGGTGTTTGGGGAATTCATGCCAATACATGTGTGCACATATGTACCTGGATGACTTTGTCTATCACGGCCAGTTCCAGCCTCCTCGTGTCCTCAACCTTCATCCCAATAAAGTCATACTTGACTGGATAGGGAAAAAAAGTGTGCAATTATTAATGATGCAAATTATGGTAAAACTATACACGAATAAACAAGGTCCCAAAAAAGTGGAAATCTTAGTGAGGCAGTGCAAGCACGACTAATAAATAAAATTAGATTTCAGAATTTTTGCATCACCGCTCACGGTTCAATTTTCTTTAAAAGCAATATTTGGTCCCCGTCTTTTCATCAGAATAGAATATGCAAATTAATATATCGAAATTTTATAATTTCAACTTTTTAAAACAAATATGTTTACATTTGTTTATTTTGTTTAGTCATTATATTTGATTTGAGTTAATTTAGCCCACTTCTCGTTCACTAGTTAAAACGCCTTCTTGAATTCTCAATTTATTCAACAAAATTAAGAATTCATGCATATGCAAAACAAAATTTATAGTGCATCCAGAGAAAATTGAACCGAGAGCGGTGATGCAAAAATTCTGCAATCTAATTTTATTTATTAGTCGTGATTGCACTGCCTCACTAAGATTTCCACTTTTTTGGGACCTTGTTTATTTAAGGGCCCGGGGGAAGATTTACTTTCGGAAATTGATTTTATGTTAGCAACAATAATTGTCAGGGACCCAAGATTATTATCGCTCTGTTAGGTTACGACCACTATTAATTGACACCGTTTCTATGGCACGCTCACGTTCAAAAGCTTTGGTTTGGTCACTGTTTTTGGAAAAGTTTCCCTCAAGTCCCTCAAGTTTTTGAAAAAGTTGTTTTCTTTTGTTCCAAGGATACTCAAAATGCAATTCATGCCATCAATTTTGAAATTCTAAGCCAAATGTCTCAACTGCACAAGAGGGCAGATCGTCAAAATTTTTATAAAATCTAGAGACATCATTAACACATTAAACATAATTTAAAAAATCTGCCCTCTTGTGCATTGCTGAATTTTATCGTCAGAGTTGACGTGATTTCTAAGCAACTTCCCCCAGGCCCTTAATACTTGTAATTGAGTTGTTTATTTTGTGTCGATTCAAAAGTTTCAATGATTTTAAGTTGAATAACTTCGCGATTTCTTAACCGATTTTGACCGAGATTTGACATATAGCCAATTGCCACTTTTTTGAGGTGTATGGTAAATGCGCACCTGTAGTATTTTTTTCGTTATTTACGAAAAATATACTATAATTTTAATTTACTCATAATCAGCATAATTCTGTAACCAAGCATTATTTACCTACTTTTGCTTCACCAATTTTTAATATAAAAATTGACACTACGCAGTCAGTTCTAAACCGATTTTGGTCGTTATTAGCTTAAAAAATCCAGATTGACCGTATCTAGCATTTTGCCATCAGAAAACTTCGTCGTATTTCCCAGTAATTAGCTAAAAATCCAAATGTGTTACTATGGGTACATTTTCGCCAATAAGTCGGGTAAAAATCAATCAATCGCTAAGTCCAATAGCAAATCGTTTTCGAATTTGGTCAGAATGACCGGTGCAAAATTTCATCAAAATCGGACAAGAAATGACCAAGTTATCGTAAAATGTCACTTTTTTTAACGTGAGTAACTGCATACTTAGTGTTTTTTCGTTGCTAGGTATTTTGCCTCACTAAGAAAAATAACTCAATGAATATCTGGCATATTACATATGCTTACCCACGATTGCTTGACCTTAAGTATCTAGGTAACGCGTCTCCCTTAACGGTTGCGACAAATGGTCGAGTTACAAATAAAACATTCATTTTTAAATCGTTGGTTCAAAAACGGCGTTTGAGTCTCCAACTACTTTGACCCTTAATAACTTTTGAATGGGCAGACATAGAGACTTAATTATTTAGGATGAAATCATCGTAATTTTTAGCTTGATTTTTTAAGCTGAAAATCTAGAAGGTACTATTTCGAATAGTAAACTTAAAATCTCCAGTGTGCAGCCCGAGTCAGGGCTTATGTACTCGTCACGTCCGTCTGTCCGTCTTGCGATAACTGTTGTAAAACTAATCCGATTGAGTTGAAATTTTGCACGCATGCAGTATGGGTCAAATGAGGAGTTAAGTTCAAAGATAAGCGAAACAAGTGGTTGACCGGTGGGGGTCATATAAGTTTGTCGGGTATTATGTATAGAAATTGCAAAATCGTCGTAGAAAGGTGAAATTCGGTACAGAGGTCGATAATGGTTTCTACTGAAAAACTTTAAAGTAAAATTGTAAAAATTTTTATCTGGATGGACCCTAGGGGGTGACCCATACCGATATCTAAAACTCATCCAATAGAGCTGAAATATTTGTGGGGATTGCTAAGGAAGGCTACTAATGGAAGAGTATGAATTGAAAGTATTTTCAGACCCTATGGGATGACCCATACCAATTTTTCAAATTCGTCATATCGAGCAGAAATTTGATAGAAAAGTTGGTAATGGCTCCTAATGTAACAATATGAATTAAAATAGGAAAAAATTTCAGAGTTTATTAAGTTCGTGTTTTGTAATGGTTTATGCCAAAAATAAATTATATGCACATGTTCGTTACGAGTCCTGCTCTTAGAATCAGTGAATAATGCAATCTTAAAAGGCCCCGCAAAGTTGCTTTCTTTTTAGCCTCAGTCAGTTCTTATCGAACCATATGTCCTTCCGGAACACGATAGACAAAATGGCTGAACAGATTTTAAAAAAATATGCACCCCACAAGTTTAAATGCATTTGGTACAATACAATTTCATTGAAAATGTTTGGTTTGACCAATAACCGCAGTCTGACTCGGGCTACATAAAGGCTGGAGATTTCAAGTTTACTATTCGAAATAGTACCCTCGAGATTTTCAGCTTAAAAAATCAAGCTAAAAATTAGGATGATTTCATCCTAAAGAATTAAGTCTCTATGTCTGCCCGTTCAAAAGTTATTAAAGGTCAAAGTAGTTGGTTCTGTCGCCTATGGGAGAAGAACCAAAGATTTTAAAAATAATTATTTTATTTGTAACTCGACCATTTGTCGCAACCGTTAAGGGTAACTAGGCACTAAAAGTCAAGCAATCGTGATGCTTACCTATAACCAGAACTCGATAGCATAAAATTACAATCCGCTCCCACTCATGGTTCCACGAATCAATTTCTGTAAGAAGCCACGTTCCCTTGATCGCCCCGTCCGTGTTGAAATTTATCGTTTCATGAACTTCGGATATGACGTTATTCAGAATGCTATCTCGATAAGCAAAAAAGTCCTTGGCTTCCACCTCGTTCTGCGGATGCATGGGACTTTCCGATCTCGCCCATGCATTGTTGAGTTCCCCATCGACGTCACCCCCATTTAGCAGCCCCATCCTGGGCTGAAACATGGGAGACCCGGTGCAGGATGAGTTCAAGGAGACCGTGCTGTGCCCATCGTCAGGACTGACACTGCCGGATGGAGGGGTCATCGGGGTCACGGCAATGTGGGGAATCTCTTCGTACTGAAGACCACCCACTCGCTCGGGATCCGGGGTCACAGACTTGGAGTCGTGAATTCTCAATGTGACATCAAAGTCATCCAACCCTCCATCCAACTCGAGGGAATCCTCCACTCCACTCCCCATGAAGGAGAAAGCAGGCTGTGTCATTATGATAACGTCCTATCAGTAGTGAAATGACTAATTAGCACATTCTACAGCTTGGTCACTTTCGTATCCTCCACTCCACAGGATGTTGTCAGGAGCCAGTTGTATACTATTGATATTAACCAAAGTGAAAGTGTCCTCCACTTTCACCACTTGGATGATTCGTAGGGACGATTCCTTACTTTATTTTATGCAAACAAATAGGAGTACTGTCCACGACCTCTTTTCAAAGCTGGGTGCCAAAGTTTGTTGTGTGGGGAGGACGGAGCAGGTGGGATTTCAGTGGTGGAGAAAGCAGGAGAGAGAGAAAAGGACTTTCACCGGAGGCGGAGAGGTGGAAAGGTGCGAAGGGGCATCCTGAGACAGCGGTGATGGACGAAGAAATCCCGTTCAAAAGCCATCTCACACACTCACTCACTCCTCATCTATCAGCTAGGCCGACCCTGCTGCTTTCTCTCTCTCGCAGAAAGTATGCAGTTAGCAAATGATTTAGTGCTGGATTTTACATATATTTTTTAATCTCGTTTTGTACATCCAATTAGTCACCACTTCCACCCACGAGCTAAACCTGACTTTTCACTATTGCAAATTCCTAGTAGAGGACGACCAAATAAGTAACTGCAAGATCAATTGGAGTATTTTTGTAAGAATAACTGGACAGCCTGAGATAATTAGTGTATGGTAGTCTGTATCAATCAACCACGTGCAGACTAACCAGAAATTAATTAGCCATGGAGGATGTTCAAGTTTGTTCAAATTGGGAAGACATTGCAGACAACTCGACGGTATTAATAATTGAAGGAAGAAAGTGAATAGAATAATAAGTAATTGGTCACTAATTGCGAGTCTTTTTTCAGGCATTGGAACAACAATTAGAGAAATTAAGGTTGGAAAAAGCAGCTGCTTCAGGAGAAGAACCCAAAATCCGAATTTTAACTAGAAATAAGTCTGAAAAGAGTAAGTTTATACCCAAATTATTTATTTATAAAGATGTTAACTAATGTTTTAACTGGGATGGAATGAATAATGTGTTAATTAGACGATTCAAAAAGTAACGAGATCAAAGAACGTCCCCAACAAACACAAATTCTACTGGATAGTACTCGAGAAGAAAATCTTCGTAGTCAATATGTCCCACCGGAACCACGGATTAAGCTGTTAACGCGTCCGAAATCTAATAATTCGTCAAGCACATCGAATGGTCCGTCCGGAAAATGGAAATCGCAACCCGTGAAAACATTGGAACAGGTAATGATAATAACCATAACTTAACATAATTACTTATTATATTTACGTATACTATTCAGAGGGAGAAGGAGTACAAGGAAGCTAGAATGCGAATTCTCGGAGACGTTCAATTTAGCGATCCCGAAGATGTGGATGGCTTAACACCTGCAGAAGTTCTCAAACAGAAGGTTGCCCAGGCTATGATGGAAGGAGGTGGTTCGGAAGGTGAGGAGGAAGAGGAGGAAGAAGGGAAGAGCAGTGAATCTAGTGAAAATGGGGCGGGCTTAAAAGTTAAATCGAAATCTCGTGGAAAGAAAAGCCGTGAAAAGTTTAAGACGCCTAATGTTGAGTCTCCCAGAGAATTTCCCGTTTCTAAAACGGATTCTGAACGAATCGTCCGCCAACCACGTGGGCCAGATGGGACTTCCGGATTTCATAGATAACGTCATCAGTAATACTTAACAAACTATAATTACTTAATACTAATAGTAACTAACTAACTATTAAATACTATTATTGTCATTGATTGATATATGTTATATATGCCCAATTGAGATGGTCAGAGTCAGATCCATCTATTAATTGGGTAATGTTCTCAAACTTTATCGCATGATTACTATTTAACCTGGCTCGGGCTAAGTAAACCGATTATTAAATGCATACATATACTCATCGGTCTGAATGAAAAGCGTGGAGACGATATATGTAATACTGCTGCTATCATTATTATTCCTGTTATTATTACAATACAGCTTTAATAAGTTGTATTAATTACGATCAAATTTCACAAAATTTAGATTACATTATTACACTGTACTATTAAAAAATCATTAACAACTCGACTAGACTCATAAACTTAACGAACTAAGTGAAAAGAAGAAAAAATAAGTCATTTTATAACGCTTAAACTTGATTTTTTCACTACTACTCGGCATTCGCTGGCATTGGCACCCTTCCAGAGAATGGGGACAAAAATGCATAGATACTCTTGTCAGTAGCGTTTACTCTTGTCGTGCTCCTGTTTATTTGCTCCAGTGTCACTCATTCATTCATTCATGATGTTAAATGTAGCAGAAGCTTGTCTGGTAGGTGTTACGTATTGATGATACCGGGTCATTTTCACACTTTGTTGGAAATGTTTAAGGAGTAAAGATAAGTCTTTATCGGCCAGAGAGACCGTGTGTTACCAAAAGTATACCACAAGTAGTAGAAGTTTTCATGGGGTTGATGTCGTATTATTGGTTGATTTTAAAAGGGGGTGGAGTTGCATGGTATCCTTTTGTAATGAGCCACCTGCTTGCCTACGGGTTTCCTTCCTCCTTCTCTCCCCATGTCATCCAACAAACTTTGTTCGTTACAAAATATTCTAATTGAACATTGGGAAAGGTGTGCAGCACAATTGTAGCACAAGCAGTGGTATTGCATTGGGGGAGCGTTTACATGCACACAATATCCAACTGCATATGATGGTGCTCGTGAAGTCGCTTTGTTGTAACCCCGTTAAAACGCTTCACATTTTAAATGTTTGCTCCTAGGGAGCCCAAATCCCTCTTAAACGGTCATGTAGCTACACACGACATATATTTCATTGCCCATGTAATGCTACTATACGGAATAAAACCTTTTGTTTTGCTTTACCTCAGCAGAAGTCTTGGCGATGTGCATGCTTTGGATTGACGATGGTGGTGGTGCAAGTCACTGTAATAAGTTGCCTTCTTAAGAAAACTCATGACTATGCTGCTATTAAGAAGGGTGATCCAACAACTTGATTCGTGAAGCTCATGTTGATTCATATAGTCGTACTCGTCGTAGTAAGTAATAACTAAGATGAGTAATTCTCCATCTACTCGTATTAAGCATTGCATGGCATTGGCATTATCAGAGAGCAGATGTGTTTTGTTCGACTCCTTCTTGTTACTGGCTGAGAGACCTCACAAAAAATGTCAGTTGGGGTAAAGCGCCCACCAGAACTGCACAACTGAACTCTCTTTCTCTCAATTTCGTCGTATTAAGCGTACTAGAATGGAAACATGCAAACGGCGTTAATCTAGTTTTGGTGAGTAAAATATTTACACAATTTGCTTAAATAAGCTCGCACTAAAATTATTTAGAAATGTGGTAAAACTGCACAATTTTACACATTCGCGTTCGTCTGGTAGTGGTAGAGAAGAGCGTGCTCAATTCTCGTCGTCGGAGGTTATCTGCCCATCATTGAACTATTCGAGTTAATACGCTCACTGACAAAATCAGTTTATTCGATGTTTTATCTTATCGCACTCCGTTAATGCTATTCAAGCTGGACTGGGTCACAGCACAGCATTCAAATTAATCAACGAGATTCAGTCATCAGTGCTGTCAGTGGTCCGTTTGGGTTACAACGAGCTGATGCAAAAATGTCAACGGACCACATTATTCGATTTCACTATATAATATTTTGTATTGAATGACTTTTAATTGTGATTACGGACAAACTAATCCGTCCACAATTCAATTGTTCAATCCAATAACTAGAGGAAAACAACGCCACATAACTTTAGTAGCAGTCAGTCCATGGTGGAGACTCTTCAGTCTTCTGTAACAATAAATAAATGTGAAAATCGTTTCGTGTGGGAGGTTCTCTCAATTTTATTAACGTTCGTCCGTACATATAGTCGTGGGTTAAATACTTGTGAGTACAACGCGAGTGACTTGTGCGTCCTTGTGGCCCTCCTTCGTCAATAATCAATAATCTTTCTTTGGTGGACGTACACTGAATGCCATTGATGTCACCTAATGTGAACTATTTATAAATGGAGGTACAGCAATTGGATTGCAGCAACATATAAGTGAACGTGTGAAAAAGTTTACCAATCAAGACATTAATAAATTATTATTATTATTATGATTATCTTTTAGTGAACATCGTCAATCGTGTAATCACAGTATAATTACATAAAAAGCCTGAGTTGGCAGGAATGCAATTTCCATCACACCCACTTCTTCCTCGCAATTGGTGACAAAGAAACTGTGAAAGAGATTCGACTGTGAATTTTTAGCTGAAGGAGTCAATGTCGTAACCAGTCTTATTCTCCCATTTTAAACGTAAGTGCTTATGAGCCCTGTTTTTTCATTCATTCACATTTTCTAATTCTTTGCCGTGGATTGTCTTTTGTTGAAATTGAGTGTAAATAATAAATAATGTGAGTGGTTAGATTGTATGAAAAATAAAGCGCAAGTAAGAAGTCAGAGTAGTAGTGCATTTGCAAAAGAGTCACTTATGATACTGACTCATATTACTGAGGAGTTGTCGCATTGTTGGTACTTGGTGTCCCACATTTGCTAATTATTCCCACAGTGCAACCAATTTAAATGAGATTCAAGTCGAGAAATTACTCTGTGATTGATGTTCAACTTTTTTAAAGTGATTTGTTACAAGGGTAATTTTGTGATACGGTATCGAGGTGGAGGATGTAAAAGTATGATTTTTCTGTTCTGTGTAAATCCGTACAACTTAAACCTGTCCATTTATCTACATACGGCGGGGTTATTAATAGCGTTGTGTTTATCGTAGTTATCTCAGCAAATAAGGTGGAGGAGGTTGGCGGACGAAGGAGAGTGAAAGCTGACATACTCATTCATTCACACTTTTCCTGGAACATAGTCATTTTCTTAATTTGTGGTGCAATAATTCTCCTATGTACATGGTTCGCTGTTGATGAACATGCATAAATGTTTTCTCGTGCTTAAAGTAAACCGATTGGTTTTTACGAGCATCTTGAACTTCTTTAACAGTTCATGAAACGAGTTGCAAGAGTGTGTTTATCTAAATGGGGATGTTTATGTTTTACATTGCAGTTTGGAAATTTTGTAGTTTCATGCACGCGTACTGCTGGTGATAGTCAGTCAGTTGGGTTTCTTTTTTGAATACGATTTGTTTAGCAACTTGAATCATTCTTCTTAATTGTTAATACATTGTTTTTTTATCGTTTTATAATCTTTATACAATCAGGATTGTGCGGATAGTAGTGTCCCAAAAAACAATGTATCAATGAAACACAAGCAGCGACATACATACTTTGTCACATTATGTATATATGCATTCGTATATATGTTATCCACTCGGCAAGAACTGGATATTTTTAACACGACGACGAGTACATCGCAACACACAATAATTACTGGTTTGCTCTGAGCATATATTATTACGAGGAAAATGTTGACGAGAAGTTGTTTGAAAAGGAAATGCATTCATGTTCCAGTTCCAGCGTTCGTATGTGCATGGACTCATTTTTTGTGGGTTGTTGTTAGCGTATTGTTCGTTCTCCAGTTTCAGAGATACAATATCTTTAAAACGCTTAAATTCAAACCTTCATGCTGACTTATGTGCAAGAGTTAGATTTTCTGGACGACGGAAAAGGGTAAACTGGAGGGACCGACTTTGTCTGGTAAATGAAAAGTCCGTGCTCTTGAGTGTTCATGGCCTGTGAAGTGTGACTTGAATCAAGTTTGTAGTAGGTACAGAAAAATAAATCTGGCTGCATGGTCAAGTCCGAGATGCAGATTAGAAGCAAATGCAGATACGTATGTAGGCACTGGTCTTTGTTCCTTTGAATACAACTTTCTTGTACTTAAATAGTCTTACGCAAGGGATAACAATACTATTTCCGGATAATTAATAATAAAAAGACCCTCCGATCAACTCAGTCTATGGTTCTTACCTAAATAGTTTGGAAATTAAAAACTGTTGGAGAAACGACGTTATTAGAAACGGGCGAGCATGTGAATTTGTGACAAGCGCGAATTAAGTATTTTTATTAATATTGTCTCCTTCCAACCTCCCAATAAGACAGTAATAAAAGTAGCAATTAGTTTCTGCTAATTGCAATGCAGACTTCTTTAAGGACCAAGTAGAAATCTCACGAAGTCATTAAGCTTAATATTAATGCATTCTTGGCAATTTCGTGTATGAAAATTTCGAAAAAAATAATTCATGCATGTGCCTTTTTAACTGAACCTCGATTCACGAGGTAAAAAATCATGATGGTGCCCCGTAAAATTTTTATAGCTCACAAACAAACCACATTACGTATGTGCATACATACGAAACGAACGACTAGGAAAACGGGCAGGTGTAAAACAACAGAAGAGAATTGACGAGAGGACCAATCGTCAATTTCGTCACACTCTATGATGATGCATGATTTTAAACTATTTCATGATAGACATATTGGGTTAAATTGCAGAGTATGCAATGCTGAAATATCCGTTCGTGGGATATCACATAAAATAAATTGATGAGGACAGAAACCATTTATTTCCTTAAAATTCATTTGCCTCTGAGAGTAGCATTAACCAAGCGTAGTAAATGGCAGTAAATCATCAATCCTGTTCTGACGACTCTTTTTTTACTGTCAAATGCTGCAAGAAGAAATCACCAGCATGAGCCTATTGTCTCAGTCACCCTGCGAACACGTTCAGAAATTCAACTCTAGCAAATCATATCAAGAGAATTAAGGGAATGTTTGTAAAAGATAAAGAAGGATGATTTCTCTGCTGACTGAGATTCGGCTGTCAAATTCTTTCCCATCATCATCTAGCATCCGCGTCTCAATTCTCAACTCATCATTTATCATCCCCTTTGCACTACCACACACACAACTGCATCATGCAAACTTGAACTTATTGCTGCGTGCTTCTTCACTCATACCTATTGTTCACGAATGACTTTTTCAGATGCGGAAACTTGGATTTTTTACCCTCTCGAGTAAATTAATGGCTCTTTTCTGTGTTCAACGGGAGTCAAAATTAAATAAATGAAATTTCCATTAGTTGAATGAATGAATCAAGGCGCAGGATCAGTGTGTGTGCAGTGTAAGTAAATATGCTCACAATGCTCATTTCATATCAGTTTTAATAAAATCAGGGCAAAAAAATGCGTTTCTGTCGGTCGGTTGTAGGTATTACTATTTGCTTTACAAGCACGATTGTTGCGTCTAATAGAAAAAATCCCACAAAGTAAATTGCACTTTTATGTACTGCATAGTCACTAGTAGTACACTGATGGTGATATGAAGTGAAATAAAGTTGGTCCAGTTTACCTCCTCATGGTCATGACTTGCAATTTCCTCATCAAATGAAGCCGTCTTCCGTCGTGTTTACAGAATTAAGGCCTCTTCATACCATCAGAATCATCAAATAACATCTCGATCCTCAAGTAAACGTGTAGTATCCACTTATTATTTGTTGTATTGGTTTGATACGAATGAGGTGAATAATTGTGATTTGATTGCTGACTTCTTTCTAAAATTTTTGAGGGGTTGCTGCTTGATAATAACAATAATAATGGGTGACCGAAACTCGGCAAAACCGGGTTATTATGTTATACATTTTGCATTCTTCTCTTGTGTACTCATCATTTATATCGGATTGTTACATTGTTCGACAGAACAAATCCTTCAATATTTAATACTATTGCATTGGTGGGTAGGTGACTAGCAGAACCCCTCCTTCTCCTCATACATAAATGTATGTTAGTTCTTCTCAGAGTTGAGGTCTAAACCGAGTGTTCAATAGAGTCAATCAAGTTGCAAAACAAGATTCAAAGGAGTCGTCTCTTCTCTGAGAATCAAAAATATACACAACGAACGAGCGAACCAAGGATTGAAGGAAGCCCCTTAAATACTCGCACCACCATCGACATTTGTAGCATAATGAGATATAATTATTAAAAAGATAGCAAATCTTTGAATGAATTTGTTGAATTGGGCCGAGAGAGGATTTTGGTCTATGGTGCTGAATGCATTGTTCAAGTCCTCTGAATACCTTTTGCTGCGTTGCTGCATTGACTGAGCGCAGGAGTTTTTTTCAACGCTAGCAAAGTCTGTCACAATGCAAGGCTCATTCATGATGACTACATTAGATTCGACGTGTGATGCATGTGCTATATTGAACACACGTTCGCAGTTGGTCCTGGTACATTTCAATTCAATTTGGTCATACAAGTCGCGCACATGGAGCGTTGTGTTTGGTTAAAAAAGTTTGTTACTCACTGGTTGGTGGTTTGGTTTCTCATTATTGTCGACATTTTTGGCAAAGTCCCGTTACCGTTACTCAAACCAATATTCAACCAGCAGTCAGTCAGTCGCTTATTGTTCTCTTAAACGCTGAAAATGATCTAATATCCGTTTGATATAAGCTCACTCACTCGCTCAACGGGACTCACCCGCATGCAATTTTCTGGTAGATCCTCAGTTGACGGATGCAATACACAGTGTGTATTACACACACAGATATTCATCAGTTCAATGGAGTCGTCATTTTCCAAACTTCTTTCAGGCTTGCTGTGCTACTAATCAGATGCACACAATTTTGGTTTATTTATTCATGTTATGCTATAGTGCAGGAGCTCCGAGAAAAGCGAAGAAGTATATAGATTGAAGACTAAATGCTTTTACTTATTAGTAAATAAATACAATGGTTAAGTAATGTTTGGGTTAAGCGTTACAGATTAGATTTACTCGTCGGTTTTCAAGAGTGGGATTTGTTTTGAAATGAAAATTCTCAGAAATACAGAATATATGAGATTCTGGAAGAGCGGAGTCGAGTGTAAAGTGCTGTAGATACATACGTAAAGTAAGTGGCAAAGTTTTTGTTTTAAAAAATTAACAGTCAGACCCAATTGAGAGCAAGCCATCTTATTACAGTCTGCATAGCTTTAATATATATTTCCCAAAATGTAAGTATAGACCAAAAACCAACTAACAAGTACATGAAGACTGCACCCCTTTCATCATATTATGTGGAAGGGCGAGCAGTCATATTTCCTTCATTTTCTAGTTTTCTGCTGTAATGAGCCCTTGGACGGAGTTCTTTTTGGAACCCTCCCCCAGTTAGTAGACAGACACTCGATCCCGTTTGTCCATTTGTTTTTGGGACCAAACTTGTGTAACGTAGTGCAAGTGTAGCGAATGAAGGAACAGTTGAGACATTATTTTCCTCATCTCATTTTTGTTTTTTGTTGGTGTGAAACAATAAAAGAAAGAGAAGAGGGTTGTCGTAAAACAATCTGACGGTTCCCTGTAGATTTAGTACGTACGAATCCA